CGCAACCTGAACAAATAACAACTACGAAAAGAGATTCACTGACAGAGTTAAATGCATAAAACTAATTAAAAATAAGAAAGAATGTGGAGGTTGAGACCAATTCTATTCATAAGTCATAACTTTATTTACTGTAATCAATACATGTGACAGTGAACACAGTTAAAGCTTCCTTACACTTTTTAAAAGAAGGAAAAAAAGACTTTCTTACGAGTTGATTAAAACACATCAATTCCATATTGAGCTAGGGGATTGTAAGTCAAGATTTACTACAGCATCAGATTCAGAGTCAAGGTTAAAACTGTAATAACGTGAATAAAAAGGACTCTTATATTCGATAAAGTACTTTGTTATACCATAGAACAATCATTCTTGTTATGGTGTAATCGATTAAAGGTGGAAAAACCCATGTATATTGTAGTGTCATGTAAAAATAACAAGAATTTTTATGTAGTTTATGCGCACAAAGTACAACTGTATGTTCTAATTTCACAGTTCGATAACTCGGGTTTTGTTTTTTATGAATTCACACATTTTCGAAAAAAAACTATTGGATATTTTTACTCAGATTACATAAAATATTTTGATATTACTGTACCTATTACTAATAATTAAATAGGTTTTAAAATTATTAAATTAATAAGCGAACTTCATGAAGTTCACCTCTTGCTAATGAAATTCAAGAGTGAGGTTGTGGATGAAGCCCGTAAAAATCGTTTGACTAGGTGGCTCACTTACTTACGCCTGTTACCCCCTCTCCGAAGAGGAGGAGCACAGGCCTCCCACCAGCATTCTCCATCCAACTATGTAGCTTACTGTTAATGGTATCCGGTCAACGGATATTGAGTATTTTGTGTAGACAATTGTTTGTAAATAGTTGTGCTTTTTGATGATAGTTGTAATGGTTCTCAAAGTGTCAGCTCCGTACAGTAGAACTAACTGTCTTGACGTTCGTATTGAAGATTGTGACTTTGATATTGGCTTGCATACAGTTGTTTTGAGTTCTATATGTTCTTCAGTTGTACGAATGCTGTCCTTACTTTGCCCATTTTTCCCTTTATATATGAAAAGGTCACTACAACAGGTATTTTGTTCAGTGTAATTATAAATATGCCTATCGTACAGATGTTCCATAAACTTGGTTTCTTTGGTAAATTGGGAATACATAGGAAAAAAATATCTGCGTTAGAAAGGGGTTGATTACACCAGGATTGACCGAATCCTTCAAAATTATAGGTATACCTTGCTAGTAAGTGCCAAAATGCCCGCGATTTCCTGTCGACCGGCAACAACATATAAATAAAATGTAAGTTCCCTCGTCTTTCTAAAGATATATGTCGTTGATGAAGACTAATAAGTATGAAGAATAAGAAGCAATTGTTCTGTGCAATAACTGATTGCAGATGTTATGTTTAGTATAATTACTTATTGAAGACTGGCTAATACATAATGAGAAACTCAACAATTGTAACGAACAACAGATAATGTACTTCCTTATAAGTCGTATAAAAATACAAAATTGATTGTTGAGTGGGAAAGAACAAGTTTTAATATTTCCAGATGTCACAAGCATACTCATTGTACAACTTAAGTAGATCATAGGTGTTACACTATTTCACTAACAACTACTCATTTGACATGATTAAGAATCTAATTATCATATAAATTCAATCTCGTATTATGATCTGGAAAGTATGTTCTTTACCTACTAACATGATTATGGGATCTACTAGACAGTACATTACTGTATGATTCTAAGAGCACAGTCGCACCACTGGCTGGACAACGGTAATGTGTTAACTTTGAGAGAACAGCATATCCAACTATGATACTTGTCCACTGCTCAAGAGGAGGCGAATTTGAAAAGATAGGACCTGTGAAGTAATGTTCTTAAAGAAGTAGACGAAGGTATCCTATAGGTAAGTAAATCAAAAAAACTGATGCCTCTACCTCTCTGTTTCAGAAACATAGGCGGTTAAGTCAGCCATACAGAAATTTTGTTCTATTAGATCCCATAACATAACATTAGTACAACTTTGTTGACTACGACATTCGTGATACTTAGAGATACAAGTTGCGGATGTAATACAGTGGGCATTTCCGTAGCAGACTGTTGCAGGTAACACTAGCGTGATATGTTTATTTGCATATTATTGGATTACTGGGTGTTTTAATTAATGAAGCTACTTATATATTCTGATTCATTAGTCGACGTTAGTTTGGGATGAAAATTTCCCACAAATTATAAAACAACTTTGAGAATAATTCTAGAAATTCTTATTGGAGGATTGTAATTTATATATTTGATTGAGTCCTACATGAAACGACAACTCATCAATGATCAGACTGTTTCATCAATACAGCTATTTGTCATACGACTTGTAGTCACTGCTTTCAATCTGTGTGTGATAGTACGTACACAGGGATGAGAAATCCAAAACCAAGATAAGACAACCTTTCAGCGCTTCCAACTAGCATCTGTTGGTTCATTCCGACTTTCAGGTTGGGATCCTAGTGTTCTTCGAACTCTCAGTAACTTGGGGGAATATCAGATATAACTCACTACAGAAGCCATTGACTATCTTGCTGTAGGTTTTTGTTACATCCTTCGTAATCTTGAGATGGATTTTCTCGGCTGAAGAATAATCATTTTTAGCTTCATTTTTAACTAAACTATCTCCTCTCTTAAATACTACTTCTGTTAATCTCTTTAGTTATTGTAACTACCTTACTCTCGTTTGGTTTTTCAAATTATCTTTCAGTTGTGTGGTGGATTGTCCTTTGATGATCTATTGTACCAGCGTTAATTTATTTCCTATTTTCGACAATTACCCCAGATCTCCTAGTTGACATTACTTTCATTATGAACTGTCTCAGTAAATGAACCATATAAAAGCTAATAGGTCAATTGAAATACGAATCTAAATGATAGAGAAGTTTAATACTTTGATTAATACAGGATTGTTTCATATAGTTGAGATCATGAATCAATTGAAGCTAAATCACCACGGAAAACCCAGAAGCAGTGGACGGCCGTTTTGTTCTATTATGGAACTCCTCAACAGTGCGCATCCACGACCCCGCCTCGCGATATTCGAACCCAGGACCTGTCAGGTTCGCGCGCGAGCACTTAACCGACAGATCACTGAGCCGGACGGCATCCAACGGTGTTAATGTTTAAATTCAACCAATCCACAAGATTGACCTGAAAATCAGGAGTTTGAATATAAAAACCTTGTGAATTTTCTTCATAATTATCCTGTTTCTCTGAAATAAAACAAATTCATCTAGATAAATCAATCGTATATATTTTCAGTAATAATTAAGTTACAAAATTTCAATCTACTTTTTCTCAATTTATTTCAGTCTATTACAAATTATCGATTTTAATATTACAGCTTAAAAATCTCACGTACATGTTTATAAACAAGGTGTGTATTCTGAATAATCTGTGTATATGTAACGAGCACATAAGTCATTCATTTGCACATTATTATTTGATAGTTAAATGTATGGATGTATATTTGTAATCTTCTACAAAAAGAGAAACACACACACACGTACATTCAACTATCTTTCTCTTTCTGTCGATTTGTAAATAAAAATTACTTTAATATTAATTATCATACATGTTATGAAGAAGGATATTATCCTAAGACATTGAGATTTTTATTGTTAATAATAATTTAATCAACATCACCATCTTGAAACATCGACATCAGTGGCTTGGACATGTTCTACGAATGTCATCGTAGAGAATTCCACGTCGTACAATATTGCCGACGCTGAGACTGGTTGGAGAAAGCGGAGAGGTGGTCAGTGTATGACAAGGTGTCGTGGTATGAAAGAAAGCTGTACAGGAATGGCTTCTAATGGTCCTTCATGACTCCCTGGTTGGGGTCCGAGAGATGGTGCAACACAGTGGCTTAAGGCCTTATGAGACATGGCTCAGAACAGAAGCCAATTGCGATTCTTCTGTAACTTTATTTTATCTTAATAAAAAAATGAACGTAACTTCTCTAACTGGAATTCTTTCTGGTTGTACTTTTGCTAACTGAATTGCCTCTCCCACCATTATTATTTCACTCTGACAAGAACTTACATTCTCTTCATTACTGTGTAGCGCATACGTATTTGGTGCCTTAGTAACACGATTTGTGTTCAAATCAATACATTACTTAGTGACGAAGATAATTAATCAAGATTGAGATGAATATTTCTATAAGCACACTTTTACTTGGTGATTGGTAGGAAAATCAGTACTTATTGAGTTCTATAACCCATTTTCTGAAGTCACATACAGTCATTACTAATTAATACTTAAGTGCGTTAAATTTGAAAATTATAAGTGATATGTTAGTTTTAGTCAAGGGTAATGGTATTGACATTTAATTGACAGTCAAGTTTAGTATCCTGGGAGTAAAAAGTCAAAACTCTAAATGATTTTGTTGTAGACGCGATCACAGACTACCATTTGTCTTAACTTCCTTACTTACACCTGTTAACCCTTTCCCAAGGAGAAGCATAGGCCTCCCACCAGCATTCTGAATCCAAAAATGTCCTACGAAATTCTATTGCTGTTCATCATTCATTCAAATTTTCGACAGTGTCTTCTTTGGTCTTTCTCTTCACGACCCAAAGTCAGCGCCTGATTAGTGTTACAGTTTGATGATTTCCCTTATGTATGTCATATCCACCTCCAACGTCTCTTCCTAATTTCCTCTTCAACTGGAAGCTGGTTTATTCTTTGTCACAGTAGCTTTTTGTTGATGGTATCCAGTCAACAGACATTGAGTATTTTGTGTAGACAATTGTTTAGAAATAACTGTTCTTTTTGATGATGGTTGTAGCATTTCTCGAAGTTTCAGCTCCATACAGTAGAACTAACTGTCTTGACGTTTATATTGAAGATCATGACTTCGATATTGGCTTGCATACAGTTGTTTTGAGTTCTATATTTTCTTCAATTGTAGGAATGTTGTCCTTACTTTGCCAATGCTTGCCTTTATATCTGCATCAGATCCTCCAAGTTCATTGATAATTCTGTCCAGATACGTGAAGGCTTCCACACCTTCCAGAGTTTCTCCCTCTAGTATGATTTGGTTGTGTTCTCCTTGTTGCATTTGAGGATCTTGCTGTTTCACTTGTGTATGTTGAGGTTTACTACTGTAGAGGCTGCCACTACACTATCTGTCTACACCTGCATTTCTTGGCGTGTATGGGATAGAAGGGCTAGGTTATCTGTGAAGTCACAATCGTCTAGTTGCATCTAAGCTGTCCATTGTGTTCCATGCTTCATTTGAAATGTGGAGGTCTCTTCATAATCCAGTCAAGCACCAGAATAGAAAGGAAGAGAGTTAGCAACATTGTCTGACTCCGATTCTCACTTGGAATACAACTGTCCTCCATACACAACTTTGCAGTGTAGTCCATCGTATGAATTTCGGATGATGTTGACGATCTTCCCAGCTACTCATTCCATAGTTTCAAACGTGATTCCATAAGGTTCTCTTATCCACACTGTCAAACGATTTCTCATAGTCAATGAAGTTGATTTATAGTGGCGAATTCCATTCAATCGATTGTTCAACGATTATCTGTAGTGTGACGATTTAGTCGGCACACCATCAGTCCTACGGAATCTTTCATACGGTTCAACAACACTCTATTGAAAACGTTTCCTAGTACTGATAGTAATGTGACGCCTTTGTAGTTCTCACATTTGCTAAGATCTTTCTTTAGTATCTTGATGAGATATCCTTGTTTCCAGTGTGTCGGCACTTGTTCCTCCTCCCAAATTTTCCTGATTAGAACGTGGAACATGTTTGCGGTTCTGTGTCTGACTTCAGTGCTTCATGTGATATATCTTCAGGTCCTGCTGCCTTTCCACTCTTGATTTATTTGGTGATGCTGATTACCTCGATCGTTAGTGAAGTGACAGCTATGGAAGGGTCTGTGTGTGCTGCTTCGATGTACGGTGGGTTTAGTGGTGATGGTCTATTCGAGAGTTCCTCAAAGTATTCCACCCACCTGTTCCTTTGTTCTTAAATCTCAGTGATTGGCTTGACTTCCTTGTCCTTGGCTAGTCGCTATAGTTTACAATATTTCCGTGCAATTTTCTTCCTTGTGTCATACAGTTGTGTCGTGTTATCATTTATCTACATATTAGGATTTACATGTATTTAGAGAGTTAACGCATTACTGTGTACGAACTAAGAATGTTGTTTAATAGCCTCGATCATGTTGAATTTCTATGAATTGTATAATGTTTTACTTAACGACACTGAAATGGGAAACTCGATAGCCCTTATAATGTTTTGAAATGACCAAGATTATTTGACGTAATTATTGTGTTTAAATATCTCCAAGATTTGTGAGAAACGGCTGGAAATGGGTGGGGACATTAATAATCTGTATCACAGTTAGACAACTATTTGTGGGAAAATTTTATGACTAAATATCAGAATTACATACTTTTGGAAGAAATTAGAAATTGGGTTAATTGTGAGTGTTATTTTAGTTACTTTTTAAATCTTATGATCAGAACACTTCGGAATATGGGCGATTAAGTAAATTTCCTAAATGACTAATGAAATTCAGCGTCTGGTCGTTCATTACATTAATAATTCTAATGCTGAATATGCAGCAACTTTAGAGACTTGAAGCTTGTGCAACATCGAACTTATTCTTCTGGGTTCATGAATGCTTCTGGTCACTATTAAACATGTTATCAAACTGTTACTTGGAAATTCGAAGTTATAATTATTCAGTTACGATAGAATCATATTCATTTTATGTCTACTTATATAAAACAAAAATTACCATATTAATAAAGATTAAGAATTTGTAGCAAATGATCTGTATTGTTTAAATAACGAGTATGATTAAATAAATGTCCACTCTATATATTAAATTGTCAAGTATTACGAAGTAATAACAATTAATGAACGAAATAAAAACAGCGGTGGATACGGTAAATGTTTATGATGTTGATGATGATAATAATAATAATTGTTAGTTTATGATTACGTGAGAATAGTTATGATAATGGGTGAACATCTTAGACACAGAGATCAAAATATAATCTGATTGAATCTTGAGAATGGTAGATGGGTTACGATCTCCAGTCGATATAGTTATCATTGCATGGAATGACAAAGGAAATACTAAAAAGCATACGAACAAACAAATACTGGAGTACGTATCAGCAAACAGAACCATTATAATACGAAGTAAGAGGACCAACCAATTCACAATAAACAATCGATGAGGTGTTCTTCTAGATCAGCTCGTGATGCAAACATTTGATGGCATCCAGGACACCAAGGTTGTTCCTATAAAAATAAAATAAAAATAAGGCTTCAGAAAAGCAGGTCATCGTCTTAAGAGAGTAATGACACTTTGAAACACATTGCCCGGGCATCAACTTGTTGCATATAAGGCAACTTTCCATCTATTTAGATAGTTAATAACTGATGTCACCCAATGAGATGTATAGCCATAACTTTGTACACAAATCTATATAGTCTGAGAAATTGTATAAACCAGTTGATCGATAATTTTAGGGAAAGTGAAACCAAGAAAACTAGCCTACTTTCACATCTAGATATGAATTTATGGATTAAATATTTACCTTTCAGTAGGTCGGGAATTATATGTATACTTAACGATGGACAACCGTAGTTATACTTACTCGCCTAAAGCATGAATCAGATCCCAGTAATCAACAGCTTTTATACTAGTGTTTGTTATTGAAAGGAGTACCAAAGAAGTGTAGTCTTGGAAGACTATAATCGAACGCTAACAATCACGCTAAACACTATGGCGAACTGTTATGAAAATCGGCCACATGGGATGGTGATTTTTCATAGCTAGTTAATTTTCTATTAGTATTTTACCATAGCCCCCAAATGCCCTGGTACGGCTGAGAGTGGAGAGAGTCCGCTCTCCCTCTCGAAATGCTCTCACATGGCCACGTGTATATAGCCTAGCCAAGGAAGTCCTACTCAATGCCTTCTCGTGGTATTACTGTTGTTTACGAAATTGAAAGGACGAAAAGCGAATGTCCGGCGCTTTAACCAGGCCGGTGGACACGGTGAGTTCACCCAGGGGAGTTGGGAAACTCGATTCCAAACCAATAGTGCACATGGGCTCCAGTATCCTGAGGGAACAAGTAGTGTATGAGCTTATTGTTGGTCACCGGCTACCATCTCCTTACGATGCTCTACTGCCTTGTGGATCAGACATTTAGGTCGAAGGCTCCGGTTGTGGCCCCCTATGAAAACCACCTGCTTCGGTTTGGGCACCCAGACAGTATCACAGCCCTCACACAAATCAAGTGAGATTTGTGTAGCGCATATGTATCTGGTGCTTCTTTGTACCAATATTTATGTCTAAATAAAATAAATAATAAATAGCAGTGGATGTCATGACGTTTTGAATGTCTGACTTTTTTAAGAATCGATTTAACACCTTCACATTTACGTGTTGACTTAGTGAACACAGAAAGAACGGTCCAGTTTGGTGTAACAGCTGATGAGTTTTTTACTCCTACTAAGACAATGGAAAAACGTTCCTTCTCCTCTAAAAAATGTCGCTTCCAGATTGGTCCGTGCCAATGTTTAGTATAAACGAAGTAAAGTAATCAAGGATAAATGGCGAAAAATGGACACATTTAACACTATCAGAAAACATGCAATATAATAAGAATAAAAATAAATTGAATGACATTTGATAACATACAGTTAAAAAACGGGAGAGTCTCACACTAAAGACAAATGCCAAAATGCTATTTCTAGTAATAATCTGTGTTTGGTTAATTAAAGCATGATATGAAAGCTGTACTGGAGTAACAACCTATTATAAATAAGCATCAAACGGAACTTACCTCATCAACCGAAAAACTTGGAACAGATGGCCTTTCGACAGGTTTTTTGAACGACTCCTCACAAGGATTGAGACCCAGTTCGGTTAACCACGACCCATAATTGGAACGATTGACTTGATTCTCCGCCAATTGCTGTATTTGGCGGCGAACAAAGCCACCAACATAGGATAAAAATGAGGGCATCAATGTTTTAGGTTCAGAAGGGATTCTGCCATTTCCATATAACTAACAAGTAAAAATTTAGTGTACCAAGGTTTCAGTACACACATTTACGGGGGTGGTCTAGATAATTGTTGGTTAAACAACCCTGGTACATATATATATATATATAAGGATGGGATGAAGAGACTCCAAATAACCTTTAGTTATTCAAGTGATGAACTGTGCTGATTTATTTTCTAAGAAGTTAAAAGTACCAAACAAAGCAGTTTTGATAGCTATAATGAAATTAGAGTTCTCATGTAACTCTAATTTGGCAGCTTGTGACATTTAGTAACATTAGGAGGATAACTTGACCATAATACACTAGCAACATTACCAAAATACGATATAGTCTTTTGACAGACGTACAGCTGACAGAGTTTATCATAAAGTAAGCCCTTCGGTTTCTTGGATAAAACAGAATGCATGATACAATGTAGCATACTGTTATTCAATGTAACTATAGAAGGTGACTAGTGTAGCTCAAATGACGCCTTCATAAACCCGAAAGTACGAGCCATAACAGATAGTTCTGCTGGTGCAGGAAGCGACTGCTTAGGGGGGGGGGAAAGAAAGTTAATATCAGAGGAGGGGAGGTTTCTAAGAAGTTAAGGCGTTTACACGTTTCCTAGTTGATAGCCGTTTTTATAAAAAAATTATCTGCAAATTAATTTTCTCTGAACCATTGGATTGATTAAGAGATACCAAGCTGCGGTAAATGTCATTCCTGAATCTTCACAGATATCTCATGTTTTATGGAACTTCTATAAAATACCTGCACATTCTAACGCTAGGCAACTGTTAAACAATAAATATTGAGGAAACATTTACCTCTGAACTGTTGTCAGGAGCAGATGGAGTTGAATTAAATTCGTTGATGTTGGTGATTTCTGCTACTTCTTCCCCAGCTGTCAATGGAGGGGGTACATGTTTACTTGAGACACCATTAAAGGAAAGATTTGACCAAAGATTTAAAATACTTGGTGCACTTGGAATATTATGTGTTGCAGAAGTTTCGGGTTGAGTAGGTGCTGTTTTAGCTACTGGAGCCAAAAGATTATCAACTGGCACTGACGCCACTGAAGTTGTTGAAGTATCTTGATTCCTTTCACTTAAGATACGTGAGACCTCTTCACGAACAAGTTCCTTCAAATCAATATTTCTCATTAGTGAAGCCTTCGATGAAAAATTAGACAGAGATATTTAGAAACTAGTAAGCTTATTAGTTAAAAAAGGTAATGTGTCAGTTTATAAGTAACATCATATAATTGCAAGATAGGTTTGGAAGATTGAAAGATAAACAAGTTATTTTTGTAGTATAATCATTTTGTCCCATTGTACAAAAAGGGTCCAACGTAGAAATAAACTAATTCACTACCTATTTTCGAAATAACCAACGGCAAAGAGCAACTGTTTCAACTAATTCTTTAATGTGCCAAAGGTCTGGAAAATAATCAGAAGTGTTAGCTATTTAGGTCGGTACTGATAGTTTTTAAAAAACAGCACTGAAATCCAACAAATAACAAGGCGGTAATTTTAATAGTCTTGGAGTACGAATCCAATTAATTTTGGATACTACTACATTCAAGTGAAAATCTTATTATCGATTAAGCCAATAATGCAAACCAAATATTTAACAAGTTAAAGAGTGTTAACATTTCTATTTGTGTGTATGGGTGATTATGACTTTAAGAGCAGTGTAGATATGTGCAAACAATTGGTGTGGAGCAGTGTATTATTATTGTTCAAATGAAATGGAACGATTAGATGGGGAATTCTGAAGTTAGGTGTGAAGTTCGTAATGTAGACAGTGTATTAGTCGATGAAGCTGTGAGCTTGAAACATGCGTGCTACGGATTGATATGTCGGGATAATTAAGTAAGTTCAAACTTTTCCTTGAACTCAATGAAACATTTTATGACATCAGTTCTCGTTTTCAATGGGACATTTATTCTCAATGTAATATTATTTTAGGTCAATATATCTGTATTAAGTGTACATTTTTGTTCAGTATGACAAGTGTGAACTTTGCTTTTGTTTTACTGTAAACTTATGTATCTTTACATTTATATGATATTAATTAATCAAATGTACGTAAAATCAGTATATAAATGACTGTATTTGTTTTAATCTATCCGTGTTTTTTTTTGGAGTAGATCGATCTTGATTGCATTAGTCTTTCGTGTTCTTACTTCGCAATGTGGCAATAGTGGTGTCTCCCGTTTCAAAGCATAAGCAAAATGACAGCGAATATAAAATGAATCAATATAATGCAATCACTAAGTAGATATTTATGCGCTAAGGTGAAACACACTTTTAGTAAGAGTAAACGATACCTACTATTTAACTGAATGAAGGTTTGATCCTGGAAGCTATTGGTTGAAGACAAAGTGCTCAGTGATCAACTAAGCTACTGCTCATGGAGAGTTTGAGGCTACCGTCTACATCAATATCGATAAAGTAGGTCTGAGATAGAAATAAAAACTAAATGCAACCAGTTTAGAACAATATGAATTCATGAAGTAGACTGTTGGGCCGAGTTTTGTAGTAGTACAAAGTCCTAAATGATATCCTTTGAGAAGCAAAATTGTATACTTGGAGATCCTAGTCAATAGGGGTTAGAAGTTGATAATCATTTAAAAAAATCAAATGTACCTATTAAACCATAAAACAATTTATTCAGCAAAGGAATCTTTTTTAACGAGTTCATTTTCAAGGATGTACAATCGTACATATTTGTGGTAAACTACAGGTCAACGAATAATAATATCTTAAAGAGAGAAAAAACGAAAATTTGTGCAGAATAATATAAATTCATTTTATTTAGTTAAGTTTTCATCAGCCGCTTACAACCTATAATATTTTTTAAAATCAACGTTATTACAAATATTTACATACTTATGCATACGAGGGTGATTAAAGATGAATATGTGTATCATGATGTAGCGAAGACTTTAATGCAGTTAATGCGGTCAAAAAAATTGTTTCGCATAAATAAAGTTTGGAAGGGAAATTCCCAGAACATTGAAATAGTGATTAGAACACATGGAGTTAACAAACACTACATGATTGTGTAATATATATATATATATATATATATATATATATATATATATCATACCCGGTCAGCCGCCTCTTTCACAAAGTTAGTATAGACTGGAGTTTCGTCGTTGGGAGCATTAGAAGAAGCCTGAATTTAGGGAGAAACGAGTCTGAGTGATAAAAGTTGGGACGTCATCAAACTAACAATGATAAAAGATGAGATTGAGAGTAAAACGTCTTATTGTGAATAATAGTAATATAATTCACGCTCAACATATTTGTAGTGATACTGTGTACAACAATGCACGAGGTAGCTGACGCACCTTTTACAACCAAAAGTGTACAATATTTCTAGGGTTTTGAAGAACTTACCATAGATGGTAACGGGATCTCATCTGGTAAACAAGTACCAAACTTTAATGTGTGACTATCCACCTGAATACCATTAGAGTTCACATTGTTCACACAGTGTTTATCAGGGGAATTTTGGAGGTTGTTCGCCAAGGAAACTTGAGTGTATGTCTCCGAAGTGCTTTTATCGGTTTCTGAAAGTTAACGGAAAAAAGTTACATAGCTAAATCCAGTTGACAAAGTTCAAGCACAAAATGCACTAAAAATTCCACAAACTGGATATATTTGACACTTATCATGTTTACATTATCCATTTCTATACCATAGCTGCTATGGTGATGTGGCTGGGACACGTGTTACGTATGCCCAACCACCGACTGCCCCGACGTGCAATGTTTTATGGTGTAGGAGTAGGTTGGAAGAAAGCTAGAGGCGGCCAGACTAAAACAGGGCACAAATCCATGAAGTCACTGACAATTGGACTGAGCCATGCTGGTAGGTGTAGACTACCTGGTTGGGATTCGCGAGATGATAGCAACCTTGAATGACATGGCTCAAAATCGTTTGCAATGGCGAAGGTGCATCCACTCTTTGTGTTCTACCAAATTCTAATCTGAATTCTTCATGTCCCTATTCTTTTTCTCTTTTCAAATTTATTTCAATGTATTATACTCCTTCAATAACATCTTCAAACCCTAATCTTCCCGACTACTGCTTATACTCTTACTACGTCTACCACTATGGGATTTGAATCGACAACTGCATCTCTGTTCTAATGTGGTATGGCAACTGGAACTGATGTACGTACGTAAGAAGTTCTACGTTGTGGCTCACTGATGTTGATGTGGTGGTTGTGACTGACTAACGTGATGATTAAATCGATTTATAGTAGCCGGAGAAATTGTCCATTCAGGTCCTATGTCCTGCTATGGCAGATAGGACGGTTAGAGAATGGTAAGACTATAAGCAGCAACTCAAGTTCCGATGTCGAAATCGTACAGCTGACTGCATAGGGGTGTGACACCAGTAAGATGCTCCCCTCAGATAGCTGGCTTCTGCAGTGATGTTACTTTCTTGCGATGGAAGGAAGAGGCTAGGAAAGGTTGACCCTAAAAACGTAATACCGTATCCTACTACACATATTTTCGTCTCCGGAAGCAAAGCAATATAAAGTACAGAGATAACGGAGTAGGAACTCATCAAAAAGTGCTGTATGATCGACTGGAACAGTTGGTTTATACCTCTAACAACATCCCAGATCTTGTTTCTGATCAAATTCCTTTGTCACTTCGCAATATTTCTCCTGCTTGGGAGCCCTGAAAGCATATTCCAGCCCTCACACAAATCGAATGATGAAGTTCGGCACATGTGTATTTGGCGACTCCTTGTACCAATGTTTATGTGTTTAAATAAAATAAATGAATGTTTCCATAGTCAACCCTTCTCTCATGATTTTATCTTTAACTCCGTGAGACACCAATGTTAACGAGTCAAGTTCACCCAATGTAGCTAGGGTTGTACAATCTTAGGTTACAACGTATGATAAACGAATCAGTATCCATTACGTTACAGCAAATTATTCAGCGTGAACACTGTTGATGGGACTTTAATACATGTTGACGATGACTGGTGTTAATTCAAATGCTCAGTCCAGATATCCTGATCACTTTTTACTGATATATAATCGATAAACTTAATATATCTGTATTGAGTATACTGGGGAACCGTGATCTTGCAAAACCCTTCATCCATTGTCTGAGAAGGATAACAGTCTCACGACTTCTCACTAGGACTCCAGGGAATCTATCTTGAGGCTACTCACTAGTGAGCACATGATTTTTATCAGTACAATGATTTGTGGATATTGTATTATATTCACAGTTGAATACTGTGGGGCATCAAAAGCCTTCATCTACTAGACTGGTGTTTTTAATCTAGTTCGTGGGGTAGAAAAAAGAAGAGGAAAATTGTTCTGTTCCAGATATTAAGATTAAGACAGTGCCGAGAATTTGAAGCGGACACCAAAATGAGGAATAGCGACTATAAAGGATTTCATAGGAAAGAGTTGGATGCAGAATAGTGGGGGGCGAACCAGGCTCTTCTGCGAGAGTTAACAGGATTAGGGTCAGTATGCAATGGTCGACTCAACGGGATAATAAAAACACCGATAGACACATACGTGGTTACCTTTTCTTTGCCCGTTCCTACGTCCTCACTGACCGGAACTCGCATCAACTGAAAGCTTTTCATCCTCCTTTAAATATTTAAACGCTCATATGTATTAGTAGTGGTTTAAATGCCCAAATATGTAATCCAAACAACAATGGAGCATATTCAGGTGGGTCTTTCTGTGTCGCGGCTAAGTGAACAGATAGTGGTGACCGTTTTTTTGGGGCCATGCTCATTCGTAGCGAGGACTAACTTTAAGCACTCAGGAACGATATCTTTGGACATGGAGTTCTCACAGTCGACTCAACGATGTATCTAAATAGACCATATTGTTATCAGCCATCGTTGGAAAAGACTAGTAATCAATCTAGACCCTGATCATGGTCTAGTGTGAGGACATGTTTTCATTTCTTACAAGACTCAGAAAAAAACCCAAAAGGAAGAGGACTCATAGTTCAGATTAAAGATGATAAAGTCAAGAATATATTTAAGGAACGACTGGAGACATCCAGGCCAAGGTCGCTATGGATTATATCTAAATATATGTGGAAGCAGTATAGGTATCTATCAGCAACTTAAATTAAAAGGTTAAGAAACACCAATGGATTTGCCAGATGTTTAGAAACTCACATTGTTAGGTTCTAAACATGATGTGGAGAAAAATCAAATTAAATAGACTGACGAAAAGCGTATAAAATGATCATCAATGGTGATGGGTAGAGAAGGCAAGAGATAGAAAAGGCAATATGTAATTTTAGATAACTTTCCAAGCATCAAGAAATAAGGCACAGAAAATTCTAATGTGAGAATATTTCGAAAACCGATGGGACCATCATTTACATTCAATCCAGATTAGATCGATGGGCAGAAAATTTTACGCAACAGTTAAACTGGTCTCTAACTATTCTTTAATTACCAACTATCTTCAGAAAACCTGAGTGAAAAATTGATACAAGTCCCAACTCTTGGTAAAGTTGTATATGCTATAGGTAATTTGTAGCGAAGAACGGTAGCACGTCCAGATGGATCATACGCGGAGACCTTAAAGAATTGTCTCAGTTTCAGCTATTAAACTGACTGAGATGCTCTCTAGTTTTCGCGAGATGGATGTAATCCCATCTTAACTGTCTCGATTGCTGGTCTTCCTAGTTTATATTGACGAAAATCGCCGAGGATTTAGATTGGCTAATACGGTGTCAAAATCCAGGCTGCTTTCAGATCTGGATGTAGATGTGTATACCAAATATTCACTGTCAAATTCTAGAACGATAAAATACTAAACGACTCCCGGCCTTAGTTGCATTACCTGATACCACAGTATTGAGTACCGTTGGTCGACGGGTTTTATGAGTGTCCGTCGGTGGAAAGTAAATCAAAGTATATTAACTTTACTCGAACATAATTGGTCATCAGATCTCACAGTAAACTGTTTTCAGAATTATCAATTTCAAGTGATTTGTTACCGCTGTCCACTTTCTCTATTTTTATTAAACTTCATCAAAGAAATTCTTATCGTTTAACCTTTCAGAGACTAGTTTCGTACCAGAAAATTCACTTGTTGACTTAAAATGCACAGATGATAGTTCATTCTGATGATGAAGCTGACAAAATTCTTCTGACTACATTAGGTAACAATACAAAGATGTTTGGGATGAGATTCTCTCCCTTTAAGCCCAAAATGTTGCTTGAGGACTGTATCAACGCCTTAACTAATGATAGGGAGTGAAGTATTTGAATGTTTGGACCACATCACTTGACTTGAAAGTTTCATCAGATTTGGTGAGTTAGTGTCTGAAAAAATCTCGGTACAGATTCACAAAGATCAGCTGGGTTTTACCAACTCGCGTCATCTGTGGGGTAGAAATGTCTGTTTGCAAACCAAAGGAGTTTATTTTACAGCAGTCCACTACGTTCTAACTTATGAGTTTGAAATACAAGCATTATGAATAGATATTTCTGGGTTACGAGCATTCGATCATAGATGTCTTTGAAGAGTAGTTTCTATATTTCTGGACCATGGAGTGGGCAGTCCTTAAGTTAGGGACAGGGTACTACGTAAAGATAGGGCATCGGTTGATGAGGTGTAAAACACGACAATAGGGAGAAGAAATGTATATTTTTTCCGAGAAGTAATGAGTATTTATATAATATATATACATATCTATCAATTGTCGATTTGCATCTTTCGGTGTATTCTGCTATCTGAACTGTCTTCCAGTGTTCTGTCGACACCGTGCTTTCGATGCACTGCAACTCTCCACTCCGCCTAACAATTGTTGCAACTTCAATGCCACGTCTCACTAAACACTACTTACAAACACCCTTATCAGTAGCCTCCACTACAGAGGTAGTAATTCTTCATCGGTTGGGAAGTGTTATGTATACTAATCACTGCCTATCTCGATGCTCAATGTTGTGTGGTGTAGGAGTATTTCGGAAGATAGGAGCGGCCAAACCAAAACTCGACATCAGTCCATTTGTGGTGCACACTACACATGAATCCATTGACTGCTGTCTGAACCATGTCGATATATGAATATTAAGTGGGAAAGGTGCGCATGACAATTGCAACCAATGGTTGGAGACATTGGATACAATGATGCAGGTGAATCTACTCTTTATCTCTTACCTTAGTTTCCGAATTCTGAGATATTCTCATATATTTCTGTCTCTACTTCTTTCTACACCCAGTCTTCTATATTAGTACAGACACTGATACAAATTTTACCATGGGATTTATCCAGATAATTTTTTAGCTTTATGTCCTAATCTGGTGTAGCAACTTGGAGCGACGCACATGTGTCAGGTTTTACGTTTCATATGACTGACTGACTAAGGTTATTTACAGTAAACTAAGGTGTATATGAGTTGTTGAGAACTGTTGTAAGTGTTCACTTTAACAACATTTATTATTTAGAAGGGGATTTGTGGATATTTCAGTATATTTCAAAGTTGAAATCATGAGTCAATTGAAGCTAGACCACCATCGAAAACCTGGAAGCACTGGACGGCCGTTTCGTCCTGTTATGGGACTCCTCAGCAGTGCGCATCCACGAACCTGCTCTCGCGAGCGAGATTCGAACCCAGGACCTACCAGTTACGAGCCAGAGCCCTTAACCGATTTATTATTTATTTAGACATAAATATTGGTACAAAGAAGCACCAGATACATATGCGCTACACAAATCTCACTTGATTTGTGTGAGGGCTGTGATACTGTCTGGGTGCCCAAACCGAAGCAGGTGGTTTTCATAGGGGGCCACAACCGGAGCCTTCGACCTAAATGTCTGATCCACAAGGCAGTAGAGCATCGTAAGGAGATGGTAGCCGGTGACCAACAATAAGCTCATACGCTACTTGTTCCCTCAGGATACTGGAGCCCATGTGCACTATTGGTTTGGAATCGAGTTTCCCAACTCCCCTGGGTGAACTCACCGTGTCCACCGGCCTGGTTAAAGCGCCGGACATTCGCTTTTCGTCCTTTCAATTTCGTAAACAACAGTAATGCCACGAGAAGGCATTGAGTAGGACTTCCTTGGCTAGGCTATATACGCGTGGCCATGTGAGAGCAGACTTTCTCCACTCTCGGTCGTACCAGGGCAACTTCTTTCTGTCAACCCTAACTACTCCCAAACAAGTCTTGGAAGGAAGGACTCCAGATTATACTCCAGTCCGATTGTACATAGATAAAACTGCTTATTTGTTACAGAAATCGCTGAACTAAACAACTTGAATGCAAATTCTACATGTAACTCACAAAAAGATGTACTGAAAGTAAATTCATACTAAATGATGTACGAAAATTAACTGGATGAAAACTGTACTTAAAACCAACAAATAACCTTGTCTATTTTCTTATGCTAAATCACATTTACGTATATACATTCTCAAATTAGTAGATGGAGGACTTGTTGAAGGTTTTGAATACAGATGCTAACTTGACCCAAGATTTTTGTCAGAGCATTTATTAGTTCTGTGGACACCGCCGAAATTCGCTGAAAGTACTTGACCTTTTGTTTTAAGTTACCAATAGATACCACTGCTGTCTCCATAGCATTTTGGAAATCATACCAAGCTACCTCGGTGTGGATATCACTTTTACAGTTGACTAACTCCACTAGTAGTTTCGAAATATAGTCTGAACTTTTTCATCGTTAAGTTGAACTTAAAGAGATGTTTTTCCTGCGGCTTTTATACGTCCAGTAAGACGCAGAATAATACGTGCTCGAACTAAAGCACGATCCAAGTCTAAACATGTGCTCAAGAATAAGCTACATTCTTCCGTTGAGCACCTTCAACGATGGCTAATAGCAGCATGATCTATTTGAGTCTATCAATGATTGGATTGTGGAGGTCGCTACGTAAGACGGTATTTCTCATTCTGTTTGAAGTTAATGTTTGCCAGAGATAGATGGTTGTCCGAGCATAGTCGCAACAGGTTGCCATTATCTGTTCGCTGAGTTGCAACACCGTAAGATAAGTTTAAGTGCTTTTCGACTTGATTTAGCTTACTTACGTAAGCATTAAAATCATTTACCACTACTACTACTACATTAGAATGTTTAGTTTTTTGAAAGAAGTTGGATAGCTTCCCATAAAATTCATCTTTGTTTTCATCCTAACAGCAATCAGCAGAAGAGCAGGCAGAGACAACGGCATGTATCCTTATACTTTCGAGTTTATACTGTCCTGTTCAGTCGAGCACATAAGAAACCGTTCATTCGAATCCAGTCTAACAACCTATTGTGCTTTTAAACTTAGTGATATACATAGACCAGAGGCAGCGGAGAGTATTAATCGGGTTGTCAGATAATCAGAGGGTAAATCACAATGGTTTCCTAGTGACGATGTCAAATGAATGACCGTACTTGGATTTTGTATGCGTGTTTGGGAAACGCAGTATGCATCGATGCCGCGAGATTCTAGGGTCCTAGTTTAAGAAGCCTGTTGTCGTATCTGACACAAGGTTCGAGTAATGAAAGCCCCAACATATAGTTTAAAGCGTGGTTTCAGGAGATCAGAGATAGTATTTTGTAAACTCGAATCATTAGCATTTGTGGCGCAGGGTGAAGATATGTGAGAAGAGTTGGACGTGGGAATTGAAGAATTATTAAGAGGTGAGAGAAGAATTTGATCGTCAGCAAGATGATCTCGGGTGATTATAGAGGTATGAGGGCGAATGCCACCACCCAGCTGCCCACACCGTAGAATATTTCTTGAAGGAGCTCGAAAAAGAAGCTGAATTACTGGTTTTAGCGGCCTGTGGATGTGACCGCGAACCCTAAGGGACAACTGCTTGAGGCCGATCACACACGACTTCGCACTTTACAAGGCTTTGCCGCCGAAGACGGAGACCAGTGGGGAAAGATGAAGTGATATTTTAGGGTCGACCCTCCACAACCCCCTTTCTCCCATCGTGAGAAATTAACCACTGCAGATGCTGGTTGCCTAACACGAATTTAGCAACCACGTTTGGGTAATTATAACGTATAATCATGTGCTGTTTATGCAGTTGTGTGGCCAAATAAATTAAAAACTTGCTACAAGTAGCGATCTCACCAATCTGACGGAAATGCAAATGAATGGCTAAAACAAATGATGTGTTATATCCCCCGGTGAATTACGAATGGTAACTTTTAGGTCTATTTATGGATCAATGTAATATGCCTATTTCCTATTATACAATTATTACGTAACTGAACTATTCATATTCGTATTTTTCTTATCATTAGCTTTATTTTGACCTTGACTTATTATCATACGATTCTTGAGTTATAATCAGTTTATTGATTACTTTGGTTTGTATAAAAAACCCAGTGTGTTTGTAAATAAGGATTCATACCACTGAGGCTGTTATCGGTGTTTTGGACTTAACTGGTTGGGCTAGGCAGATCGCAGGACCGGTTAGCACTCTAGTCTGCTCGTACGGTTTTGTGTGTCACTGTGCCAATCGATAAGTTGCTGATCTCTAACTGGCGGTCTCATCACCCCACCCATCAACTAATCATTCACTCGGCCACAAGTATAACAATGTGGAAAATCGAGGCGAGACTAAAATTTATGGACGACCTATGAACGAATCTTAAATGACCTTGAGAAACACTAGGCAATCAGGAAACAGTATAGAATAAAAATATATTATACAAAACCAAAGAATCAAAGTGGATACACTTTTACATGGTCCAAAAACTTGCCAGGGTTAGAAATAGGTTCGAAGGTTCTAAAGTCGTAATGCATACGTTAGAGAAAGTCATCCATAAGGTTTCATAATAGTCGATCTCTGGGGTCATGATAAGGTCGCAAATACTCTTTCAACATCTACCACACAGCTTCAGTATTGCTTGTGTATATTCTGGCTGTGTAAGCTTGACATTTTTATTACGCATATATCTCTACAATACTCATACCACTGAACAGCCGAAGCTCCAGTAACATCTGCGAATATTGTAGCCAATGCTACTGGTGCTTTTATTACGCAGTTTGCAGCAAATATTAGAATTTGTCTTAATCTTAATTTGAATCGAGATACAAAGTCTATATTCTAGCATACTTCTTTACCCAACATATGTTATATCGAAAGACATCATAACGGTAGTCTGCCCAGTGTCTATAAGTCATTTGATTGCCGCAATTACAAATAAAGGAACTTCTTAGTGGCCCTATTTATTGTAGACGTTTATTTGTGCCGTCATCTCTAAAATCTGTTGCGAACTGATCGTACGTGAGCATCAGGTACTAGAATTGGCACCATGGCCTTGGAATCCCTCGAACGCTTCTGAACGGCTCGTTCATAAATTATAGTCTTGATAAAATCGATAACGGACAAAAATAAAAGGTGGATGGCACTTTGTGGCCTTACGATGTCACACCAACTTTAAAATAGCTAGACCTACCTTTTACCGCAGCTGCCTCAGTGTTCAAGGTCTGAATTCTGTTATGCATAGAATTAAGGAAGTTGCACACATCATCGACGGTAGTGTCATCGCTAAGAAGTGATCCACTTTCGTCCAAAACAGACTCTTCCTTAGGACTGGAGGAATTAATTTTGGGATAACTTGTATTGAGTACTAAAATGGTAAAACTTACTACAGCTTCGAGTCTAACTTTTTGATTTCAGTTTCAATTTTTAAAATTGGCTCAATAAGTTTTTTCCATTTCTAAAAGAAATTCTATTAGAAGTGGGGCTCTAAGAGCTTATGACATACGCGATTCTCTGCTTCTGCTTTACGAAGCTGATTATTTAACTCTACTAGCTCTGTCATAACAACTTGTTTCTCTTCATTGACAGCGACTAGTCGTGAACACAGCTGTCTAACATAGGCCTTCCGCACTTCATCAGGGCTAACCGACTAGAAAATATGATGTAAGCACAGTCTTACAATGTCATCCAGCTGCTTTACTAGGTGTTCAACAGTTGACGAATGATCTGGTGTACTACTTTGTAGGGTTACAGTGATGGCAGTTTGTAATTCATCCTTCAGCAGGATACTCGATTGGTTCAGAGTGCCTGACAAAAGTAACCAGATGAATAATGTAGTTTACGTATTGTCTGCTTAAATAAATCAACCAGAACATCGAGGCGGGCTACAGCATCACGGCGACTATCATTTTCTTCGTTAACAACAACGAATTCTTCGTTCGAATCCATAACGATGCTCAGTTAACTGTGTTTGGCGCCTGTATGCTGTTGAATGCCAACTTAGACACTCAATCTTCTGTAAGAAATTTCAGTAATACCTATAGAATAACCGTATTTGTTAAAATGTCATAATAATAATTTATCGTATTTAACAACTAGGTTGTTGAATTGCTATATTTGGCCATTTTGCGGTTGAAATATTTCAGTTTCAGTTTGGAAAGGACAGGAGGCTTGATGGCCTGTGTTAGTCCTGGCAATGATGGTCTCTCAGCTGATCCAACTTTCTTTTGAAGGAGTCGACGGATGGAGCCTCAACCACGTGCTGAGGTAATGAATTCCACTTGTTGATGATTCGATGGGAAAGTCGGTAGTCAGCTGACAAGTAATTCGTTCTGGGCTTGTGAACTTTTTTGGAGTGTCCTCGTAGATTTTCTGTTTTGGAAGACAAGAAAAATGAGGGCATATCAGGTGCAAATTTGTCATTAAGCAATTTGAAAACTATAATCAAGTCACCTCTGATTCTTCTATATGACAGCGGGAATAGGTTTAGCTTGGTCAGTCTAGTACCATACGGGAGCTTCGCTATTCCGGGAATCAGCCTAGTTACTGTTCTCTGAACCCTTTCCAAGAGTTCACTGTCTTTTTTTAGGCAGGGGTTAGCTGCTTGTATACAGTACTCAAGTTTAGGGCGTACGAACACTGTATACAAAGTCAAAAACGTTTTTGCGTCAAGATGCCTAAAAGCCCTGCGTATGGACCATAAAGTCCTAAAACCTTTGGCGGCTATTGCACGGCAGTGTGCAGTAGTCTTTAAGTTTTGACTGACGATGACGCCTAAGTCGTTGTATGCCTGAACAATAGGTAACTCAGTGTTATTCATCGTGTATGTATCTGTACCCTGATGGCCAATATGCATCACAATACACTTGGATGTATTTATCGGCAATTGCCAGGTTTGGGACCATTCAGATAATCTCTCCAGGTCATTTTGAAGTTCTAAGCTATCGCCCTTGCTTTGTATCGCTCTCCATATCTTGACATCATCAGCATAGAGTAAGACCGATGACGATAGTAGACGAGGGAGATCATTTACGTACAGGAGGAATAACACTGGCCCCAAAACTGTACCCTGGGGGACTCCACTAAGCACAGTTTCCCAGCTAGACAACTTGGAGTACACCCTTACTCTTTGTTGACGCCCAACTAGCAAGTCTTTTATCCACATCAATAGATTGCCTCCAATCCTGACATTCCTTAGCTTATATAACAGCCGGTTATGCGAAACTTTGTCGAAAGCTTTGCTGGAATCGATGTAAGCTACGTCCATAGGTAATTTTTGGTCCTTAAGAGCGCACCAGCTTTCACGAGCGACTAATAAGTTTGTGAGACAAGAGTAACCTGTTCTAAAACCATGTTGCTTTTTGGAGAGGATCCGGCTTTCATCGAGATACTTTAACAGTTCCTTCCGAATAATGTTTTCTAAGATTTTAACAACCACACTAGTTAGGCTAATTGGTCGGTAATTCTCAGGCTTATGTTTTGTACCTGTTTTGAAGACTGGACTTACTATGGTGTTCTTCCAGTCTTTTGGTAGACGACCCTGGGTTACGGATAGATTAAAACATACACTTAAAGGGTTCGCAACAAAGTTAGCTAATTCCTTTAATAACCTAGGATGCAGTTCATCGGGTCCAGTGGATTTACCTATGTCAAGCTTAACTAACAGACCAAAGACATCGAGTTCTTTAATGGTTACGCTGTCCAGTGCTTGTGTGGGTGGATTTTCATGGACTGGTGAGAAGGGTGTTTCTATGGTGCATACATCGCTAAAGTATTTAGAGAATACTTGAGCTTTGCCAAAGTCATCCTCCACTAGTGATATGGCAGTACTGTTTCCCCATAGTGAAGGAACATTTCTTCTTCTTTTTGTCCTTTGGTTTATATACGAATACAAGCGTTTAGGGCATTCTATGGATTCCCTAACGATTTTCTCTTCGTACAGCTTTCTGGCCTTACGGAGGGTCGAGGCACAGGTATTTCGAGCCTTTTGATACTGAGATTTTGCCTCGTCAGTCCCCAGTAACCTAAATCTGCCCCACATTTTCCTTCTTTTACGGAGAAGGATGCGAACCTCCCTACTGAAACACGGTGGGGAGTTTCTCAGTCTCTTAGGTGTAGTCCAAGGGATGTGGGGGGTGGTAACTTTTAAGTATAAATTCCGGAATACGTCCCAAGCCGTTTCGATTGATGACTCTGGGTCTAATTTCCAATCTACTAATGATGCTGATTTCATAATGTCTGGTATGTTTGCTTTCCAGACGTTAGGTCTGGATTGAGCTGAAGCGTACTCGTGATCGGCAGTTATATGGAAGTCAAAGCTTAAAACTGCATGATCACTTTTGCCTAGGGGTGGCATGTAATCCAGGTTTGCAACATCATCCTCATAATGAGTCAATATAAGATCTAGTAAGGATGATGCAGAACCCGGGTCGTACCTAGTTGCTTCCTTCACGTGTTGCACTAGGGCACATGTGATTACCGCATCAACTAGTTCCTGTACGAGGGAGTTTGCTGACGATTCAGTCCGCAGATTTCCCCAGTCCACCATGGGTGCATTAAAGTCCCCTAGGATTAGACATCGATCACTTCGTGATAAAGTGTCGAGACTGCTTAGCAGGACCTCGTTTGCCTCACAGCTTGGACTGCGATAGATCAAACTAAGTAGCAACTCTTGTCCCCTGCATTTCAGGCGGCAGCAAACTAATTCGTACGTCCCACTCTCATGGGATACACTGTCGATAATGGTGAATGGAATAGCATTCCTAATGAATAGAGCTACTCCCCCTCCTTTATGCGTTTGTATTCTATCGGCCCTTACCAATGTAAAACCCTCGAAATCAAGTTCCCTACTATCTATAGACGGCGTCAGCCATGTTTCTGTGTTTGCAATTATGTCTGGCCTAGTTGAGTCAATCTGTACACCTAGTTCCGGTAGCTTATTTAGTAAGCTCCGGGCGTTGGTATAACAGATCCGAAGCCTATTTAGGTGGCCTCGTGCTTCACCCAGAGTGGCTTCGGCATCATCGTCTGTCGAAGCCTCACAACCCGAAAATTTACAATTTCCAGGTCTTTTTCACCAGCGGTGCAATGCACAATTTTTTAGTTTCTCCACGACAAGCTAGTATAAACTAATTGATTTTCTTTGGTTCATTTTCATTGTTGATATGAATTTTCCAGCAGTAATACGAGACTGATAGGCACAGTAGCTGTCACATGACAAGGTAGTTGTTCAACAACACGACTAGCCAAGAAAGACGGAGACTCTAGACATCGGCTATTGAAGATAACCTTCCCCTCCTCCCATATGGCGGCTGCAACTCTGGAGGCATTTCGTGCCGATAGACGACGGTTACCAACTGGCATTCATATGAATCCGGATAGGCCACACGACAGCAGGATCAAGCACAAACGCAAGCTGGAGCTGACAATTCCACTTGTGGACTGTCTTGATCATAAAAAAACGTGTAAAGGACAGGGACTACTAGCACGGTAAACATTGTATAGGTAGGCTACCTGTCCACTCATGCAAGGCTCGTATAGAAACAGCGACAGGAAAATCGGAACGGGGGTGGGGTAGCATTATACATACGATCATGCCTGAAGGCGCACCAACTTCACAACTAAGAGTTTCTCAATCTTGATGAACCAGTATAGTGCTCAGTAAGATTGTGTACCACCTCGAGGTGTCCAGCTTGGGTCATCTACAGGGAGCTCACTGCTGGCATCGAGTATGGTAATCGTTTACCAGAAAGATCAACTCGCTCTACGCGTCTTGGATTCTCTCATACCTTGATTGTAGGGGATTTCAATCTTCCTAGAATCAACTTCACGGAACATACCTACATTGAAGGTGACAACTCTACTGAAGCTCGGTTCTTCAACCTCATTGATGATCTGGGCTCATTCGAAATTGTGAAGTCGGCAACTTGTTGGAGAAACAGTCAGACGCCGTCGCGCTTAGACTGGATATTCACAAATGAAGAATTCCTAGTGGACAACCTGAGGGAAGCAGCTTCAATCCTGGCATCACCAGTAAGCGTGATGTTTTCACACTCGCTAAGCCGAGGCAAAATACCGGAAATTTGGAAGCTGGCTCACATCACACCAATCTTAAAGGACGTCGACGCAGTGAATCCTCAAGCTACATACCAGTGACCCTTCTCTCCATGACGACCGTATACACGAATACTTATTATCCTTCAAGTTCTTCCCACCCCAACAGCATGGTTTCAGAAAGGGTCATTCTTGTATGACCAACCTGCTGACTGTGGTGGATAGATGGACAACCATCCTTGATCGCAAGGGGAAGGTTGACGTCACTTACCTTGATATCTCAAAAGCTTTTGATATTGTCAACCACATATGTCTTTTCAATACGCTCAGACGATTGGGTATCAAACCCCCTCTGATTGACTGGCTCGCTTCATATCTAGAAAGCCTACATTTTAAGTTCAGGGTTAACTTCACTCTCTCTCGGGCTATGAAATGTCACAGTGGAGTCCCCCAGGGCTCAATACTAGGACCTCTTCTCTTCTTGATTTGTGTAAACGATCTTCCACAACAAGTTTCATCTGACTTATTGCTTTTTGCTGATGATGTGAAACTTTGGAGAGAGATCGGTAACCAAAAGGATATACTAGCATTTCAGGAGGATCTGACTTGACTTCAAAGTTGGGCAGACGACAGCGGACTTACCTTCAACACTTCAAAGTGCAAGGTAGTCCATCTGAGACATGTTGCAGACTACAATTACAACTTAGGAAACTCCTCTCTAGAAGTACCCCTATTTGAAAAAGATTTAGGAGTGCCGGTACTCTACGATTTGAAGTCTTACGCCAACTGTGACAAAAATGCTTTTCGAGCAAACCTTACACTGGTGACATTGAAGTGCGATTTTGGCCAGTTCGATGGTAGAACTTTCCACATGGTCTTCAACAGTTTCATCCGTCCCTATTTAGAATACGGAAACATATTATTACCCCCATCCCTCCAAATGAATAACGACACTCTGGAGCGTCTCCAACGGTGAGCCACGAAATCAGTCCTGAAACTCAAATTCAAACCTTATGAAGAGCGTTTCCATCAGAGTACAGGCGTCTTAGAGGTGACCTTCTAATGGCTTATAGCATCCTTAACACTTCTAGACAACTCCTTAAACACTTACTTAGGCTTAGTCTCAATAGAAACGTAAGGGGCAACACCCAAAAAGTGGAGACTCAACATAGCAGAACAGACTGCAGACACAACTTCTACTCCGTAAGAGTTGCTACCGACTGAACTAGTTCAAGTGACTTCCCAGGAGTCCTTTAAGAGGTAACTTGACCTATTCTTAAGGACTAAGAATAACAGCTTATTATGATTTACCGAATTCTTTCTTTCCTCTATTATCATTAATATACCTAGGTTCCTGCCTGGAGGTATTGGTGATCCACTGCTATTAGACACGGAAGCCCGTTAAGGGAAAGCTTCTTCTATCCCGTCCGCAAGCATTTGAACCATTATCTTTTGTAGTATTTGCTGTAAGTTTAAAGTTTTCAGAAAAATCAATGAGTTCAAAATACGTATTTACTTCAGGCCTTACAACGGTAGGTCATCCTATTTTTCTTTAGAAAAGTGTTTGTTTTTCAGTAGTAAATTTAAGGTTAAACTTGACTTCAGTTTGTTGTTGTTACCACGCACTATACAAAATGAGTAGATTAGACAAGTATGAAAACGTGCGACATGTGTATAGATTGCTGAAAGAAAAAGGAGATATAGACAAGATGAAGGTAAATGATCAATTATGATAGGAGCAAAAACATAAACAGTCTCAAATCAGGACAAAATTGATACTGGGGTTTGGATCTTTGGATAATTCAATAACAAAGATTGACAATCAGACCACTGATCGAAATATAAAGATGGCAAATTGCCTAGTTGCAGATCATCTGAATATTCACGGATATAATTACTCTTTGAGTGTTTTTTTACCAGAAATTGGGCTAACTAATTTCGAGGTATGTTTTGATAAAAAGCTAGATTTATGGTCACTTTCAGTTAGAGGAATTCATTAAAGATATTTCGCACCTCAGGCCATATAGTTGTTTAAAAGACCCCGAAAGATTGGTATTACGGTATATACTTCGCTCAACTTGTTCTATTTTAGACGAGTTTTTACAAAGATTCCTATTCATTACTTGTGTCAATTTTGAAAGCCTACGAAGACGTCTCTAGCCTTTCTAAAGAACACAAAGCTGTCCAGGCAGTTGAAGCAGATGGTTGTGACTTAGGTAAATCTGTGAATGATTTTTAGTATTTATTACCCCTCCAAAAATTAAGCCATATTGTTTTCTTATTATTACCCTTGCGAGAATTGAAATATCAAATGTCGTTCTCAGATTAATAAGAGTATGTATTTGTTAAACGTAAGTCGTTTACAAGTGAGTCAAAATTTCAAAAACCCCGAATAAGTGTTCGCTTAGGAATGTTAATTTAAAATTTGGAAAGAAATTTTCATACTCGGCTTATGAGTAATTATAACTTATTTCATTAAACACACACATTTATGCGGAATTTCTGTGAAAGAGAAATTTTTATCCGGGTAAAAAAATGGGTTTGGCGAATACATAGAAGGAGCAACTTTATTAGTGACGTATCATATCTGACAAAGAAGTGTGCAAAATAACAGTTCAAATGGTTCAAATGGTTGAGGACGGAATAGAAGAAGCTTTCGCTTAACGGGCTTCCGTGTCTGGTAGCAGTGGATCACCAATACCCCCAGGCAAGAACCTAGGTATATGAACGATAATAGAGGGAAAAAAAGAATTTGGTAAATCATAATAATATGTTATCCTTAGTCCTTAAGAATAGGTCAAGTTTTCTCTTAAAGGACTCCTGGGAGGTCGCTTGGACTAGCTCAGTCAGCAGCGAATTCCAGCACAACTCTAACGGAGTAGAAGTTGTGTCTGCAGTCTGTTCTGCTATGTAGGGTCTCCAATTTCTGGGTGTTACCTCTGAGGTTAGTGTTATGACTAAGCAGTGAACGCTCCTCGGATGTATCTTAACCCATCTGTAATTTGCTTAGATGCTTTCTTGAACTTTTGGCTCAAATTCAGTCCAAAATAAGAGTGTCAAACTAAAATAATGCGGAAGTTGATTGGGTTCAGTCATTAATAATGAAGAAAGGAGGTCAGACGTCCTATTTATAGTACTGTAAAGATGCAATCTAACTTTGAATGTATCTACAGAAGTTTATGATACTATATGTTATGGTGGAGACTTTCAGTAGTTCAACACTCGATAGGGAAAACAAAAATTTAGATGCAGACGTTTTGATTTCAGTTTTTAGAGTTTCACAGGTCTCTTTATCTCATGGTCAGTTTGTCACACTTGAAATAGCTAAAGACTGATAATAGATTATTCCACAAGCTTCTAACCTGAACGATGAAATCACATGATCACTATTTCGTAAGGGTGGGAGAATGTCCAAACAGGCAATATTTACAGCTTCATCGGTGATTATTGAATCCAAAAAGAAAGATCCTTGGTTTTAACTAAAACACATGGGTTTGGATATATGCTGTACTAAAACATGGTTCATCACCAACACAAGGACTCTAGTATATAGTATATTATTGATTCCAATAGCGGACAAAGCCTTACAATCTATACCAGGTACATCGAAATCTAGTACAATGCACCTTTTAGTTTCACTCCGGAGCCTAATGTGTTCCCAAATGAAATCATCAACTTGGCGGATCGGAATGTGAAAGTGATACCTAGCGTAAATGTAAAATGTTCAAGAGTAAGTTCACAGTTAAAGGCTTCACAAGTCTCATTATCATGGGACTCACATAGAAAAGAATGTGTGTGAATATTTGCAATGAATATGAGGACCCTCACCCTCTTTATTACATCTATTTTCATCACTTAGTGATTGTGATCACGAAGGTTTAGCATTACTTCAAATAATAGGAGGAGAATATCCTTCCTTTTTTAGTTCGTTTTACGCCATTGAATAAAAACTACAGACTATTTAAACGGATAGTCTTTATGATGTAAAGAGTTCATGTCAAACATACAGTTAGGTTTGTGAATATCAAAGAAGATTATTTATGTTCTATTTAACAGGGAGTATGAAAATTCTGAAGTCACATATGCACTTGAAAGTTGTTAGATTAATCGGTACTATAGTTATTAATTATAATGTCGAGTCATGCAATATGATTAAATGATGGATGCTCACGAGATCGAACTATTGACGTAAGCCCTTGAAGGAAAAGATATCAAAAGATAAGACAGATACCTAGCAGAAGACTATTTTTTCTTACAAAATAACACACTTGTTAAAAAAGATATTGAACAAAATTAAAAGGCGAACAAAAGTCAGTCAGTAAATACTGAATATAAATAACTTACTCTGCCAGGGAACTAGTCATATCATAACTGTCATGTTAAAATAATTATTAGGCAAGTATACTTTGTTTTCGTTTTGTTTACAAAGATCACAGGTTAAACAGTATTAATAAAGAATATGAAGCAATCAAGTCATTAGAGATTTCGGATGCAAAAAAGTTATTTGATGATCGTTTGGAACAATATAAGAATGAAATAGATGTACGAAGTCGAATGGAAATGGAGCGACAGGTAAGATTAATTTTCATCATTCTCTTGAGTAAATCTTCGGTTTTTCTCACAATCTTGCTGTATTTTTGTTAGTTTGTTTAGAGAACGTATTTGTAATATACTACGTTTACTAAAAGCTTCGTTGGAAACAATACCATACCCTCTGCAATTTTATAACAGTTTATAGCTATCAGTGCTCACTCCCAACTCAATTCATTCACAGTATATAATCCAGTTAGTTAAATGTTTCTTACACATTAAGTTTTTTTAGTTGCAAGGAACTTTTGACATTTCATTTTAATAGTATACGGATATGATGTATAAGTAGTTTGTAGATATACGGCAACCTTTTTTAAAATTTCAACCTATGTGGTTCGATTTCATGTGATGAATTGCCAAAAATGTTTATTGATTTAGATGTCAGAGTTTCGTCAAAATGAATTGAACTCGTTGAAATCGGAATTGGAAGAAGAATTTCAAAAGCGTCTACTTCAAAATACACAGCGAGTAAGATATCTTTATACTTGATATTACTTTGGTAAAAATGGATGTATATTTATATGATAGAAGAAACATTCGTTGTGACCACTTTATTAGGGAATACATTAACAAATGTATTCAAATCAGATGTATTCTTAGCTTGGATATAAGCTGTTACATAGCTTGACGGGTTTTTGAGTGAGAAGAATAAAAACGTTTAAATCATAAATATAAGAGTAGTAATGTGATGTATTGTACCTAAAAATGTTTTCATATTTTTGTGGTGAAAGCATAATGGTACCAATTATTTAACTGCTTAGTATAAAATTCCCCAATTCTTTATTTTTCAAACATAATCGCTTTCGAGAAGTTAGTTTATCAAAAACGCCATCTATTTCTGTAAAGTCAAGGGCAGCCAGAGAAAATTGTTTGATTCGAATAAGTTCATTGCAGTTTTTAAAACCATGATTCGCTCACAATTTAGCTAAGATACATTGATGCGATAGCAATTTTGGAGTTATGATAGATTAATTCAAATGAATGGTGAAATGCTGTTGGATTTGCACACTCAAATAGAAAACACGTTATTAAGTTTGGCTCTGGATAATTTATATTAGATAGAACGGTCATAACTTTTGTGATTGAGGTGTTGAGTAACCTGAATCGGAACTTACAAATGTTCAACTACTTCTTGAATGTTATCAGTGTTCCTTACTGGTAAATTTCGGCAACTGCTAAAGTTAACCGGAAGAGGATTACTTATCATGTGTCATCAAATAAGCAATACTGAATAAGGAGCTCTGCAACTCTTGACTAATCGAGTTTTTTCACAGTTGAAATCATGAGTCAATTGAAGCTAGACCACCATCGAAAACCTGGAAGCACTGGACGGCCGTTTCGTCCTTTTATGGGACTCCTCAGCAGTGCGCATCCACGAACCCGCTCCCGCGAGCGAGATTCGAACCCAGGACCTACCAGTCTCGAGCCGAAGCCCCTAACCGATAGACCACTGAGCTGGCATCCAACGGTGTTAATGTCTAACTTCAACCAATCCACGATATTGAGCGACCGTTCACCAATTGTCTTCAGTGAGATGATATCTCTACAACAGACCTGGTAGAACTCCACTGGTCACTGCTTCCTACTAGAACTCAAGGAAATATCTCTTGAAGTCAGTCACTAGTGAGCATATGATTATAGATCAGAGGGGGTTTTGTGGAGAATTTAGTATTTTCACAGTTGAAATCATGAGTCTCGCTCGCGAGAGCGGGTTCGTGGATGCGCACTGCTGAGGAGTCCCATAATAGGACGAAACGGCCGTCCAGTGCTTCCAGGTTTTCGATGGTGGTCTAGCTTCAATTGACTCATGATTTCAACTGTGAAAATACTAAATTCTCCACAAAAATCCCCTCTGATTTATAATCGAGTTTTGTCAAACACGATCAACAGATAACATAATATCAGTCACTTGGCATGTGAAATATCCTGATGCTTAGCGACGCATCTAGAAAGTATAAATTGCTAGCTGAATATGTAGCCAACATATATGATAATTTTTCTGCAATTATTTTTATACAGAATAAGCAGTCTACTTGGCGCTATTCCAGCAAAAATTCGAAAATATTTCGAACCATACTTTACCTACTCGTGAGTAGTAAACCATAAAATAAATAAAAATGTGAACAAACTCTGTAAAAGCAATTAGTTTTTTATATATTCTAGTTACAAGAAGAATTTGAACTTCGCTGTCAATCCCTCAATGAACAAGAGGTGCTGCTTAGAGAAAAGTACAATCTATTTCAACAAAAGGAGGAGCGTGAATCATTTGTTAGACGTCAAGCTTTGCAAGCTGAATTAGACGCTATCCAGTTGGTGAAAACACAATTAGATAAAGAAAAACTCCAAATAGATAAGTTAGTTAATTAAATTAAATTATTTTAAATGGCAACAGTAACTTGATGAATGAATTGTTTCGCTTTAATTATTGATTATAATCAGTAGTTCTTCTATATTGTTAGGTATAGAAGTTATTTTACAAGATACTCAAAAGGAGAAAGAAGTATAGAGTCATTTTGTATAGAGTAAAAGAGTACAGGTAAAAAAAGAAGATATTAATGTATTGTGTGAACTCTTGTTAAACATTTATCTATACGATTAGTAACTGACAGTGAGCAGTTTTTGTATCGCAAGTAATAAAAACACTTTCCATATTTATTTGATAGTAATTGTTCTGGGTTGCTGAGTCAATTAATTTCCAAGACTAGAGTTTTCCATAGAAAATATAAAGAATTCATTTCTATTAAATGAATTCTTGCTAAACAGTCTTTTTTGGAGATTAAAATCTCAGCTAATGTCTTTATTTCATTATAAGATATGAAGATTTTGTTTTCGAATTAAGTGCTTGTACCCTGAAGGGAAGTTCCTTAAATAACACCGTTTAGTTAAGTAGTCCTCAAATTAATTGAAAAACCGAATGTATATGTATATGTAATGATACTAACAGATTAATAATTTACTGTTGAATTTTGCTAGTTAGAGAATACGGCATCGCGCTTTACTGAATACTGTGTAAACACTATAGTTCATTTTGATAAATACCAGACCTCATAACAAATGTCCAACTATGTGACTAATTTTGTTGTTTTAAAAAAAAATAGAAAATCGTAAGTAGGGCTGTATTTCTAAATTCTGTGAAGACATTGTGATTTGAGAAAGCTGCTTCTCAATGAACTTATCGAAGTATTTTCTTGGGACTCATAATTTTTAATGTTTAGTGGCCATGAAAATGAGTTAGACATATGAAATGATTTAAATGAGATATTTCCTTGAAAAGCTTGGACCAGACTGCCAAGCGAAACGTTGGATTTACTTCAAATTCATTCGCTGAGATTTTACAAATATATTATTCCTATTTAGTGTCTTACATCAACTCGGTGCCCAAATACTATGGAACTATTCGCTCTAATTTAAACGAAAGTTCTTATATATGAAACGATTGTTTTTCTGTCTTGATTAATGTTATTAGACATTAAATAATACATAACTTCAAGATTATAACAAATTAAATGTTTGCAAATTATTCCTATTATTTCAACACAATTTATTTACAATATACCGAACATTTCATTTCTAATTACACAACGAAGTTTTGATACGATTTGACAATTACTGAATATTTGGGGAGTTTTTAACCATACTGTATATTACCCTGAGTAATCTTTGACAATCCGAACGAGGATTAAATTAATTGACGTTTCGCTCTTCTATATTTTCCTAGGAGTGAAAAGAAAGTGACATTTTTCTATTTCTGAAATTCAACTATTGAAGGAAGTGCGGTTAGATTTTTAGGTAGCTAGAAACTTGCACAATTTACTGTAGATTACATATCGTTATGTCAACTGATAGCATATATCTTTCACTTTCAGTAAGTGTTTGTAATCCTGGAATAAAATACTTATTTTAGCACACACATGAGTTGTTATTCGGTTTCTTCGTTCTGTAGTCAGTAAGTCGTAAATCTGAATCCTGGTATTTGTTCTATTTCTTCATTGAGAAATACATAAGTATGGATCTTACAGAAATTATGTGATTGTCGATAAAATATGAAAGTACGAAAATTCAAAAAAGAAAACTTCGGTTAATATTTTCTTATCTGTCGTTTTGCAACATAAAATCCATGTTCATTCTATTCATAAATTCAATAAAACAAAATAGTTATTGTATACTAATTTGATAAATGAATTTTATTTATTTCAATAATTGAGATAATGAGGTTAAACACTCGCGCGCGAGACTGATAGGTCCTGGGTTCGAATCTCGCGAGGCGGGATCGTGGATGCGCACTGTTGAGGAGTCCCACAGTAGGACGAAACGGCTGTCTAGTGCTTCCAGATTTTCCATGGTGGTCTAGCTTCAATTGATTCATGATCTCAACTATTGAAATTACTATAATATCCACAAAACCCCTTATTTTATTTATTTATTTTTTAATTATTAGTGATAAATTGCAGTTTCATAAGGATTATGAGAAAAATGAATTGGAATTTAAAAAGCGTGAAAATCTTTTGGAAATTAGAGAAAAAACATTAGAAAGTGAAATTCATGAACATGTAAACCAGTAAGTTATGTTGTACTTTCCTGGTGAACTGTTGTGATGCTATCATAAGACTTAAGAAAAAAACTTTCTTGATTAGACTAATTAAAATGACTAGGCTATTAACACTAAACAACATGACGATGTGTGGGCGAGAATGACAATGATTGGTTGTCTTGATGAGTCAGACATGTAGATAGTGTGACAGGTGTTATATATGTTATATGTGTCCCCTATGCGGACTGTTATTGATTGAATGTTCCTTGTGTCGGATTTTGGTGTGGAAATATATTGACGGTCTAGTCAGGCTAATCTCGTGTTCTTGATCTGAGTTGTGTTGAAGTCCTGTAGGATAGACACTGGGTGGGAATCTAGTGTAGATATTCGTCTAAGGTAAATTAACGTCCCACATATGTGTAAAAAGTGAAAGGACAGTTAAAACAAGAAACCCTAGCGTTATAACAAGTATCCTACGTTTATAACACACGATATATCTCTTACTTATTTTCCAATTAGTTTCTTTTAAGAGACCTTGAAAATTTCTCAGAAAAGTTTTTGTGAGCTAAAAGAAAGCTGAAGAAATTTCGTCTAATCAACGTTTAATATGAGCTTCTGAGAGAGTTCTAGAAAAATGATGGATTATTTTTTATGCTGGAATTGGATAACCACAGACTGTGTTATTGAATTTGACATATTTCCAAAATCTTCTGGAATATCATGGTCATGCATAAACATAACATATTACTAATCTTGGAAGAAAAGCTAATTTTCATACTTCCCATATTTTATATTCCATTCGGGTTTCCAGTATAAAGGATTTCTAATATATTAGAAGGTTGTGAGAAAGTCAGTGTTATACATTCATGTACTAGGGATAACAGTTTCACGAGGATTCTATGTAGTAGATATTATTTTTAATCACTTTATTACTGATTCACCTGCCGTTTAAAATTTACTTGGTATTTAAGGAACATTCCTTGTTGACTGAATTCTCGACATTATGAATATTATTTACAAGAAGTAGTTACCATCTGTAGGAAATTCATAACTAGACTTGACAATCTTTTATTCCATCTCGTCTAGTTCTAGAGTGGATCTAAAGTTAAGATACCGTTATTAAACTTATTAGGGCTAAATATATGTCATTTAAGGTGTAAATTATAGTACCTAAACACTCCTGAACATTAACTTTTAACTCTAACTTTCCTACAACCTAACTCTCAACCTTTAAAATCCATATGTCAATATTTTATTTCACAAAAAAATGATAAGCCGATTCAATCAAAATCATGATTTCTAACAAAAAACTAATGTTGATGGTGTTTCAAGCTTGCGTTAATATTTAACATTCGGTATCTTAAATCTGATTGGTCACCCAAAGGTGCCAATATGCTTTATTACAAAAAGATTTCACCTTGGCTATCGGTGATTTTCGCTTTTAATAAATGATAAGAATGGAAGCACTAGAAAACATTCTGTACGACTCAGTCTAACATTGAGGCTTATTTTCTACACTCAGTTGTGTTATTTTTTACGATCGGCCTCTTAAAGTACAAGTTTACAATAAGATAATAATTATTGGTTTGGCTGTAGTGCGAACTAACATTACTCGTCTTATGGTTTGGGTTAATATTCTTTGATTTCTAGGTAATAATGTATGCATTCGATTCCTAGAGCGTTCAAGAGAATATACACCGAGATAGCCTACGAATAGGGTGAATTATCTCTTTATTAGTTAACGAGTTTTATTAGTTTTCTAATTAGTATCAAGTCAGAATGTAAAACACATTGAAATCTATTTGAACGGACAAAAATACCTGGAACTTCAACTTTTGGACAGTGATATGTTGTACAAGGAAGAGTTGTCGATTTCTCATACTATGTGTTATGTGTCAGTCATTTGTAGTCAGTGTACTTCTTAGCACAAATATGGATTAGCCGAAGTTACTATACCATATTAACGCTAAGAGATGAAATTAATCGAAGTGAATAATACAGGTATCGAAATAATCTGGTAGCAATGACAATACGAAAGGGTAAGGATTCAGTATATGGTTTGAAATGACAGAAACGAAAGGTATTTATAGAGAAATGCTGGGAATCAAAAGCTAGAAAAAGAGGAAAACGGGATGTATCTTGGCGATTGTCACTGATTCTGAGTCATGTCGCCTGATTATTATTATTAATGGCTTTATTCAATATTATAATCTGGTACAATATAGAATTCTCAGCACAATGTCTTCGAATATTGACCAGAGTTATTATGCGGGCCCCAACCAAGTGGTCTGGATCTACCAATACACATCAGACTAACAGTCAGTCGTTTGGGGACTCCTAGTCTTTTTCAAAACTACTCCTTTATCACCTGACATTGCCTATCGATGTAAGATATCTCCTAAGTACCCGATGCTTGACCACCTATGATCAAAATCTTACAGTCTGAGTATATTGTTTACTCCCAGTCCGTTTTTCATGAGATGATATTAAACTTGGAAGAATTGTAAACGAAGCAGTACTGGAAAAAAACCCTGGTCTTGTCCAGGTTCTTTTTAGTGGTGTAAATGCATAATTAGACAGGATCGAGCTCAGCAATTTTAGGTTTCATTACGATTGAAATATATTTGAGCTATTATGTTATAAATCTACTGGTTTAGATTGTCAACCTTGATATTATGCTGTCATCATCCATTTTATGGGTAAGTTAATATTCCAATTCTAACCTGATTGACTCTATGGTTATTGATCTTTGGTTAGACATTATTGAAAAGTTTGAAACTAGAAGAATATAGCTGAGTCATGATCCCTAATTTAAAATTACTTAGAATCTGTTGTTAGTTTATGGTGAAAATCATTTCTTAATAGTAATCTCAACATTGAAATGATCTTCACAATCAACTGACTTAATAATTACATACTTTAGAAAGGCAGAAGTCCCCTCTTATATACATTTGTAACTGGCATTAAAATATACTGGGACAGAATTCGAGCTATTTGTTCTGATATTTTCAACATCAGAATAAAAAAATTACACAAGATTGTCTATTAGTCATGTAAGAATCAATGTGAATCAAATTTTATAGTAGTGAAAACTTCAACCTCACTGATTAATGGCCTTAAATGATAATATGTAGTTCGTTCACTTTTTATAGATTTATAATTATATTGAATTAGTTTCATAAATCAGAAACCTGACTATTCAATCTCAATATTTCTCACTTGTTTCAGAACGTATACGTATGTATAATTGTATATAATCTGAAGACAGTATATTGACCATATATAACAACAGATAATTACATATTCGTTTCTAAGGGTTAAACTCGTTTTTATTAGCACAACCAATGGATTTTTAGAACTATTTTTATTTTTTGACAGAATTCGTATGGAAGACGAAATAAAGTTAATGAAACAACGTAAAGAATTAGAATTACGGTCTGTTCAACTCTCAGGTAAAAAGAAAAAAAATTATTTTATTCAAACTGTTTTATTGATAGAAAACCAGAAAATGCTTGAAGAGAAATTGAAAACATTTGAACAACTTAAACAAGAATTGTTAAAACAACAAAACAAATTCACAGAAATGGAGGTAAGAATCTGCCCTCCCCTCTCTCTCTCCCTCTTAATTAATTGATATTTATCTTGAAGTTGGTAAGATATAGATGTCTCTCTCTCTCTCTGACATAATAATTTGCCAATTGAATTAAAACTGAAAATTAGCAAACAAGTTAATTTAATGGATCAATTTAGGCCTGTAAATCGAAAAAGCACATCATATGTAATTGAATTTCCTAAGTTTTATGTTAGTTTTCAATTAGTATATTTCCTAGATGTATAAGAAAACATAGTAAAGAGTGATTAGAAGTTGTTACAGATTGTAGTTTTCAAAAAAAGATCAATTTGCATTTTTTTTAGGTTGATATTTAGCCCAATTAATAGACACATTAATATCCGACCAATTTGTCAACCTATCTTGAGGCAAGTGCAATTATAATTCTACATAATTCTACACGAATATGCAATTAAATTATTATTTGGTTGATTGGAAAAATCAAGTATCTTTAAAAGTGTTGAAAGTTGATGCTATGACATCGATTAATTTCTGAAGTTTTTCAGTTAAAGACATTGTTATGACATTCTCACATCAGAAAACTTATCAGAAATGACAGTGATGAAACTGAAGCGCTTTACTAACTTGTACAGTTCAGATTACGTAACTGTAGTGTTAAAAGTGTTTGATATCTAACAATAAATCTCAAATCTGTTACTCTTGCTTTTTTCCATCTTTTGGAACGTCTCAATTGTATTATGGATAAAATCTATTAAATTTCATGGTAGAATCAAAATCATCATTATTATTATTTCTGAAATGGTTTATTTTAGATTGTAGGTTATGATACTATTAAAACACAGAATGAAGTGTTCAAGGCTGAAATTTCTACTTTACAAAAGTAATTTATTATATTGTTTTATGTTATATTCTATGCTTATAAAACGATATTTTTTATTGAAACACAATACTGAATTGTTTGAATGAATTGAGAAAGAAAAGCAACATTATAGAATCAATCTATTCTTATGACAATATCATGTTGATTTAAAAATAATCTATCTGTTGTTGCTTCCTCAGATTTGAAGGGTTTCATTTTCATTGAGATCTCAATGAAAGTGTATATATAATAACGTAGTTAACTAAATATTACTACTGTATGCCCGCTCGTACCATTCAATACCCAATTATTTGCCATATTTCAATATGCTCTTATTATACAAATGATCATTTCATCATCAAGATTTGGGATTTAATATTTTCACAATTTGATGAAATGTATGTTTTTAATCAACTTTAAAATTAATGGAAACATTTTTACTGTATCTCCATTGTCATATGATCTTTGTGACAGGTAACACGAGAGCTATATATATATATATATATATATATATATATATATATATATAAAGAGAGACCCTGAACTGTCGACTATTTACTAGCATAAGTAAATACATGCCCTAGCTACTAAAAAAATAAATACAAACCATAGAAGAAATAACATTGAATAAGACCTTTTGGTCACTCAACTTGTGACTATTTGAATATTAAAATGAATAAGTGTTTCGTTTAAACTTGTGCTTGACTTAGTAAGCATATGAAATTCATGGAGGAAAATCTAAATTTCCACGAACAGCTTTTAAATTTTAAAGTATCAGGATAAAATGACCTGTATTTTCAAGAATGAAAGAATGTATTGCACAAAAATATCACTTAATTTCAATAACCTTCGTCTCCTCACTGTATTATTGAAATTTATCTTGGAAACTGATTGTTTTATATTTCGACTTTAACTAAAATTGTGACACGTAGAATAAGCTAAAGTAGTAAAATACTACTGGAATTACTGAACTTTTATCCCAAACTCGGTACTGATTATGAGGACATTATAACTCAGCAAATATACCTTAACTCTTTTTTTGATCCGATTATTAATGAGTTTGTAAGTATCATTACCAAGGTTTGACTTGATAATTTCAAATAAATTGAGCATTAGGTAGATTGTTATCAATAATCAATTAACATTGGGGTGTTACAAATATATTAATTTATTTATACCTTAACTCAATCTATAGGATTTATCTTCATTACAATTGAGTTAGTAGTTTATTGATTCGGTGGTAAGCTAACAACAAGTTAACTTAATCCACTTATACTTTTGCTATAAGGCCTGTACCATATGTACACTTGCCTATCAAAGATAATGTATTCTATTGTGCAATAACATGTTATGTTCAATTATATACTTTGAGCGTAACTGTTGAAAGTGAATAGTATTATTTAAGTTGACATTTTTCAAGATAACTCTCATATGTAGTGAAGTAATCCAATTATCTGGAATTGAACAATTAACGTGTATGGATAGAATGCTTGCTTTTTCGGTTACACTGGCAAAAATAAAGTTAATTTTTACATTAAATTATCATATTCCATCCCCCACCTATTGTATTATACTATGTGTCATGCTGTGGACTATTAAAAAAAAACGCGTTACTTTATGGCATCGAATAGGCACATAATCATTATGAATAGAATAGAAAACACTTTGACTCATTTTATTTTATTGTTTTAGACAATTGAATAACTCTTTGCTTGAACTAGAAGAACAAAAACAAAGTAGGTCGGAACTTCTTATAATGTGATTACTTTTTTATAAGTCCATTGATCGAAATCATGCTGATATTTAATAATGTGCTAATTATGAAAGTGAAAAGTATGTTTTTATACTAATTGTAAAGAATATCCATTTAAATAATATTTGAGAGCAATTATCAATAAATTATATGGAGAGATTTTTCTTTATTAGTAATGAATGTTGTGAAGATAGCAAACCTCTAATGGGTAGGCTTACAGAACCTTGTATTACGTATGCTAAATAGATCAAAGCACAAGATTCTGGTAAGCTAAGGTGTAATTACCAGAAGATATGACATTTTATCAAAGCATTTGACTACTGTGGTTAGGGAATATGTAGGATTGCTGGTTAAGTTGCTTGAAGCAATTAGGGTAGGTTGTTAGAGATCATTAGTGATAATGCTTAAAATGAATAATGATGACAAGTACGTATTCCTTATGATCTAACTTCTACATTATGGTATTTTTGGAAGTTTCAATTTAGTAAGCGTATCTCTCTTTGCTAATTAATACATCTTTAAGCTCCATACTAGAATATAAGATTCTAAAATCTCCTGACTGTTAAAATCAATCGATGTGACTCCGGTTCCTCTTTGATTTACTCTTATTATTGCTCCTGGGTCTCTTTTTCTAACTTCGTTTTGTCTATTTTTTTTTGAAGTTGGTAAGTACTATCATAAGCTTTTTAACTGAAACTGTGAGACGGCAGAATATTTGGTCTATACTTAAGAGGCGAATCAAATTACTTACTTTATTCTCGTGTTGTGAAAATTTATTTGTACAACACTTAATTATATCGGAAAGGGGTTTTTGTGGAGATAGTAACTCACTGAAAACAATCGTGAACGGTTGCTCAATTTCGTGGATTAGTTGAAGTTAGAAATTAACATCGTTGGATATCGGTACAGTGGTTCTAGAGGTTAAACGCTAGAGCGCGAGACTGATAGGTCTTGGGTTTGAATCTCGCGAGGCGGGATCGGGGATGCGCACTGCTGAGGGGTCCCACGACAGGACGTTCAGTGCTTCCAGGTTTTCCATGGTGGTCTAGCTTCAATTGACTCATGATTTCAACTTAAATACATATTTAACTCTAAAAACTACTTGAATTTTTCAAACGATTTAATAAAACACAACTAAACTTTTTCTTCCACACTTTATCTATATAGTTGCTGCGTCGGCAACAACAGAATTAAATGTACTCAAAGTTGTTAAACAAGAGATTGAAAAACTAATGAACACGTTGAATAATGATCATGCTGTAATCATTCAAGAAAAATTTACATTACAAAAGAAATTAAATGAACAAGTTTGTTTATTTTCATTATTTAATTACATATTTAACGTATTAAAGTTTTGGTTACGAAGAGTTATTATTTAATTGAATAATTATTCTATTTAAATATTATATATTTGGAGAAGGTTGGCTGTTATCAAGCTTGTAATATGAGTGCTTTCTTTGTTTAATTTGAAGTTTATTCCAATTTTAAAATGATGTTATCTTTATAAAAGAATCATTGAATATCAAAGAATGGCAGTTTAAAGATCCCCATAGAATATTTAAAAATGAACAATATTTGGACGAACAATCGTTTTCAATAACTTCATCATCAAGCTCTGTAGTCATAAGTCCACAATTATAACTGTAGAGCCTGATGATGAAGTTATTAAAAACAATTGTTCGCTCAAATATTGTTCAGTTTTGAATATCAAAGAATAATTAACACATATTGTGGTATGGTCTATTTATGTCTATATAAGTAGTATATGGTGATGGTCAGACATAGAATGTATTTTGGCAGAAGATCGATAAGGAAAGAACAGGAATGAAGCGCAATCGGTACGAAAATGCATGAAAAATGAAATCAGAGAAGATGAACTGATATTTGCAGGAAGAACAGTTAAAATTGAGAAAATTGATTGTTATTTTGCAAATTAACTGCTTACTGTATGATTATCGGAATTTAGTGAGATAGTCTGTAATTTTTGCCCAAATACATTCGATTGTTCTCACTCGTGTTCTTGTTCACTACAATATACCGATGTTATTCCCATAATCGTGTATTATTAGGGATTCATGTATTGTTCAATTGAATTAGTCGTTAAAATCATGTGTATTCCACAAATGACATTTAATAGATTATATATTATCATGAAAATTATTTTTTTTATTGGCTGCTGTAGGACAGGATTATAGCTGAAGCTCAATTTGTCTTGAATAACTTTAATTCTACAGACCTCGTCTGGATTAACAAACAATGGATATTCATATGCATTCTGATTTCAGTTTTATTTGAGATGAAAAATGATAGAGTTTTTCATGTGGACAAACATGAATAACGTGGCAAATAGCATAAATATTAATTGATCTAAATGTGTTGTAATATTTCATATCGTCACAATAATGATAGTAATAGTAATGTAGTGAGCAAATCACGCGTTGGGACAATCGAATGTATTTAGACACAAATTACAAACTATCTCAACCAAATTCTGATAACAGCAAACAGTTAATTTGTACAATAACAAACAATTGTCTCAATCTTCACAGTTCCTTCTGTAAATATCAATCCATCTTCTCTAATTTCATTGTTTATGCATTTTCCTACAAATTGCGTTTCGTTTCAGTTCTTTCCTTATCGGTCTGCCAAAATACATTTTATGTCTGACCCTCACCATATACTACTTATGAAGAAATAAGTAGACCGCACCACAATAATACCCGCTCTATTTAACATCATATATTTGAATACAGTAAAGAGTTCTTAGCAAGAATAATGTAGAAATGCAACAAAATTCTCGTTCAGTATGCATTTAACTTGTGGATATTCAAAAAACCTACATGAAAAGCTTTTAAGCAGCGATCAGCTGCAATTCATAGTTATCCGTAAATGTTTACGATCACCATTTCGCCAATGATATCGCTAAATGTATTGAATCTATAAATTCAACAGCAATTGCATCTTGTTTCTTCAAAGGATAGAGGAGAACAAACTGTCATTGTGGTAATTCTTAAATCTCTCAAAAATCATATTATGATAGGTTGTAATGATTTTTTTATACAGAGGCTTAGCAAATATATTTATTTGGTTAAAATAAGTTTAAAACAAGTAAACGTTCCTGAAGATAAGTCCATGTTTGGGTTAAACAGTAGCCCAGAAATTTTAGCAGGTTACTATAATGAAAAAAGAAGAATTGCAATAATAATGAATGTCATTCACGGTGGTAGGATTCGGAATATTGAATTTATTTCAAAAGGAACGAACAGAATCAAAGAATTGAATGTATAAAAAAAATATTTAAAAAGACTGAAAATTTCAAAAGGAAGACAAAAAAGAATAATTCCGTTCTGCTGGAATTGATTTTATGCCGTGCTACCGAAATTCTTCAAATGTAGATGAGGATTATCTTGTCGACTATAGTCAGTAATCCTACACGTGCTTTAATATTCATTAAACAATTAATTCAACACAGGAATCGTACGGAACAAGCTCATTTCCATAACTATACAGTCATACGTATATAAATGTATAGGACGGTAAGCTTATAAATAAACTGTATCATTATTGAAATATATAATAAGTTGTAATTAGAAATTGGTTTGCCTATTTTTAAGTAAATACAAATGGGAATGATCGAAAACTTCAAATGAACAGCATGTGAAAAGGGAAAATAAACTATGGTATTGTCTAGAGATTGTTCCTTCATTTTGGTTTTACAACTATCATCAGCAATAAAATTTAACCAATTAATTTCTCAAAAGTATTTTTTTTCTAAAACAAATCAGCAAAGTGAAATATACGAACTAATGGAACGTCTTCGTTCATATGAAGGTGGAAATAAACTGAATCATGCACAAACTACTGAAGTTTCCTCTGTGAGTCATTGGTCTACCGTAAATCAGAATCTAAACAATCCGCAAATACTAACTGAAGCTGAACGTCGTTCAATTTATGAAGGTATTCTAAAATTATGTTTTATTTTAATGCTGTTTCTATTTACCTTCAGCGGTATTGTATTTTTATCAGTTGTTAAGGGCTTTTTTTAGTTGGTGGTTTTTAAAGACTTACGTTTAAATATATTGGGATTTGTTATATTGAGACACTGATCCTATCCTAGAAGACTACATTATTATGTCGAAGCCTCAGAAATATTTATTTAGCTGAATTGTGGAGAGTTGTTAAATTCAAGATATTCCTCTATATGGATTGATATTAGCCCTAGAAAAGAGCTGATAACTAGTTAGCACTGGACAGGTGTTTTTACTTTGAATGCCATGAGTCCAACTCTTATAAAAAGTAATTGTGCTACATTGGCAAGCCCTAAAAGAAAATGAAGCTTGTTTCTAATTCACTCTAGTTCTAAATAATCGTTTGGCTGATATATTTGATGCTAGCTATGCTGAAAACTGTTTTTCAGAACAATTTCAAGTATACGTAATGATACAATATAGGAATATAGTGCATAGAATTTTGTGAATAATCCGAAATGTTAACTGAGCAATTTTTTAATATCTGGTGATTACTTAAGTTATAAAATGTTCTACAATAATTAATCTTCGAATAAATACTCTTCACTTAAAGGATAATTATTCTAACTATATACTGTTTTCACTAATCACTTCCTAACACAACTGACACCAAAATTATATAGAAAATCAATACTTTTACTATCAGCGATCCATTGCAAAGCATAAATCAATAATAAAATGCAGTCAAATCAACTGGAACTAGTAAACAGTGATCCTCAGATTTATCCAGATATCTACACACCCTCACACACTCACTAGTAAACACATTGCATGGTTTGCTTTACTGATTGTTATCAATAGAGAATTCACCTGTTTATTGGTGTTCACCTAATTAACATTTGATAATGATACGCATTTTTTGCAATCAATAAATGCCATAGTATGTTGAGAATTATGTCTCGAGAAATTATTCTTTTCGAACTGTATTAAATAAATGCATTGTGTCTGCAACTGTTTATACTAGTAACATATCCAGGAATGTGAATAAAATAAATTCTCTGTCTCCTTAAGTAGTAAAATGAACGAGTAAAGTTGTCTGGACAAAGTGACTGTTAACAAATCTTTATTTAATGATATGAACTGTTCAGATAAGTGTAGATAAAGTTATATTTGAACACAATGATATCAGTTGGTTACTCATAAGTAGCGTATAACCCGACATGAATGTATATTGATTCAAGAATGTCGAGTGATAATCGTCAAAAAAGAAATTAACTATAGTGTTAAACTCAATATGAAACATGTAATTACAGAAAGATAGATGAGTTCGGAGAGCGAAATGTATGAATGACAAAAAGTCAAAATATTATATAAACTGGGTTTGGTTTTTGCCCTGTTTTCTCCCCTATAAAAACAATTGATACTAGAAAAAGTGGTTACACATGGAACTAAGTAAAACTAGTTCATTCTTTTTTAATTGTTGTTTGGATTTTCACATTGTTTGGGACTACGATTGATCAGTCTCTTCTGGCATATGTGCATCCTGTGTGGCTTACCTCTATATTGTCATTATAATTTTAAACATCAATAAAAAGATTCAAACAATCAATACAAATGCATTAAAATTAACCCCATCTCACAAGACAGCGGCTATCTGGACTCAGTAGCTAAGTGAATCAAGCATTGGCTTCTGGAGTCGAAGTGAACATCTACTATGGGATTCAGGTACTTCCAGCTGATGAGTCCTAACTTTGATGGAACGCGCGCTCTAAATTCTACTGTTATTCAACGTCTAAGTCCAGTTTAGTTCATGTTTTCATGCATAAATGTTTGTGAATATATGCTAGGAAATGAACAGATCAGTTAGTTGCATATAACTACACTCGTGATAAAACAACTTAGATTAAGTACGAAAAAAATTATGAAACACTCGAAACATTTAAAACGAATAGAAAACTATAGTAAGATGATATATATGCGACATATTGAAATGGTCAATAAAATGTACGACAAATAGATGAATTTAGTGCATGATCGATTCATTGGATTCTAGTTACTGACTAATACTCATTTTCATTCAGAATTTCAGAATAGATAGTTAAAGATTATAATGTTTCAGTGAAGAGTAGTTTTAGAGAATATATTAAAATGATAATCTCGTAAATTTAATAAAGTTATTATTATCTAAACATGAAATAAAGGAAAAACTGTTGTCATGTTACTTAATAACTCCATAAAAGCCTCATATGTACAAAATTTTCAGTTGAATGGGATTCTTGTCGACTACCTTCGATCATATAATGCCAAATCAATTTATAAGCTGTTATTATTATTATTATAAGAACTAAAGATATCACGGATATTCAGGGTTTGACAACGCTTTTGTTTGTAGCAATTTTACAATCGAAAGATCCAAAAGCTAGTCAAACCAGAAGTCAGGAATGGACGAGTTTGAAAATATATTTAGAAGGTATTCAATATGTTGAGAAGTGTTTGATCTAAGTTGGCTAGTTGTTGTTGGGGTTACATAACATGACGTACCCGACGGCGATCTGGTGCGGACTTATAGAACATTTTATTTTGGGAATTTATTTAATGCTACAGATTCAATGTAGACAATTTATCATTAAGTACATTGAAACTTGAAAATAAATGGTGGTTAATATATCAATAAATATAATCCCTTTGTATAATATTTGGCTTTAATAATCCTAGCTTAGCATACATCTTTGTAATGAGATGTTTTGACGAAAGTATTTTCTAATGGCTTTGATGGGCTTTGAAGTAAAATCAAATAAATTGAAAAATGTAGCCACTTTTTGACTTCATAACCTATCGCGTTTTGCAATATTTTCTTTTTTTATGGTGCTGTTGAAGAATGTAATCTGTCTATTTCGAGTGACCTAAGTCATGAAAGTATGATTGATACTAAGAATTCTGGAAACTCATTCGCTGTACCCATTCAGTTGTCAACTGATCCAAAATTTGATCATTGGTCAAAGCGTTTAGAATTATCACGTCGGCGTATGACACAATTAAAATTAGTTAATGAAGAGTTTGATTCAATTTATGAAGAATGGAAATCAGTTGATTTAAAAGAATTTTTATCGAAAATTCATAATGATTTACCAAGTTTCGTGAATGCACATGAATTGAATCAACCAATTAAATTGAAAGGAGACAATTCATCTGACCAAATAGTCATGACTAATAACGATACTAAACCTGATCATGTGAAGGTGAGTTTATTTTTCAATGCTTTATAGATTTGAAAAAAATGATTGAAGTGTATATTCAGCAATATTTACAAGCCAAACGTACTCACGCCATCATCAGTCTTCAAAAATTTCATTTATTTGTGAGTGTAGTGATTAAGAAAACACTTTTTCGAGTAGATTTTTAATACAGAACCGGTTGAAAGTACACATGTCCGCCTTAACGTCTTTTGAGCATTCTACCACAAGACATACGCTCAAAATATCCATTCCCTCCTGGATTGAAAGCTGATATTTTCTCGCACAACATACCAAGGCTTTTGAAATAGTTTTTTAGAACCGCTACATAGGTTTACAGGTTTAGATTATTTTCATTTATTTTTAAAGAGATAGTAAACATGATTATTTTAAAGTTGTTTGTTGCTATTAAGTTTGTTAGTCAAGTTGTATCATTGTTTTAAAGAGTTTTCGACAATCTACAGTCATTTGACTTAATGAAAACCCATAGTCAAATTAATTGACTCACCATTCCTTCATATAACTCTATGCTCAACCGAAATATAACGCACTTAATAAGTTTAATGCACGTAGAATAGATTGTATTTGAGTTAATTATTGGAAAACCTAGTCTGACTTTATTGATTTTTGATATAAGTCATGTCTAGATTTATGTACATGACTTCCAGTCAAACTTTATGTAGGGTGTTTATTATTACTACACAGCTCCTCGAACCGAATTAGGTGGAGCAGAGTCGAAATCGGGATCGTAATGGTTAAAAACTACGCATTTCAATCTATAGACTTCTGCTCTACTCACTATAATTTCACATCTACATCCCCAATCGTAAGTTAACATCAACTTAAAGTGATGTAACCAAATTATTGTTGATATTTTAAAGAATGATGTTATGTTTTAATAAAACATTGACGTTCCACAAATTGAAAGTTTTGATCTGCTCTCTGAAAAACTGTCGATAGAATAGAAAACCATTTGAGATGGATTTATTTAAGTTAGAATAATAAGCCATATTATTCAAAGTTTATCAAGTAATCAACTTTGGGGATATATAGACTAACTGTGTGGGGAATGTATTTTGTAGTGTTTGGGAAAAGAAGGCGAAAATGCAATATTTTATCTCCTTTTCTCACCACGTATTTTCTCATCATATATTCCTCCAAAATATAGCTTATTTTGCCTAAATTCTTTCTGTATTTCCCGAAAGCTTGTTTTTGTTCTTCAAATCACTCCAATATTCCCTAGTTTATAAAGTTGGACCAGGATTGTAGTGTATAAAAAATTGACTGCAGTTTGAAATATAGACCATAGTGTTCCAACTTAGTTGTCCAAAAGTACTAGAACTTTAGAGTAGACCTGATGACTCCAAGTTCGATACTGTATATGAAGTCGTGACTGTACATAGCTAAAAAGCCTACTATTAAAATCAAACACCTATTTAAATAAATTTGTTTTTTGATTAGTAAAATCCAGAACATTTGTTTCGTACTGTTTGGGATTCATCTGATGGATATGCCTGCATCCAGTTGTTGATTTTCGCATTGATACCTATCAACTGTCATTTTAAACACCGACACGTTATTCACCATGCTCATTATTCAGTTGAACCATTTACTTATTCAACGAATATGGGATTCGTTTATGAGGGTTTACCTTTCCCGATGGGAGTTCAGGGCCCTCTAAATTTCGATGGTTCTTCAGTTTATACAAACATGCGACGAAAGCTATCTCTATTCTACAAAATACCCTCATAAAATACTTAAGTAGATTTACAGTGGTGTAGAAATTCGTGATAAAAATAATGTAATTCAAATTAATGTATTAATCACAACTAGTCGGTAATACCACTTTATTTATGGATAATTTGGATTAAGAGTAAACAAATTAATACTATGCAGTCAGCTTATGAATCTGTACAAGTTTTATTGATTTCCGATTATTGGTTTGCACTTTTAAAATGCTAATCTTGTTTCAGAGCCATTTTGGGTATCATAATTTGACCCTTTGAGACTTCAATAGCTGATGGGTAAAACAGTGTTGTTATTATTGAGTTAATCAGAATCAGGATAGCAAAGTTTACAGCAAATTCACAAAGAAATGTCAACATCATTAAGTATGGTAAGCGACTACGCTGAAAATAAAATTCTATTTCGTTCTTTAAGCTCCTAAAATTGGTAGGAAAACGTTTTTTGTGTATTCCCGGAATGAAAAAGACTCATTGTCCAGCTATGTGACTAAATTTGTTATTTTCTTATAAAAATAGAAAACCGTAAGTAGGGCTGTATTTCTAAATTCTGTGAAGATATTGTGATTTGAGAAAGCTGCTTCTCAATGAACTTATCGAAGTATTTTCTTGGGACTCATAATTTTTAATGTTTAGTGGCCATGAAAACGAGTTAGACATATGAAATGATTTAAATGAGATATTTCCTTGTAAAAGATTGGACCAGATGTCTAGGCGAAACGTTAGATTTACTTCAAATTCATTCGCTGAGATTTTACAAAAATATTATTCCTATTTAATGTCCTGCATCAACTCGGTGCCCAAATACTATGAATCTATTTGCTCTAATTTAGACAAAAGTTCTTATATGGATGAATAGAAAATTTAAAGTTTTCATATATATGAACCATTCAAAAGGTTATTTTGAAATTATAACAAAAACAATAATAATGATATAGAATAAATTTAACTAAGAATTAATTCTAATTTCTTTTTCTTCCTGTACATGTACATAGTTTTAGATGTAATATATACTTCTTAATGAAACATATCAATAAACTTCAATAAAAATTGAGTTATCAGTTTGAAAAAAAATTCATCAGATGAATTGAATAATCTAAACTTCCAGGTTTTCCATAGTGGTCTAGCTTCAATCGACTCATGATCTCAACTATTGAAATTACTATAATATCTACAAGAAAACCTTTCTGATATTAATCAACAAATGCTCACTAAACTCGGGCTTCAAGAAGTATTTCCTGGAGTTCTATTGAGAAGCAGTGACCTGTGGAATTCGACCAAGTGTGTTGTGAGATATCAACTCACTGAAGACAATGGTGGATGTGTCGGTCAATTTCGTGGATCTGTAGAAGTTAGACTTAAACGCCGTTGGATGCCGGCTCATTGGTCCAGAGATTAAGCACTCGCTCTCTAGACTGATAGGTCCTGGGTGGGAATGTCGTGAGGCGTGATCGTGGATGTGCATTGCTGAGGAGTCCCACAATAGGACGAAACGGCCGTCCAGTGCTTTCAGGTTTTCCAGGGTGGTCTAGTTTCAATTGATTCATGATCTCAACTATTGAAATTACTATAATATCCACAAAAACCCCTTATGATATTTTACTTCTATCGAATAAAAAAAGGAGTTATTTAGTAAACAATTTGATTACGTTTGTTGTATTTTAACACATTGTTTTTGTAATGAAGAAATAAAATGTTTAGGAAGTTGATTGAAGTCAAGAGAATCAAATATCGATAACTTTAAATTTAACTATTAAATAAATTTATTTATCATTTGAAATATAACTAAATATATGAAAATGAATTACAAAGTAGAGATCTTATTCACTATAGCCTTTGATGATTCATATGTAGGTGTACACTTCTGTTGAATCTCATTATGATTTGAAACACCAAATCAGTATCCCACTGATTTACAGCAGTTATCTAATTTATGTTAGTCTACGATAAAGACAGTCTCTGAAATGAATGATTTGAGTTTTTGTTATTAAGTGAATATGATTATTCATTTTGGGATACGATGATATTTCCTTCAACATCATTGAATTCTTTATAAAATGTACCGTATGTACATTCATATGTTCCCGTTTTCAAAATATCTTTTATAAAGTTTTGTTATTGTAATGGCTTTTTTCTCATTTTATGCAAATATAGCATCATCATCCACTTGATCAACAGGGTGAATTGAATCCATGCCAAGAGAATGAATATCTAACCTCATTTACTAAAGCTAATCCAGAATCAAAGTAGGTACTTTTTTTCTTAAGAATTGACTTTGTAAAGGTTTCTTGTGGTGATTTTCATCAAAATGATCACTCAGTATTCATTTGCATATTTTTAACTGAGATAATTTCTACTGCAGATGTTTTGATTTGTCATGCAGTACTGTGAAAATGGTGGCCTTTAGTACAATTCTAGGGAAAACATTGTTATGAGAGTGTACAGCATCAGTGAAAATGTAGCTTTTCGTTAACAGACCACTTTATTGCATCAAGTTCATTGATTCTTTTATACAAACGGACACCTAATAAAAGTGATCTGATTATCTTTTTCACTTTTTCTAATAAACTACCGCTGAACGAAATGATCAGCACTAAACTTGTACTATTAAATAGATAACCGAATTTATTTAATTTCCTCAAAATACAGTACTCCACAAAGTGAGAACATCAATCATCAAGATAGATGTCAGCGTAAAAAGGAGAACCACTCATATCTACAACAGTGAATTATTGGTTCTAGATTAATGCTCTCTCTTACAATTAAGCTGCACTGTTCGTCAACAGGCTAAAGTTGCGTTTTCCTTTAACCATCCGAGTTGATATTTATGGATTTTTATCTGACCTCCATTATATGTGAGGAATTAGCATCTTAAATCTAACTGTTCATTAAGTAATCTGTAAGGCTTGCATGGAGGAAGACTTAAATTCTATTCATAGACATTGAATTGTTATGAAAAGTTGATAGATTCTTTATATTCACCAGTCTACTTAGATGTATAATTTATAACGTAGTATAATTAGTTTATAGCCAAGCATCAGAAACACTAACGTAGGCAACAACAATCAGATAGAATGGAATACTGCAATTCGTTTTACTTCCTTTATAAATGCATCACAATCTATGTACACATGTTTTATACACTAAGTTTGGACTGATTTTCGAAATGAATATATATCATGTGCAGGGAGTCTTGTTTTAAGAAATTTAAAGCAATTGGTCCCTTTGATAAATTTCTATAATGTAATAAGAAAATGAAGATTATCAGAAATATGTGATAGATTAGCGCAATACATTTCGAACAATCTGATCACACATATACTTGTTAAGAACATTTATGTATAAAAATAAATGGTCAACTAGACTGGAAATGGGAGGTAAGAATCGACAAGAATAATAATAATAATAATAATAATAATAATAATAATAATAATGTGAAAACAATTTTGACACCTAATCACTCTGGATTATAAGCTAATATTACCAGGGTAGGTTTAAAGAGAGAATAAACTGTTTTTGAATACACAAAGGAGGTTTGAATTTTCGTATGGCTAAGGCTTCAATAAACCTTAGTATACGCCCTTTTATTTCTGATAATCTTCGTCTTCTTATTACATTATCGAGAATATATATATCGTTCATAAAACATTTCAGGAATTAGGTCTTAATCCTGATGAAAAATAAGTTCTTTGTAGCTTCGTTATTTGTAACTAACACTTACGTTTATGGATTTTTTGATATTTATCTACATATTAATTACAATATTACATATTCGACTCATTATTAGTAAAACTATTATTGTAATGTATCTCTTTCATGTATACAAGGAATATGCAGATGGGATTCGAAAAGACTGACCAAAATGCACAACTTCATTCCAATGCAAGAATTATACGTGATTTTTCACCCAGTTCATCCAGTATTCACACACCAAAATCAAATAAATTAGGTAGATTGAAATGATTGTATTCAAGTTTTTAACTACTCATTATTTATTTCAACGATATTGGTAATTCGCTGTTTTATTAATTATTATCAATCATACAAATTCAATGTCGGTTAACTATCAAATCTCACTGTGTTTGAAGATCTCACCTAAAATATCATTTTTTTATTTTTTGACTGTGACTGATATATCTTGTAGTCCTTACTTTAACGTAATGGTGAACCGTATAGGATTTGGAACTGATATTTGTCGTCTCAGGTTTTCCCACATGTTGGTATGTAGAGAGGAAATTTTCAGTTTGAGTATCATACATTGAGCTACTGATTAGAAGATTTTTAAGTTAAAGTTATTAAGTTCCATCATAAAGGTAGGATACTTGTTATAACGCTAGGGTTTCTTGTTATAACTGTCCTTACACTTTTTACACGTATGTGGGACGTTAATTCACCTTAGACGAATATCTACACTAGATTTCCACCCAGTGTCTATTCTACAGGAATTCAACACAACTAAGATCAAGAACAGGAGATTAGCCTGACTATAATGTCAATATATTTCCACACCAAAATCCGACAACAAGGAACAGTCAATCCATAATAATCAGGATAGGGGAATATATAACACATATAACACCTGTCAAACTATCCACATGTCTGACTCAGCAAAACAACCAATCATTATCATTCTCGCCCACACATCAGTCATAAAAAGATGTAAATAATTCAATTTCACTCGAAATAACGGAGGCAAAAAACGTTGGATACTATTTATTTATATATACTAGTAGTTTGTATTAATATTACTTCATTTTATTTGGAACTTCCAACTCATTTCAAACTGGTTACATGCATGTTATTAACCTAAATTTTAAATGAGTTCTTTTTAAACTGATTTTGGCATATAAACTTGATCCGACACTATGGACCATTTATTTATTTGAACTTGTAAAAGAACGACATGTTAACTGTTTTCATGTGACCCACATTTAGACTGATAATCACGTATTTACGTAATTTTAATCTGCATACGGATACGAACAAAACTAGATTTATTTTGTTAATCACTTATCTCTTAACACTTGAAAATTATCGTACAAATATTCCATTTACCTGAATATGGAAACTAACCATAAACATTCTTTGTTAATGGATTAATTGCTATGTGTATGTTATACTCAAAAATTACAATTTCAAAACTTTATACTTATTGATATAAATCAATCCATATGTGAAAGGATTGTAAACTTCAAGTGGTGTTCATCAAGGCTTTTCCTTTTCACTGTCCTTGTTTAAATTCATCATAGACATTCTTTTGGAGACAACTCTCTCATCGTTTAACATATCAGAGATAACTTTCTTACCAGAAAATTGACTTGTTGACTTAGAATACACAGATGATAGTTCATTCTGATGATGAAGCTGACAAAATTCTTCTGACTGCATTAGGTAACAATACAAAGGTGTTTGGGATGAGGTTCTCTCCCTTCAAACCCTAAAAAATCCTTCAGAACTATATCAATGTCTCGACTAATGATAGAGAGTGAAGTATTTGAATGTTTCGACCCCTTCACTTGACTTGAAAGTTTCATCAGATCTGGTAAGTTAGTGTCGGACAAAATGTCGGTACAAATTCACAATGATCAGCTGGGTTTTACCAACTCGCGTCATCTGTGGTGTAGAAGAAATGTCTGTTTGCCAACCAAAGGAGGAGTTTATTTCACAGCAGTCCACTACATTCTACCTTATGAGTTTGAAATGTGAGTACTAAGAATAGATTATATTTCTGGGCTACTAGTATTTAATCACAGATGTCTTTGAAGGGTAGTTCATATATTTCTGGACCATGGAGTGGGAATTCCTTAAGTTAGGGACAGGGTACTATGTAAAGATGGGGCTTCGGTCCGTCACATCAATTCAATGAATATGGGAGAAATAGATTTACCAATTAAAATGAAAGACAGTGATGAAGGGAATTTTTAATGCAACATTGACTTTACACAATGATATTTATTGAATTTGTTATGTTTGAGCACCGAGCGCCTGAAATCCTAAACGGATCTAAGTCGCTACTATCAGGTCGAACAAATAAATTAACAGTTGCTCGACAGAAGAACCACTTCAACTTTAGTTCATATATAAAAACCAAAGTTTGTTTATATAGTTATGAGTAAACTTGCAGTTTTTTTAAATTTAGAATTTACATCAGAACTATTAACGCGTTGTGGTCTTAAGTGAAAATACTGTTATAATACTGTTGACTGGAAAAACGTAATTAAGGTTGACATTCAATTCATTCAAAATTTAGTTTTTTCACAAGGGGGGTTTTTGTGGAGATTTAGTAATTTTATAGTTAAGATCATGAGTCAATTGAGGCTAGACCACCATCGAAAACCTGGAAGCACTGGACGGCCGTTTCGTGGATGCGCACTGCTGAGGAGTCCCATAATAGGACGAAACGGCCGTCCAGTGCTTCCAGGTTTTCGATGGTGGTCTAGCCTCAATTGACTCATGATCTTAACTATAAAATTTAGTTTTTTGTTGTTTTTCTTAACTGCTAACATGCTGGTTTAGTCAAACGATATTGTAAAATCATTACATCATATGATCAAATACTTGATTATAGCTGAAATCGTTTTTTTCTTTTTAATTATCATAACCTCTGGATTGTACATATTTCGTGATGAATCTATTTCTGAGTGATCAAATGTAATCTCATACAAATTGGTTATCATTCAATAGTAGATAATACTGTTGTGAAATTATCATTGTACTTGATCAATAAAATTTCACAGTACGGTACTTAAGTTATACGAAACTAGAGTGTATTATTGTTATATCCCGAAGAGAATTATGAATAGTAACCTCTGAGGACTATTTATGGAAAAATATGATATGTATATTTCCTATTGTATAATTGTTAAGTAACTAAACTATTCATATTCGTGTCCCTCTCATTATAAGCTTTGTTTTGACCTATGAACTATTATTATACGATTTATCATTCCTCAGTTATCTCCTGTCTATCAATTACTGTTTCCCCTATCAACAGCCGCATTTGGCCATTTATTGTACAAATGATATTTTCTATTTTGTGTTACGATGTGGTCTGTTTGATTGGTATATAAACCCAGTATGTTTGAGAATAATTATTCATATTGCAGAGGCTGTTATTGGTGTTCTGGACTTAACTGGCTGGGCTAGGCAGATATCAAGACTGATAAGTACTCAAGACTACTCATACGGATATTTTTGTATTATTACTTCGATCGATAAATCAATGCTCTTTGATAGGCGGTCTTATCACGTCATATATATATATATATAACAACTGGGCAAGAACGCACTCAATCGATATAGCAATTGTATGTCAATTTTGAAAAAAACTCAGTATAAACGTAATAATCCTTTTCTTGTTTCAGTTTAAAACGCAAAGACTAAACCATATAACATATTTATACAAACTTTTTAAAGAATAGGTTTATCATGTCTAACTAATTATGTTTACATTTCATGGTGAATTATGTATCATCACTGAGATATATTGGATAGATATAAACGTTATAAATGTTATATGAATAACATCATTGTTATTGATGTAATTATTCTATGAATGAATGACTTTATTTTTATACTGGTCAATATTAAACATGATGGTATTGATTTCCATTGAAATTGGACTATTTTATTGATCGAAAAATATTCACAATATTAAGTGACCATCACTTGCTATCATCCGTTATATTCTATCTTGCAACCGAAATGTTTGAATTTCAGTAGTCACTGTTTCACATCAGAATTTTAGGATTTTTTTTGAAGTTAGTTATAAGCGTAAATGTATGATAACTCATGGTACAGGTGATTTGTGAGGATTGTTAGATTTGAAGATTGGTTATAATATAAGCTGATATTAACTAGATAAGAAATATAAACTAGGAAGAAATTGGAATAATGTTTCGTTTTTTTTATGGGAGTCTTCAACAATATCCATACATGATTTCCCCAGTTATCAAACTAAAGAGATTCAGTACACGTGGTAGAAGGTTGAACTTAAGACTAGTGGCATGAGCTATTAAGAGTTTTATTTTCGAATCCAATCAATCAGTTCGAAGCATAAGGCATTCAATATTATATATACCATTAGGATATTAGTGTAAATTTAAAGGATGCTTTCAGTTCTTAAGACACTTTTTAAATTAACTAATCCCATTTATTAAGGAGACTTAATGAATGTTACTGAGACTTCAATCTATGTTGTTTACAAGTTCAACTAAGATAACAAAAAAAACAATCAATGGTTTAAATGTTTCTTTTTGTAGTGTTATAATGTCGTCAGTTAGTTTTTTTTAACTATTTGTTTTTGATAGTTGAGACCGTGAATCAGTGTTCTAGAGGTTAGGCGCTCGCGCGCGAAACTCATAGGTCCTGGATTCGAATCTCGAGAGGCAGGATCGTGGATGCGCACTGTTGAGGAGTCCTACAATGGGACGAAACAGCCGTCCAGTGCTTTTAGGTTTTACGTGGTGGTCTAGCTCCGATTGAATCCTGACCTCAACTATTAAAAAATTACTATAATATCCACAAAACGCCTTCTGATATTTATTTTTGTTTTACGAAGTCGTAATATTTCATTGTATTTTATAGAGTTAAAAAAGTCATCCAATGAAACATCGAGTACAAGTTCTCAGAAATCTATAAAATCATCTTCAACTGTTACTCATCGTAGTTTTAAGAAGGCATCAAGTGATCACCTTCCGAGTCATAGATCAAAAAGTGTACTCTCTACAGAATCAATATCTCAAGCAGAATCCACTGAGTCCAAAACTTCAAGAAAATCTCACACTAATTCATTAGCCAACGATAAGTTGAACCATACTATTTCATGTCAATCTAACAAGAATGATATTGTAAATAAATCTGTGAGTAGCGAACAAGATATTAATGAAAATAAAGAAAAAGAAAAACTCCTTAATCCAAATCAGACTAATGTTAATGGTGAAATTGCAAATAATAATCATAATAATGACACAATTGAAAATGGGTTTCCGTTACTCCTGGAAACTTCACGTTATGAAGGTAAACATAAAAAATCGATTGAATGTTTGTTATCAAAAAGAAACTTGTTACTGTTTTTATGTTGTTCATATAATAAGTTGTCTTATTTCATTTGAAAAATGAAATCAAGAAACTATTCAATCTGTGTGATTTTAGTGAAGTTTCGTTAGATGAGGAGCGTGGTTTAATCGTGAAAATTTTACTGTGCTTCTAGACAGAGTCATAAGTCTAAAGAATGAAACCCTAGCAAAATATGAGTGATATTACCACTATTGTCTATTGTTGAATCAATTTTTAAACAGTTTACCAAACGTGTGAAGTGAAACGAAAAGTTTTTTTAAATATTTGAAATCCAAAATGTGATCGTTTTGACAGGACACAAGTAATTGTTCCTTTTATTCAGTGGTTATGCTCCCAGGTTATCAAGACTTCTACAAATGATTTAGTTTCCTTAGTAGGTATCTTTGTATAATGTGATTAGTTGGGAAGTAATAACCACCCATATACCTCTAACAGCGCTTAATTGCACCTTGTTCTCAAGAAAACATTAGTGATTTTGACGAGTTACAATTGCGTACTGACGTTAGATCCCAAACTAATAAAAATCGAGCAATCGAATTTCCGAATTTCTAGGTTTTTCGAAACAAATTGGCAGTAACACCCTGACTTTATTTGGTTCTTCATATAATCGGATCGTTATCTGTGACCTGCGAAAAATGATCAAATTAGATATGACCCATTAAATTATCGGTGATAAAATTATTGAACTAGAGGACAAATATTGACATTTTCGTTTCTTATCTCTTTGCAACAATGTATCTATGATATAGTATAGTTGTATGAATGTGGTTTTCTTAAATGATTGTTTCTTATAGCTATAAGACAAACAACCAAAGTTTTTTACATTTAATATTTGATCGCTTGTTTCCTGTTCTATTATTCTAATGTACAAATACCTATCGTTACCCATACTTTTATATCTTTATTACTGTTCACAACAGTTTACTATTGCTGACTACATAAATTTTAGTTCATATGATGTATTAATACAGGTTGTTTGTTAATTTAAACTTATTTATGTATCATTGTGTTATTCTTGATTTGATCAGTTTTTCGGTTACACAAATTATATAACCGGGAAGATAAGTAGGAGAGTAAAAAGACAATGAAAAACCATGAAAACACAATATTGTTGCAAATTTATCTTAGAAAAGCATCGATTATATTGGTTACCAATGAATTTGTAATTTACATAATAATGGTGACATTGATATTGAAATAATAGGCAACCTAAAATTTCCATTTAAACATTGATTGAAAATGAACAAACAAACAGTAAACCAGTGAATATTATATTTCAGTTAACTTTCATCATTACTTCTGTCATCAGTCAGTTATATTCAGGATAATGACCACCATAATTGTGAATTGGCCTACGTTACCATATCATATTAACATGACGAGATGAATAGTAATGATGTCGAAATAGCGCAGTAGAAACGACAATGAAAGATTAAATAAATATTGAGACTGACCAGTTTCAGTCCTAAACATCAATGAGAAGATTCAAACCAACAATACTAAGTGAATTTAAACCTCACCCCGTTGCACAAGCAAATGGCTATCAGGACTCAGTAGCTGAGTAAATAACGTGATGGCGTTTGAAGCGAAAGATACTGGGTTCGAATCCCAGAGTGAACATCAACTCTGAGATGAAGGTGCATCCATCTGACAAGTCCCAAATAGGACGAAATGTCCGTCTTTGCTTACAATATTGAGTATATAGTTTTAAAAAACAGAATGAAAAGATGTGTATGAAGGAATATCGTGATTCAAGATTCAAAGTTAGATACGAGGTAAACGCACTTGGGCTATGTCACTGAACATCTGAAACCTAAGGATCCCAGTTATTTCATGAAACCTAAACACATAATCTGATACAATCAATAAGGCTTAGACTGACAATTAATGACTTTTATGTAGTGATCATAATCACTATTATCAACTCTACATTAATATTCAGGTTTTCTTTTTAAAATTTATTCATAAAATCAATAGCATTCAATTATAAAGGTGAGTTAGCTAACAGTTTATTTTTTAGTTAACTTAAAATAACCCATCACATAGCTCATGTTAACTAAAGTAGTACTCATCTTATTATGAATTATAAAGCATTATGATGTCAAGTTATGATGACGAATTAATTAATAAAAAGAAATAAGGTTTTGTTCAATTTTGTTTTTGTTGCTGTCTACTCACAAAAAGAACAGAAAGCAAATTGTTGTGATATATCACGTGCATATTGTTCTACTACTGTCTAATACGAAACACAAATTATTCTCATATCAAATGATTGAAAGAATTAGTTTTTAAACTTTATTATTTTTTGAAAAAAAAGAATAAATGCATACTCTGATTGATTTCCTGTTCTCAGCATAGTATTATTGATATGCTTGAACTAAGTCGGTTTTCTCGGTAACGAAACGACGGTCAATGACACAACGACACGATAGGCTAATCTAATCCGTTGTCCCAGGCCCCGCTAACTAGAGGAAGAAGTCCAAGGCGAAGTACAGGAATATATATTCCGTAAGCAGCCGAGTACAAGCAAGTCATAAGGGGAAAAAACTCAAGCTATAATTTGTCCTTGGGAAGCATTACAAAATAGCACACTGAAAGATACAACGGACCAATAGCATTTAACATATTTTACAACTGGGAAATACGACTTAAGGGTGAAAAGAGTGCCTTTGGCGCGAAAACAAGAAAGTTCAAATTTTCAAAATAAAATTACAAAATTAAGCCATTTACCAAGTAAATTCCGGGGATTTGATATCCTCAACAATTATTCCATGTACCTAGATTGATGGTTGCTCTGGTTGTTAGAAAGGGCACTGACCTTGTGACTTCCAAACAATCTCGGCTTCCACCATGTGGTGTCATAATTCTTGGCAATGAAGATCATTCAACTCAGAGGGCTGAGTTGAAATGGTTTATTCCGGTTAACGTTTTTGCAGCAAGGTTGTTTTCTACGGGTTAGGGTTACTAATCCATTCCTAACACTCCTCCTTTACACGTACTTGAAACCAACAGCAACTCTAAAAGAGCTACAGGCGGAGTTGAATAACATTCGGAACTCAAAACAGCTGTATGCAAGCCAATATCAATGTCACAATCTTCAGTACGAACATTAAGACGGTTCTATTTTACGGAACTAAAACTTAGAAAACCACCACAACCATCATCAAAAAGATGCAATTATTTCTAAACAACTGTCCGTTAGCCGGATACCATCAGCAACAGCCTGCTGTGGCAGAGAACAAACGAGCTTCCATCGGAAGAGGAAATTAGGAAATGGTGCTGAAAAAGGATAGAATATACATAGCAGAAATCATCAAACTGCATCACGAAGCAGGCTCTAACTTGGAATCCTGAAAGAAAACGGAAAAATGGAAGACCAAGGAACACACTGCGTTGAATTGGTTAATAAAATGATATGATGTAAAGTAGCTTCCAAACAATAAAGCGAACGACCAAATGAGGGTCAATGATGTGAATTGTTAAAATTGTGAGACATAATAATAATAATAATAATAATAATAATAATAATAATTTAGTTATAAGCATTTCTTTTAAACATTTCTTAAATCTCAATGATTTCCAACAGTTTTGTTTTCCACTTAAGGTCATATTGGATAATGAAATGTGACAAGTTAAAATTGTTTGATACACATTAAATAACAGATGTAGTGTTCAACTGTTGTTGACTTGTTTGTATTTACTAATTTGAAGAAACGAATTCATATTCGATTATTTAATTGACCGACAAGTCAAATTGTTTGTGAATTATTTTACAACACAGTTTAAGTTAGCTAGTCAGATCATTTTAGGTATTGTGGTTAATTCATGTGTCCAATATTTGTTTTTCTTGGTATTCTTTTACATGTGTTCTTTTTTTCATTTTGGTGGAACTAAAGTATGGGGACGACTTTATGCGGTTCTAGAAATGACCTTACAAAATCTCAACCACTTCGACTCACAATAGAGTAAAGAAATAGTCTTATGAATTAAGTTTAAGAGTTTTGATTAGAAGTCAGGATAAAAAATTACGGTTCGGAGTTTTATCATTGACTAGCATCAGCTATAATGCAAGAACACTGTATAGCTATGTGGATGAGCGAATTTTAAGAAACAAATTCCAGAGGGGCTCTATCTTAAATCTGATTGATTATTTTTTCTATAATTTAATTCTATCTTTATTCTAAAAGTAATGTATCATTACAAATAAACAAGCTCATAATAATCTTTGGATTATTTTTTTTCATTAACCAATTATTAGCATAATTCTAATTTTGAAAATTCTATTTACAAACTCTACAATCCATTGATTATGATGGGAAATTAAACTATTTTAAAACTGTATTTATTTTTAAGCAAAGATGGATAGCGGCTAGCAGTGGAATCCAGGACGTGCGTTTCGTCCTATTTGGGACTTGTCAGATGGATGTACCTTCATCTCAGAGTTGATGTTCACTCTGGGATTCGGACCCAGTATCTTTCGCTTCAAACGCCATCACGTTATTCACTCAGCTACTGAGTTCTGATAGTCATTTACTTGTGCGATGGGGTGAAGTTTAAATTCCACTGCTAACCACTATTCACCTTTGCTTAAAATGCGCGTGAATTAAGGCTATATCGAGGCAATACACACAATATGCACATATGCCAATTAGAGACTGACCAGTTGCAGTCCTAAACATCAATGGGAAGGTTCAAACAAACAAACAAACAATACTAAGTGAATCTATTTATTCTTCTTTTTTTTCAATGAAATGCTGTATATTGTTCCTTTTTGGTTAAGTTGTTTCTAAATCTAATGCATATAACTTAATATATAATAATTATTCAATATTTAAAAGTGTGTTTATTATTTATGCTATTTATTATGAAATTATATCATGAGTTTGAAACTAGTTATCATAAGATTTTTCATTGAAAAAAAATGGGAACATCAAATATTTTTATGATTATCTTCTTTACAATGTTAAGTATGGTAATGTATCTGTTTAAAAACCGAATGAAACTTATAGTATTCACCTGATAACAATTTTCTAATTTTATAGTAGACGTGTTTTATCATCATTATCGTTCGATCACTTATTTGCAATACAATAATTCCTTACTTTTGATTTGAGTTCATTTGTGATATACTACATATATATCATCAGTGGACATCCAAATCTAGTCTTTTGAATTGCGCTTTAGTAATTTCCAAACTAAACTATATTTTAATAGTTGAATTCGTGAAGCTATCTGAGCTAGACCACCAGTGAAAACCTGGGAGAACTGGACAACTGTTTCGTCGTAGTATGGGATTCCTCAGCAGTGCGCACCTATGATCCTGCACGCGGGACTCGAACCCAGGTCTTTCGGTCTTGCGCGCGAGCACTTGACCTCTAGATCACTGAGCCGGCATCCGATGGTTTCAATGTCTAACTTCAATCGACCCATGATCTTGCCCAACCCTTTATCCATTTTCTGAGGTGGATAACTGTCTCACACGCGATATGAATTGGACTTCACTGGCCACGGCTTCTCACTGGAACTTCGGGAAATCTATCATGAAGTTAGTCACTAGTGAGCATATGATCAATATCAGAATGGGGGTCTGTAGAGATTGTAGCTATTTTAACAGTTGAATCCATTAGTTGATCTTAGCTATATTTGTTATTAGTCTTCGAACGCCATCAGTTCTGTGGTGACGATGGGTTTTAAATTTATCAGTTTAACACAAACTACTAAACTGAGTTTCGAAACAATTATTTATAATTACATTCTTGTTAAATTTAATGATTGAAATATCATGTAGTGCTTATCCAATATATATTCAGATGTCGGTTCCTATTTCAACTAGTGTAACTCCATCGGAACAGCTAATCTTTATATGTTCATTAAATCATCATTTCTTGATTTACATAAATTTTGTCAAAGATGGAAATATCAAACAGAAAAACAGAGCGCAAGGGATGTTTTGATTCTTGAACTATTGAAAACAGTGGAACCTGACTGATGAAATCCAATCAAAACTAAGCGGCTGCGTGAACATAACTTGGGTTACTATTCAGTTGTCAATGTGGTTCTCAGTATATTTGGATCACGTGTTACTTAATCACTTACAAAAATATCAACAATCTTATGTGTCTATTCAAATAGCAGCGTACAACTGATACTCAATTGATTTTTGAATGTCATTTTGATTATATACGCCTAATGAAAAAATATTCTTATCTACTTTCTGACTTCAGTAGGTTCACTGAAACAATGTTCACTCGGTAATAATGATCAGAACAAACCTATATCCAATGGGAATATCTCGCCGACATCACGCCATACAACAACGAAACAAACTGATTGTAATGGTTTAATGGAAAAATATTTAAAGCTGAGTTTAAATGCTAGTTCTAAATCACTGGTATCCACTACATGTAATCAAACAGCGAACGGAACTAAGATAACAAATGGGTATCATTCACCTGGTTCAAAAGAAAAGCGTTTATGGTTCGAGAATGGCGTGAGTGTAAATGGTCTTTTTCCCTTAATTTCATTAGATATCGGTTTTGACAATTGACCTTTTAATAACATAGCTTTATCAAAAGTAAAGCACGAACAATAATGATGTAAAAACTTCACACCTAGATATTCACTTAGAGTTGGGTATGGAGACAAATCAGAATTGTTTTCGCAGCATCATTTTCACAGGCGTATATCACAAAGCTAGTACATAATGGGTAAAGTGCAGACTTTTAAATACCCAACAGACGTGAAAAATTCCCGAATATATTGATTCGTGTTCTAAGTTGTTGGTTCAGGACACTATTATCCAACCGTCATCGGACCACTCGTCCCAAATTAGGATAGTTTAAAGACACTGTTAAATAAGGTGGAAATCAGTAAAAATACATCCTAAACATGATTCTGAGTCTAACTTGTTGATTTCTATATTCAATGATGATTATCTCTCGTTTCTCCACATGATATATAAAGCAAAAAATATACTAAACACTGTGATTGTCCTGTTTGAATTTTCTGGTAATTAACATCTACCTAAGTTGTCACTATTTTATAAAAGTGATCCACTTGCTTACACAGTTAACTTTCATAATTAGTCAATTCAAACAAGTTTGAAAGTATAAATACATATTGAAATATTTGCATAGTTGGAAAATAGGTGACAAAATTTTTTATTGACTTTCATTCAGACACTATAGTCTCGGTTCATTCAATAATTGTGCATTTTGTCTATTTGATATAAAAACTGTTTTTGCGTCTCGTAAACAGTAGCATTAATTTATTGTATTAAATCGATTTAATTTTACAGGTAGTTCAACTGTACATTGTAAATTGTAACCAAATTGAATAAATCATACCTTTTGTTTATTGGTTACTTACTGAGTAATAAGAACTGTGATTATCTATCAACTGTGTTGAATTAAATAGGAATAATATATTTGTAAAATCTCAGTGAATGAATCTGAAGTAAATCCAACGTTTCACTTGGACCAGAGTCCAAGTTTTTTCCTTATTTCCTTGAAAAGGCTTGGATCAGATTGCCAGGCGAAACTTTGGATTTACTTCTAATTCATTCACTGAGATTTTGCAAATGTATTATTCCTATTTAATGTCTTACATCAACTCGGCGCCCAAATACTATGAAATTTATTCGCTCTAATTTAGACGAAAGTTCTTATATATGTGTTGAATTGTTATCTTTATTTCTGCTTGTTTTTCTCATGTTCTCCATTTTAAAGCATCATTTTAGTTCTAGTGAATCAGATATTATCAGTTTGAATAATGATAAAACAAAGTGTCATTTTACATCAGGAAATTTCAATAAAGATGAATTCATTCCAAACGAGTAAGTAAACAAAAATATACATATCATATTTCATGTGAAGTAATAATAAATCATAAATTTCGATAGTGTATTAATCCTTTGTCTTCTTATTACACTAATGGAAATAAATCATAATTTAAAACGATTGATTATTATCATTAAAATTGTAGATCAAACTGTAAAAGCAACTAATCAATAATTTGAGCCTCAAAAACTTGATCATTTTTATGATTTTGTAAAATTACGGAGCTTTATTTGGTATATTTTCTATGATATACAACAATTTACGCTTTATCAGAAGGGTTTTGGTGGAGATTTTAGTAATTTTATAGAGTTGATATCATGAGTCAGTTGAAGCTAGACCACCATCGAAAACCTGGAAGCACTAGACGGCCGTTTCGTCCTATTATGGAACTCCTCAGCAGTGCTCATCCACGATCCCGCACTCGCGAGATTCGAACCCAGGACCTACCAGTCTCGCGCCAGAGAACTTAATCGATAGACCACTGAGCCGGTATCCAACAATGTTAATATCTAACTTCAACTGATCCACGAAATCGAGCAACCATTCACCAATGTCATCAGTGAGTTGATATCTCCCAACAGACCTGGTTGAACTCCACTGGTTACTGCTTCTCACTAGAACTCCAGGAAATACCTCATGGAGCCAGTTACTAATGAGCACATGATCATTATCAGAAGGGGTTTGATGGAGATGACTCATGATCTCAACTCTATAAAATTTACACTTTATTGAATTATTACTATTTTCGCCCTGAAGTGACATCAGTATTGAAAAATTATTTTACCTTAGTATGTAATTTCCTAGTAATACATACTTAAATAAAGCCAGAACAAATATTGATGTAGAATAATATGAATTCATTATATTTCGTGGTTTATCGTCAGCTGTTTACAACCAAATATGTATTAGAATTTTAGCATTGAGATAATAATTAGTGTGGAGCAATTGACATAAGTGAATGTGATGGATTGGAATGACTAAAGGTTATCACTGATAATAATAATTGAATATAATTTGAAAAGTTCACATAATTTAAGAGAAGCAACGCAACCCGTCCTATTTGTTTTCAATTCCATGAATCCTTTATTATCTTATCTGTCTCTGAACTTCACTCAATTATTACACCACCCACCCTTTAGAGGTTTCCTTGATTCTAACACCTAATAACCTCTGACCTTTTCTTGCACATATATATATAGTTATCATTGATAACCTTTTGTCATTCTAATCTTTTACGTTCACTTATGTCAATTGTTCCATACTATTTACTATCTCAATGCTAAAATTCTAATACATATTTGGTTGTAGACAGCTGACGAGTAACCACGAATTCATATTATCGAATTCATATTATTCTACATCAATATTTGTTCTGGCTTTATTTAAACTAATTGCATAAAATACAAACTTACGACAAACCTTGGGACGGAACCCTAGACTTGTAGGTCTTACGGTGATGGCAATATTTTTAGATGACTAATTTGGAATCTAAAGGTTTGGATCTTTCATTTCAATCAATTTATCATAGCACGATCCAGGTTCATTCTCAGAAGTGATCCAAAAAATATGTTCGTAGGAAACCCGAGGGTTCTGAGTTCGAACTGGTTTGGTATCATGAGTGCCCCTTATTTCAGAGTTCCAAACTAAAGTGGAAGAATTTTCCAGTTCCCATAGACTTACAATGCTCTTTATATCAATTTCTAATGTAGAATAAACTTAAATTTGTTTCGCAAGAGTATCATTCTAGATACAGTAGTATGTGCTCTATACACAGTACACCTTTTCTTTGATGAATGCAATAGAGTTTCAGCTGGTCATCGTGTAGCAAATTACTCTTAAGTGTATAATCTTATCCTCACTACCTACTAAACTAGATCTAGGAGGTTTGCCATAATGATACCTCGAAATAGTATATCACTATTTTGTTGCACCATACTTGATCTTAGATAATAATAAAACAAGTGTTCTGAACATGTTTCGCACATGGTATCATTCATCAAACAGAAAATTGTCCCAGTATTTAAAAAAAATGTTTTTACTTCCAAGACTCCCTACAATATTGAAAACGCATCTACTTTATCAAAAAAGATTTGATAGGTAACCCGTTTTACATCTACATAAGGAACAGTTATATTGTATATAATACAATTAATCTTTTTGATGAATTTAGATTGTAATAATTTGACAATTGTTTCGTGTAAACATTATTTATCATTTAGTATACGATCTACATTATGTGAAACTTAAGGTATGAATGTAGTGATACTGACTGTTTCATATCCTACCCATGCTGACAATACAGTATGCTAAGACTTGATATTACAATTCTTTTCCTAAACAAGATTGTGAAACGTATACAAATATACATTTGAACGGGTTGTGGTTTGGATAGAAAACATTATTTTGTTTTTTTCATACTACTTTTTGGCATCAGTATTGATTTCCCCATACTCTTAACGATCACATAGTACACATTGTCAGTTTTCCTTATACACAAACTATCATCGGAAAAGACGATATATTTGGCAGCCAATATACTGGAAATCAATAGGTACTAAGAAAAGTCATTTGACTGATAAACGAAAATCCTATTCATGTCCTTTTAATATATCAGGTAACTTTTTATTTATTTTTAAGCCAAGAACCCTTGGTTGCCATTTTGTTGGACTCAATGGTTAATTTTATGGTATATGTTCACTCTGATAGCTATCACAATTCTTCGTTATTTCATATGTGTACGTACGATTGTCATTCGGTTTCCTTTGTAAAGGGATTTTCTTATTTGACAACAGTTATCGTACAGAATTCCCATCACTTTAAGAGCAATTGTAATTCCCGATAACCGGACGGCTCTTGCACTTCAGTCTGATGGTGAATAGGACTGAAACCAGATCTCAAAAACAAGCGCATTATCGTTAGACTACTGCATCACGTCCTAATGATTCATATTATGTTAGGGTGGTCGTAAATTATTTCATTTTTTATAAATGATAGTTCAGATATGTGAGGTAGTATGCGTTAACATTTTCTCAATTCATATTTCCACACTGGCCCTTGATGTTTTCTGATTGATCATCCTTGCTTTTAGTTTGAAACTTTCATTATGATATAAGATCACCTTAATTTTCCGTTATCATTTTGACCTTTCTGAATATCAAGCGTTCTTCTGAGTTCCTAATTTCACATGGTTTCATTGAACGGGAGATTACCATTTAGTTGTTGTGTATCAGTCTTCAAGTCTATTCAGTTTGTATAGACTGTTTCTTATCAAAAGAATTTTACAATCGGTCTCAAAATATAAGACATTGTTCACTTCATTCGATTCATAATATCAATAAACTATAGTCATAGATAGTGTCAACAGCGTGTTATTGTCTTACTTCCTGATTGGTTAATTGTACAAGTTATGACTTTTTATATTGAAATTTCATTAAAATTATCTGAATGATAAGTTACCAGTGAACAAACAATTAGGATTATTCACTAGGCTAATTTCCTTCTGTTCTAGACTTAATTGAAATATACTTTCTCATGAATTTTAATGGACACAGAATAGAATTTCGGCACGACTTACTGGAAAGATAGTAAAAGTTTCATAGGAATAATAATTTGAATATCATAAATCTAGTTTATGTGACCAATATTTTCAAGAGCAGGTTCGTATACTCATCTTCGAAATATACTTTATGTGAGTGCTGTTGATACTACTCAACCACCTGATTCGAAACCCATCGAGCGGGGCTTGGACTCGTGACTTATTAGTTGAAAGTCAAGTGTTTTATCAAATAAGCCATCGTTCTACAGGTCAAATAAGTAAACTTTTTATCATATTTTCCTTTAACTGATGAAACAAGACATTTAAGCTTGATGTACATTAAATATAAAAATCTAACTTTCAAATTTTGATTGATACTAAATTGGTGCCAACATTGAATCAATAGACCCTTTTATCCCTTTTCATTTTTATTTTGCAGCATCGATGTCGACAGTGGTTCAGATTACATTTGGTAGAAAAACACCATTATTTTTGTTTTTCTTTCTCCAAATAATTATATTTAAATGACTAAATTTTACATTGTCTATGTGTATGTATCATTTTCTTAAAAGACTAAAATCATTCTCATTATTTTAACTTATAAAATGTGCCGGTTATTCTAGTTTAAGATTTTTTTCTTATTTGCGAGAAATAAATTCAAACAAGACTTCTTTTTTGTCAACCATCATTTTGTAATGAAGCCTAATTATGCAACGACTGAATGGAATATTAAAGTTCAATAGTTAATGAGACAACTTTTTTTTTTCTCAGTTCTTACCAGTTTATGTTATTTTGTGTAGTAACTAATAGTAATAATAATAATAATAATTTTGAAAGTGGAAATATCAGATGATATGTTGAATAAAATGATTGTATACTGTAATTCATTTTTATTCAAATGAATCTTACCAGATATTTTGTTTAAACTAAGAAAGACCGAAAGGAAAGAAGATAGTTAATAATATAATTGACAGAACTATGTCACTAAAAATGTCTGATGTATCTGAAAAGAAAATCGACTGTTTTACTTTTTTAAAATGAACATATTATTTGTAGCTTGAATAAAACAACGAAACATTTAAAGTAAGTCACAATTGATAGAGAATATTATAAAAAAGCAGATAGGCATAAAAAAAGAAGATAGCCTTCAATAGATTCAACAAGTAAATTGGAATGATATAAATGGGTAGAAAAAAAATGTTAGGATAGAATATTGGCGCATGTGAAGTGGGTTTTATAATACGGAACAATTTCAAAAGTCGTTGTCCTTCTTTATAACAAATATCTTTTCTTCTTCGGTTAAAAAAAACAAATTATATTCATGTAGGTATAACCAAATGCATATCTGTATTGAATAATAAAAGACCAATAAATATAAGTTTGTGGACATTAAAATGGATACATAGATGCTAAGCAATATTTTGGTGGTTGAAGAATTAGAATTGTAGCCAAAAGGTTACAGGGTTGAAGGTCTATGTACCCTTTCCGATCTAGGAAGTCCGGTATTATTACTTACCTTCAGACAATGTGGTTCAAAGCTGATTACATGAACCATTATAACGTAAATAAGTGGGATTACCAACATAAAGTTAAGTTACAATTTGAACCAGTTCGATAATAGTACTGTTGTGCTTACTTGGAAAGTATAAATTGTAAGGTAAAAAAGTACCCATTGTAGTCCTAGAGACTGACAATCAGACTTTGAGAAAGACTAGACCATCATCACTATACCTATTATCGCTACTCTGTGAGTTGGATTTGTATCTGATATTAGTTTTCATAATGTTTGGTAGTAAGTTGGTAAACTCATTTTACATAACTGATGAATACTATTGGTAAAATGTTGACTGTATGTTCCAGTTATAGAAATATCAATAGTTCATTGATTAGAGCATTTGATATTTAGTATGAATAGATTGCAAATATGAATCTAGCTTTGAAAATTTCAGTTTGGGCATGTAACAAGATAGTCACCGATGACCAGAAAAGCTAAATGTACACAAGCTTATACTAGGTTATCGACACGTATACAGTGATTATTATTTGCAGTAGTAAAGGCATAACATTACAACGTACTCATCAATTAATCATTTATTAATCTGATGATTATGGTAGTTATTATCATTAAAATCTGACTACCAGAATTGACAACACAACTAAGAATCAATAATATACATTATCCGAAGTAAAATATTTAAAGGCAGACAAAAAATTCTATTTAACAAGCGAATTAAATGACTATATGGCTAACAATCTTAGTGGAAGAACACAGAAAAAGTCAATGAACATTAATGAAGAATAAATGAATGGAACTTAATTAATCACTACTCTATGCTTTCTCAGCTCAAACTGTTAAGATTAATAATTGAAAAGAAACAGAAGTCAGTATTAAATTTACATTTTGTTGGAAGGATAGTAGGTGATAAAAACAGGTACGATGCAAAATTCAGCTATCTGTATGTTAGCCTTAAGGAAATAAAGAATCAATATCTCATCGATTATCAATACACATGGGTAAGTAATAAATAAGAAATTATTCATAAACAGGTAAGTAGTGGGTAACATTTCGACAGATATAGTGAAAGCATTCCATATAAAAGATGACATAAACAGCAGAAGACGAAAGGTATCGATTTCTACCTCTCTGTCTAAGAAAGACAACGATTCTGACGAAAGGAATTAATTATAGTGAAGATTTAAACGAGAAAATACTAGGGGGGATTCAATATACACTAGGATAATTATTACACATTAGTAATTGGTCAGTATACATAGATCAACAGTTGATTAATCTTTTTTTATCAATGATGTAATATTGCTAAGAGGTTTCCATCATTATAAATTGAGAAAATCATTTGAGCAGATATGTAAACTTCAGTGATTTCCCATTAAACTTTACAATTTACAAAAATAAAAATATTTATTCGGCACAACATTCGGAAACCATCATGGTTAGTTGAATAACCATACATGTATACGAATCAAATGATACAATAATGGTGATGACCAATAGAAGTGTTATTCAGATTTAGTTTATTAAAAAATGTGTACGTAAAAGAACAATACACAAGGAGTGAATTATTAATAATGTGAACAAGTGTGTGTGTGTATGTATGTATGTAAAATACAGCTGACAGTAATGAGAATAAAACAGAATAATAAAAGTACATGTCTCACATAGAATTCTGTTCAACACAATCTAACTTGAATATTCTTATTTTGTAATTGTGAAACTCGACGAGAAATTACCGAAATTTACATATTTGCTTTAAATGTTTTCAAAATAATTATAATCATTTAAAGTAAATAAATGAACCCAAACAGAAAGGGAAGAAAGGATATATATACGTAACTAGTTATTCAGGTATAAAATAAATAAATAATTTAAACGGAGTAGAGAAAACGATAAATGTGGTGTATTTGCAATATCAGTTAATGTGACAATAATACTAAGAGAATTAGTTGGTACAACAGTTAATTGAATCAAACTATAATTAATTTTCAAAGGGAATTATGCATATTTAATGGATGAATTCAAAATAATAATACAAAACCCAGATGATTTGTTTAATCGCATTGGAGGCACAAAAAGTCAAAAAATTACTTTTACTGTAAATGACTTAATTTAAGTGTGTCAGTGATTGAAGATAAACTGGTTGGATTTATTTTATGCTCCTTTATATTATCATTTTTATTTTTAATGTTCTTGTTCTCAGTAATAACTAGAGAATTAAATATTGTATTGTTGTTATTTTGTTCTAAATGAAGCGTTGAATTTGAATGAAAACGATTCACATTTGTTGGTGGATCACATATATATCGATCACCAATCAGACGATATTTACATAAATTCATACGATAATCAGACGAAATAACAAACAATTGTACACCACTAGCTAAGGAGCCTTCACGATAGAATTGTAAACTAACAGGTTGTGGCTTGCCTGGGCCATTCGTTAATGTGAATTTCGCTCGAACAGTACCAGTTGCATCGAATTTCGAAGTGAATTCGGACCGATGTGCACTATTACTATTATTATCCCTTGATAAGTTACGATCAATATTAGTATTGTGAAGTGGGATACGCCATGTAGCATGATTGACTTCTGGGAGCCACGTACCAACTGGAAGACTTTGCATATGGCTAACAGTTCCATCAATCATGAGATTTATTCGCAAATCTCCAGTATTTTTCACAAGTCTAATAAGGAAAATATTATTATTAATTAATTAACTAAGATTATATCAAGTGAAATATCTGTAGACAGAATATAGTTGATGATTGTAATGAACAGTAGTGTAATAATAGTAGTACACTTAATGTTTCGGGCGGATAATGTCAATAAGTAAACATCTGATAAATTTTATATTGAATGAATACATTCTCATCAAAACAATAAATGTTTATACTTGATTTAATGAAATATAATTTTAGCATAAACATGAAAACAGAATCACAATGAATCTGTTCATTTATACCATAATGCGCGATCCGAATAAATTGAATTTATAGTAAGAACAAGATAATGAGTTGTTGTTAAAAATTATTAAAGTGGGTGAGTAAGCAAGCAAAAAAATTTACAAGGGAAGTATCTTGTTAAATTTTCTCCAACTGGATATCATTTCTGTTGGTGTAGAATAGAGTTCTGACTATTGAATGAACTAATTAGGCTAGAATTGGAACACCCTGATTAGTTCACTGTCAACCAATCAGCGCTGGCGAACGAATGGAGATGCTAGAAAATTTTGTATGTTGTATACATCGAGTTGTCGAAACAAGTGTTTTTTGCTTCTAGTTGTTGTTCGAATTCGGAAAGTGTTTATTAAAGTAACGAAGTTAGGATATACTAGACAGTAGAATGACACATTACATTTGACCAAAATTATATGTAACAAAGTTTTATCTCATCGGTCTACTTCTGTCTACAGTTTGAAATTACTACTAATTCTGGAATTTTCGGGTTGTAATATATATATTTATGAAGCGACCTGCCATCAGTAATATTTTGAAAACTCTAAGTCACTGACAAATAAAATTGACTGAATTCATTCCATACAAATCAACTCAAAAAACGAATTATTAGAAAGAAATAGTGGGAATTCGACTTTAAGATAAATCAACTCAGACGTTACGTGTTACTATTATGATTATTTCAGTTATGGAAAACTGTTTATTCAGGAGAACTAGAATGGTGGGTCAGCCATTGTAGCAGAATTACATGAATTCGTTTATTATGTGGATTTTCTTCAGCTACTTGCAACCTATAGTTTTAATGTCTAACTTGCCCCCAAATACCCTGGTATGGCCGAGAGTGGGGAGAGTCCGCTCTCCTTCTCAAAATGCTCTCACATGGCTACGCGAATATATAGCTTCTGACAGGGAAGTCCTACTCACTGTCTTCTCGTAGCGGGGGTGTTGTTTACGAAAGTGAGAGGACGAAAAGCGAATGTCCGGCGCTTTAACCGGGTTGGTGGACATGTAGGGTCCACTTAGGGGAGTTGGAAAACCCTGATTCCAAACCAATGGTGCACATGGGCTCCAGGATCCTGATGGAACGAATGGCGTATGAACCTATTGTTGGTCACCGGCTATCATGGGACTGCATCTCCTTACGATGCTCCACTGCCTTGTGGATCAGAATTTTAGGTCAAAGGCTCGGGGTGTGGCCCCCTAAGAAAACCACCTGCTTCAGTTTGGGCACCTGGGCAGTATCTCAGCCCTCACACAAATCAAATGCGATTTGTGAGGCGCATATTTATCTGGTGCTTTTTGTACCAATATTTATGTGTTTAAATAAAATAAAATAAAATGTCTAACTTCAACCGATTTAGTTCGTAATTTAAAAAGTGTGAAAATTCTACAATCTTCCCAGACCATCCTATTTAAATAAAAATAAAAATTATTTATGCCCCAATGTACATATGTTATTTCATGTTAATGATGACAAGTCCAAAGGCAGTAAATATAGAAGCAGATTTGTAGCTGAAGTGGATGATTTTGATGGAGTTTTTTTCTCTGGACTGGATGGTTTGGTCGTGGAGCTTTCATCATTCTTCTGAACGACATCATCAACACAAACGTCGAGTAGAAGTTAGTGCTGATAATGTCATTCAGAAGAATGATCAAAGCTGCACGACCAAACCATCCAGCTCAGAAAAAAAAGCCATCAAAATATGGAAGCATTATTGAAAATTTCCTTATAGTTGGATATTTACATGTTGACTAAAGTGAAGATTCTAAGGGCTAAACGCTTCTGTCAGTCTCACAATATTGTGAGGACTTCGGTTCCCGATATTTGATTGCTCAATAGTAAGTGCTCCATTCCTATTACTCTGTTAAATTACCCTTTCTTAAAATTAATATTAAGTAACTCTTCACACTCGTTTTACTTTTTCTTAGAAGGCTGTCGGTGCGTATTTTAGAACTTTTCTTCCAGAAACAAAGATGGATAGTGGCTAGCAGTGGAATCTAGGACTCGAATCCAGTACCTTTCGCTTCAGACGTCATCGCGTTATCCACTCAGCTACAGAGTGAACATCAACTTTGAGAAGCAGGTGCGTCCAGCTGACGGGTCCCAAATAGGACGAAACGCGTGTCATGGATTCCACCGCTAGCCACTATCCACCTTTGCTTATAATGCTTATGAATTAAGGCTATATCGAGGCAATACGCACAATATGCACATATACCAAATAGAGACTGACCAGTTGCAGTCCTGAACATCAATGGGAAGATTCAAACAAACAATACCAAGTGAATTTTCCTCTAGAGCTTTCACAGTAGTTGGCGTATGAATATCAGTCCGTGAGATTTTTCATAATTCTTCTGTATCTATAGTCTTCTCACTAATCGTCACTGATATGATATAAAATGTACACATTGTTTTAAAATAAGTATAACCATCGTTTCGAGGTTACAAAGAACAGAAAAGAATCCAAGGTATGTATGGATACACATTATTCTGCTAAGTTTATTGTTGCAACATTTGAGCTGATAAATGGGAAAGATTGTTTGAGATTTACCAAACTAGAACTCGTTTTAAAACAAGGAAATCCACTTGTATTAATATTCGGTAACTGATTATGTATGGACTAGAGTCGATTTTTAGTTAGCGATGTACGGAGTTCGATGCTACAGTATATAGCAGTAATCGTAATAATAGTTACAAAATAAGCTATGATTTTAGATAATCTGCGGGCTAACTTAAGGAATGAGAAGAGCCTTTTCTGAACGTGAAAACATAACTGGTCAATCTTTATCACTGAAGGAACAAAAGTCTGAAATAATTCACCGTATAATTAGCGGGATCAATTTTGAGTAAAAAAAACCTAACTAAAATATCATTGAATTACGCAAAAACAATAAAAAGAACATACTCTTTAGCAGTAGTTGGTGTAGGCCATTGTGCTGTATAATCCAAACGAAAATCTGTACTTGATGCTTCACAACGCCAGTATGTACATAAATGTATTGGAGGTGTAAGACTAGGATAGTATCCCTTAACATCGGCATTCACATCAACTGTATAAGTTAATACATCTAATTTAACATAAGTAGGTGTATTAGATGTAAAAGAGGTATTTAACTTATCAGATGTATCACTACAAGAAAATGAGTTTTCATCTGAATGAGCAATTATCAACGGAGCAAGATAACTTGAAAGAACATCACCAGGAATAGTAAGCATATAATCTGAACTATTATTATTACAACTATTGATTATTTGTGTTGCATTGTTATCTGCCAAATTCTCGAGTAAAATTGGTTGAGGTTTATCAGCAGTAGGAGTTGTACTTTCAGAAAACAAACTAACAGAAAAACAAAATGCATACCAATGAGACTACATAACTGAATTAAGAATACTAACGAAAAAAGATCTTGATATGATACTTGAGAAATAAATGAATACATCAATTAACTGATAAGTAGTAATATTATTCTTAATGACACTTAATATCACTTAAATGACGTACCTATTAGTCTAGTAATCTTGAACTATATACATCTGTCTTATGATAATTAAATCCAAACTCATGATTAATTTGCATGAGACATTTTATTAATTTAACTATTAACAACTAACTGCTTGTCGATATAAAAGTAAAACACATAATGAAATATATTAACAGTAATTGGATTGTAGGCATAAACAAAAATTGGAAAATAAACTTAATAAAATCTCCAACATTATGCGTGTTATTAAGGCTTTATTTTCAAATATTCAGTAAATACATTAAAGGTAATTTTTATCATAAATGGTGAGATCAGTTGAAGTATCATTAAAAGTCAAGAAGGGCTTTTTCATCCTAATTCAGAACTCTTTGGTAATGTAAATCAACAATCTGACGCGGAATTAAACTGAAAACCATGATATTTTGAATCTCACTAATTTATCAGCTGATATCAGTAGCTGGTGATGAAAATTATCTCCAAAATAGTGTGGTGAATCGGGACTCAGATTGAGAAAACCAATTTACTGTTTAATGAAAAATTACAGAGTGCCTTCGTAGAATATGAAAACTATACATTAAATACATAATTTGCACATCTTCCATCAGTTTCCCTTTATATACTTCATGATTCTTCCAATTCTGTTGTTCCTCTGATTGCTCTATGTCCTTTTTCCTGTTCCCTTCAATCCAATCTTTTTTGGCAGACATTTCACTTCCGATTGATGCTAAATACTGCTGATATCTGTCAGCGTAAGTAGCATGCGCCACAATAGTATTTTCAGATCACAAACCATCTTAGTAAATCTATTAAAAGTAAATCTGGATATATGGAAGCTCTTCAAAGACACTTCGAAGTAAAAAAGGAGTTAGATTAGATATTGCATTTTACTATTTTATCACGATTATCTATTCATCAGTCAACAGGTTTACATGCTTCACCGATTACAAGTTAACTGAGAAAATTAAGCTTCATAAAGCGCTTGTGAAATAGAAACATAACAACTGTATTATTTCAAAATAATCTGAAATAAACGAGCAGTACAATTTACCTGATTGATGAGCCAGAAAGTTTAGGTTGTAGATCCTTTAATCTTTCAGCGTTTGTAATTCTAAACACAAGAGGGGGAATAAGTAATTTATTGAATAGTCTTTGTTCCATATCCACACGTGGAAATGCAAGTGTTAAACTACCATTGATTGCTTGAATAGGAGGTTGACCAGTAGAGGCTGCGGTTGAAAAAGAGCTGCCACCACCGTTAAAAAACCGGGCATGCCAAGTCTCTGTAAATGCAGCAGCTAAGCAAATTGAATTATTTGGCGAATTAATTGAATAGGTAGAAGGAGAAGATGTAATACATGGTTCAATAATGGAACTATTATTCGGATGATTATGAAGGCGTGTTGGAGGTTCAGGAATAGGTCGAGCTTCTTTACCAACTACAGTACCATGTATATTAGCGTTAGAAGATGGCCAGGGTACAGAAGGACTGAAGGATTTGCTTGTCTCAGTTGAATTTGTTTCAAAAGCCATCTAAAATTGTGAAATTGAAATATGGGTTATAGGGGTATTAACGTGTATCTTTAGATCTCAAATGTACAAACATTACCTATTACAACAAATTTGTTACAGTAGACTTCTGAATGGAACGTTTGATCATAGACAATATGATCATTATATTTACACGAAAATGATTAGTAATTCATTTACCATTTCTAAATGGAAATTTGACTGAGTAAATGATATAAAATATATTCACAGTGACTAATCGAACATATATTTATATAATCAATCATATGTTGAATGCTTATAACTTCAGACAGATTTCTCAATACACAAGCAAACAGTCTAAGTGATTTTATCTTAAATTCGTTTGAATTCTCGGATTGTATTTGATAAATGCTTCTCATCAGAAATTTGTGCACCTAACAAATTTGGCAAAAAATATAATAATTACTTACTGGACAACGTGCTTTAACAGTTGTATATCACACATTTTTGAATATTGTTAAGTAGAACTAAACATAGGTTTAGTTGACTTACATTAGTTGAATAGATTCGGATGGATGGATTCCCCAAGTATAATCGATTTTACCAAAGCGAAACGATTTCTTCACGTCAATAGGCTATTTCATATTCTGATGAGGTCGAACAAATGTTTGTTAAGGAAATTAAGTCATGTACCTACTGACACCTGGATCCCCGTCAAATGAAAGATGTTTGAATGAAATACACAACTGGATGGATATTTACAATAATTACTAGATTATAAGACATATCGAATTACAGACGATAAAACTATCTAAGTACTCATACATTAGTGGGCAAGTGAAGCTCAAACTTATGATCAACCAACTAGCTTAAAACACTGGAACTACTAATGTCGATTTGATAAACTTCATATACTTTTGACTAAAGCGGTTGCTCCATATAAAAAGAGCTGTTTACTTTGATGTGTAATCTCCATGATGAATCCTTGATGTTTCTCTTAGCTTTTCCCATAACTTTGGATTCGTTGAGTCACTGTTAGAGTATTTAATGGACAGAGCATAAAAGGTTGATAAGTTTGAAATTGGGCATACAGCTACAAAAACTGATTACTAGATTAAAATGAGAACAGCTGAGTGATCATAAATGATGAACGATAAAGTAAATACTGTAAGCAAATAATGTACACATACCCAATTAGATTGATCAATTGATTCATTATCCATTGAAGTAGGTGCTGTACTAGAACATCGTCGAAATAAGCCACCATCACCATCATTCTTTACAGGTGATAAATTAACACCCATTGCAGATGATGAAATTCTTTGTAAAGTATCTATTAAACTATTACAACTATCAGAATCTTTAAAACCAAATTTAAAATCTGAAGAGCAGTCTTTCTGAACGGGATCTTTACTATTATTTGACTGAATATCTTTTGTATTAGTTTCTTGTACTGTGAATAGGGTCTCAAAAGAAGACAAACTGAAAGTTGCATTTTTAGTTTCATCTTTTGATTCCAATGACTTTGCAGAATTGAGTTGACTTGAATTTCCTTCTAAAATTAAAATAAACCATAAATAAACTGAAATATGAAAGAGATTATCTCTAATAATATTTAGGTACATTTATTCTGCAAAAAATTATTTAAATGTCTGTACAAACGTCAAGTTAAATCATTTAATGATAAATAAATCTTACTAAACAAGTGTACATACAGAAATAATTTGATGAATACGACTTTCAAGTAGTTATCAAACTAAGACTTTTTTATCGACTGTAATCGACTTTTATCAGTTCAGCATTAATATACTTCATTTCAAAGTACATAATCAGATAAATACTTACTGAAATATTTATAACCAGTAGTATAGTGAATGAAAATTCAGGTACGGTAAACCATTTACTGTTTTAAGCATAATCAAAAAGGAGATTCGTAAAATGTCAAAATCATTCATTAAATGCATCATTTGGATATGTTTCTTCAGTTGTCCTTTACATAATTCATCATTATTTCGATCCCGTTGCTACACCGATCGCTCTTCGTTTTCCTTCCTCTTCTCTTTATTTCACTAATGATGACACTATTAGTATACAATCCATGAATTATTATAGGTCCATATACATGAGATTAAACTAACAACAACAAACAAGGACATCTTATAAGCAAGCATTCTAATTACCTATTAAAATAGTAATTAGAATATGCAGTTATCAATAAAATACAGACTAACTCGATTTCGAATTATATAGGTTTATAGTGACGATACTGGATGAAGTATATAAGCTATATTACATCATGATAATGCTAATAAATTATACATGTACATACATACACACAAAGTATACACAGCCATAGAAAACATGAGCTGACATTTAATAATAGCAGCAAATGAGCAAAGAAAAAGGTTTTTACTAAATGTGCCTGAAGCAGTGCGGAAACCTAGTGTTGATAGAAAAAACAACATATATATGAATGATTATCATCATCATTATTTTTTAGTGCAATTTATAACGATGACTACTAAGACATGAATTTCTGTGATATCTCATTTCAAATAGACTCGTAGATGATAAAATTTACACATACTAATTTGAGAAGTGACAAAAGCTCCGTGTAAAATACTTTTATTTGTGTAAACTTTACTGCGATATCTTCGTGGAAGAGTGGATAATTTGCCTAGATAACATAATAAATGATTACGGTGATGGAATATACATATACATGTGTATTAGTAAACAGACAAATTTAAATGTAAAGAGTTAGGAGTGTTAAATATATGATGCAGTACTGCTAATTCTATCTACAATATAAGTTATTGACTTTGAGTCTTGCAGTCATATATATAGAAGAGTTGTGATACCTCATGGAGAGTTGAGAATTTCTGAGTTACGAAAGCGAAGTCCCTCCTGACGACCAGAGCAACGAATAATATATATACATGGAATGTTCTGACGAAATAAGATACCAGTGAATAGAAGATACAATCTTATTTTGCTTGGAATAAGTAAACCCCATTGGACAAAAGCTGAACAGAAACAACTGGACTTGGGGAAGATTCTGTTTCATAATGGTCACTAGAAAGAAAATGACCCCACACACACATGTAAAATGTTGTACAGATACTCTCTAGAGAAGCCCGGAAAACGGTCATAGGATGGGAAATTCATACATCCAGGATCATCAAAGGATCTTTCGAAACATAATAGGTAGGCCTTACATTAATCGTCATCCAGTGTTACGTGTTCAGCAATCATAACAACGGAGAGGATGAAGATAGGTTTTATGAGAGGCTATAGTTCGTCGTAGAGAACTTCCTAAGGAAAGACTTATTTATCCTGATACAAGACCGGAACGCCAATGTCGGGATGGATAACACCAGGTATGAATCCACTATGGGGCAGTATGGATTGGGAGAAAAAAGGCGAGAATGCTGAGAGACTGGGAAATCTATGTGTTTTCAACGACAGAGTTATAGGCGGGACTAGCATCACTTACAAACACATACACAAAGCTACATGGGATTTACAGCACCTCAATACGGAGAACGAGATCGATCACAAATGTATCAATAAAAATTGAGGTCCACGGAAAACGTAAGAAAAAAGAGGTAAGATAATATAGCTTCAGTTCACCACTGGCGGATGCCAAGCTGAAACTGAAGTTAAGAAAGCACTACACAATTGGGCAAGTAGAGCTATAAAAGCTTAATACAACTTCTCACAGAGATGCTGAAAAACTTAGTCAATAAGCGGTATCTCTCAACAATAAGTTCTAAGCCTTACGAGACCTACTCAGAGGAGAGGAGACCACTGTGGAGGACAACTGTAAAGAGATTAAAGAACCAACTGCTTTAACATGCTAGGAGGTGCTGGGCCCCAAGAAGCACCGACATTAAGAGTGGATCCCTAGTAATACCTTGAGCAAGATTCAAGATGAGAAAGACAAGAAGACAGTAGACAAAAAAGCCGGAAAATAGAAGAGCTCGGAGCACGAGCCGAATAGACAGTATTAAACAAACGAGTGGGGAAAAGTATCAGGACAGACAAGCGGAAATGTTTAGAAGACCTGGGAGAAACAGTAAAACAAGCTGTAAGAGAAGGGAATATGTGAGGAATATATGACAATAAAAAGGCTAGCACGCGAACATGGTAGCCCGAGCGATCAGTCAAGAAAGAAGAGAAAAAAGTCATTGAGGTTCAAGAGCAACAAAACGAGTGTATATACCATACTGAAATCATTGATAAACAAGGAGGATCTGATTTATATGTGAAGGGATGGATTGGGAAAGCAAGGATAATATTCCTACAATTGGAGAATATTTTGAACGCAAAACAACTGCCAAGCAACACAAGATAGAATTTTTTATACAAACGTCAAGACAGTTTTATTATATGGATCTGGAACAACTATCATCTAAAATGTACATGTATCTGTAAAGAGATGTCCATGCAAGACATTCCAAATCTGTTGGCCAAATGCAGTTAGCAATAAATTTATATAGCATGAAACAAACCAGCTTCCAGCTGACGAGGAAATCAGGAAAATATGCTGGAACTCAATAAATCACACTCAGTGGATATTATCAAACTGCATCACAAAGCAAGCCCTAACTTGGAATCCTCAGGCCAAAAAGAAAAGAAGCAGACAAAGAAACACATGCAGTCGGGAATTAGAGACAGGCATTTGAATCAACAACTGGAAACGAGTCCAACAAAGAATTGGTTGGAGATTCCTGGTTGCCGATCTGTCTCAAAAGTGGTAACAGACTTAAGTAAGTTAGCAAGTAAGAAAGTAATCATGACAAGCCCGGTGTTTTTTAATTTAACCGAAAATTGATATAAAGCAGTATATTAGTTGTGAATACAAGACTTTTAAGTCAGTAAGACAATAGGTTGCTGAGAATAAAAATTACGAATGATTCTTAAAAGAATTAGAATTACGATCAATCAAGGTGTTATGATCAAGTTTCATATTTTACTCCAAGCTGCATCATCAATATATGAACATTACTTGTCGCACGATAAAAGCCATAAGAAACGTTTTTCAGTGATCCCATTAGCCTTAAGACTATTCGATTCATATTCAGTAGATGGGATTCATAAGACTTCAACTGCAAATTCTTTTAGTAACACGTGTATTAATGCCAGTCCAATTTTCTACTTGAAATCAAAACAACTGTGACCAGCGAAAACCGTCAATCTGTACTAAAGATGAATTTCAAGTCACTCACTTGAAAAAATTACCTGAGAAAGCAATCATTTTAAAACCTTTTCGTTTATAGGATCAGGATGGAAAAAAATGTCAATAAAAAAGTGCAGGAAATCTCATTAAAATTTGTTTTATTACTCACAATATACAGTGAAGATCATTAATCAAATAAAGCGGTTTTGAGACAAACACACTTAATAGTGTCTGAATTGATTCCCATTTCCTGAAAAGGATTATGAGTTTTGGATTTTGAAAATGACATTTTTAAACACACAGTATTTATTCTTTGTCTCAGTAACCAAGTACGAGCTTATATACGCAGATTCGAGCCATAGTTCACTTTACATGGTTGGTAGTGATACCACCTATCTGCCACTTCTCCGGAGATATATATATATATATATATATGATATTTTTGCACACAGAACTACATAAAAGTGACACAAAACAGCTGTTTAATGAATATTTATTAGAAACTCATAAACCAATACGCCAAGTAATAGCTACCCAAGTTTCATATTTTTCTGGTTTCTATCTTCGTAACTATAATATTATCATGGAAGGTGTGACATAAACAATGTCGTCAACATAAATCTAAGAAAAATCGCCAACAATCGACTTATTAAGAAACAGAAAAGCAATTACTTTTAGTCCATGTATTGCAACTGTATCCACGTGGACGTATCGCTGATATTGAATGACCCTTACTGAATGTATTAAACGATGACAAACCGACATTCCGAGTGCGCATGGAACCACCAGCACCGATAGAAGTAAACGACTCAGTGGTAGATGATGACACTGATGACGATGGCGGTGGAGGAGGGGGCGGTAACAATGGTGGAAGAGGTAATGCATTAATCAAATCATGATTTGATACGCTATCCGATCCTGAAGTGATGGGGATATTTTGATATGAAGATATGCTTGAACGTGGTGATCTAAGTGTTGATCCGACACGATGATCAATAAGTAAAGGGACTTGTGAATTCCCAGTGCTTTTCGGACTTCTTGTCTCTAAAGGCTTTGGACGAGATTCTAATTTATCCCCATTATATTTAAGCGCTACTCCTGGAGCAAACTCTCCGACTGGACGGATATTAACCTGGATGAAAAGTAAGATATAATTGGCGTTTCACATTGTTAAATGCATACATAAATGAGTTTTTAATAGCATTTTCAAGACCTAGTTCTTCGATGTTAAAACACATCCTTGAAACTGGCAGCAAAAGTTAATAAAACTCCTAGAATACTGTTCAGCCAATAAGCATCAGAAGAGAATTACAAAACCTTATGCACTAATATTTACTCCTAATCTGACTGGTCGGATTGACAAGTCATTATTAACGTTTGGACTTGTTTTTGATGCATTTCTAGAAATATGAAATAATTTAAGTAAATAAATAATCTTTGGTTTGCGCACTTAAATTTACTTTGACATAAAGGAAATTTAAAAGTTGACTAAGGAGTAGTGGTCGAAAACGTTTGATCTCAAAACATGCCAATTATGAATGAAGTGGCCTCAACTGTTTACTGATTTTGGCTGGTATCACATATTCGAACGAGTATTGGGAATGATAGGATTCCAAGGATAAAACATGGACCTGAATTTATATGGGCAAGTTAATACTGTTTGAAGAAAGAACTGATCAACTGTGGCAATTTATCTTTCTTCCAGAAACATACTAGAGTTTTGTGGTATATGATGTAAACATTCGCCAGAAGGAACAGTCTTCTAACCCATGTATCGTAAGTTTACAAGAAAAATTGACATTAGCAACTCTTTCAATCCATAAATTTACTATTGATCATTTCAAGGAAACCATATTAACGGTTTCAAAATTTGTTAGTATTTTATGTTTTTTAATGAAAGCTAAACTGAGTGGTTGTGTTAGAAAGCTTAATTTACTCTTAGGTTTAAAAAGAGGATCTATTAAATGCCAACTATGTGGATGATGCAGCCGCTGGAGTATAATGCATTCGTATGGGTTTAAATAGTGGCGTAATTACCATGATAGATTCAAATATCCTTTTGATAGAAAGTAACCAACGCAGCTAATTATTTTAATTCGCATAAACTATTTCTCACAGTATTTCATCACTGGTAAGTGCAATATCTCGTGATAACCAATAAAATAAAATTAGTCGGTCCGAGAGGCTTAGGAGTAGTGTCTCTGACTGTGATCTGAGTAACATGGGTTCGAATCCCACAAAGCGTATCAGTTCCATCAAAACACCCTGCATACCCTATTGACGCATGATAACTGGAGCGAAATCTTGATCAGAGACTTCATGTCAAATTCCTATAACAACTTAATATCGAAAAAAGTGTGCCATAACGTTGAGTTATTTGGTAAATTGATCGTATTGTAGCTTAACCTACATAATTCGATTACCATTCAAACCTCACATAATACTAATTAACACTAATAGACCGATTAGTGTAAACAACTCAATCCGACTGAACATCAGTCGAAGTCCGATTATGTGAAACATAACGCCTTAGATTGTTGCAAAAGGTTACAACCAAATAATTAATTATTGTGTAGTTGTCACATTCACGTGTCAAAATAAACGGAAACACATCTTTACGTACCTTCATAGAATAGAAAACGACAGAAAAAACCAAGTGGAATAACAACAAACTTATATAACCTCATCTGATATCTAGAACTCATATTTAATGTAAGAAAGCTAAATTAGAGGTATATAAATACAGAGAAATGATTTTCTGTACCAAACTTTTGTTCCGAAACTCAAAATTTAACAACTAAAAAGTTTAGGAAAGACTATTCAATAAAAAGTTGATCGAACGCATAACTCCGTCGTATGTGAAGTTAGGTTTTCAGTCAGTTAGTCAGTCACAACATAGAACATGGTACGTTTGTACATCGATTTAAGTTACCGTACCCCATTAACATAAAGAGATGTCAAGCCAAATCCCAGGATAGGAGAGGTAGTAACGGTATTAGTAGTAGTAGTAGTAGGGAAAATTAGGCATCGAAGATACAATTCGAGAAAGAAATATAAACTAGCGAAATAAAAACAACAAAAGTTATGGGGAATTTAGAATCTCAGAATTTGGGGGAAGATAAAAAATGGATACATACGCACCATTACAAACGAGTTTGAGCCGTGTCATCCAAAGTCCCTAACCATTGGTTATGATGATCACGCGAACTCCAACCAGATAGTCTATACCTATTAAAATGGCTAAGTGCAACTGTCACTGACCTCATGGACTGGTGTTATGTTTTGTTTTCGCCGCGCCTAGCCTTCTATCATCCTACTCCTGCACCCGAAAACACAAAAAGGTTTTAAGTCATAAGCTGTTAGTATTATTCAAACAAACGAAGAAAATTCATACAGAAGTACTAAATGTGTCCCATATTAATAAGAGTCTCAGCCAAAAGTACTATTTTTCACTACTAGATTGAATTTAATACAGTCAGTCTAAATATATATAGATATATATCACATTCTCAGCAAACGCGCGCAGCTAAAAAGATCACTATCTTACTGTTTCAATCCACACAACATTTTAGTGTACTCGCACTATCCCAAGTCAACCAAGTTGCACAGAGATGATTTGTTTATCTGAGGTTCTAATTATCTAGATTGATCTTAAGAGTAAATCAATATATATCATATCGAAACTTTCAAAAACAGCACAAAAGGAAATGAACTTAAACTGTGGTATCACATAATACAACTCCAAGTATAGATAAATACCTACTTTTAGACCATGAAATGTTTTGTTCGCTTTGCTTTCTAGATCTTCTTCGGAACCTGAGTCATCAGCCTCAGAATGATTGAAATTTGAAGAGTTTTCACCCCATGGATCAGGTGGTCTAATGTTATAACCGTCTTCGTCTTTCGGTAATTCTACGGGTGTAGTAGTTCGCCAATCATCACTTTTTGAAGTAATGTTATCTGCAAAAATAAGTCACTGATATTGAAGATATCATTCGAAGAATATAGCAACAGTATCGTAAAGATTAAAGTGAAGACAAATAAAAACACTTTATATGTCATTGATTTAGTTAGGTTCACTTATCGTTTCTTTGATTTCAATAACCATCAATCAGAAACACTTTATTGTATGAGTAATCTCAATTTATCAGACCCATGGTTAGAACTTTGCCAATAACTACAAATGTCCGAAAGCTTTTTCGTATAATTTAAGAACAAATAGCTAATTAAAGAGTAAATGTATTTGATATAGAATATAAATAACGAACGGCAATAAGTGAAATTTTATTGGGAATAGAATATCATGTGCTGGTAAAGGAAAAACTAATTATAGAGTAGCCAATATCTCACTAAATATACATGCAAGTGATTACTGAGTGCTAATATTCGACAGCCGTTGCATTCTTTTGTTTAACATATATTGACAAATACCTTTCACTCTACTCGAAAACAACTAAAACGATAACGAGTTGGTACGAGATAAACTCTAATGAACCCGAATAACAGTAGGTAAAGTAATAGAAACATACGTTTTTGTAAAATTTACTCAAGGTGTCAGTATCACGATTCGTTCTAAGGCGCTGATTGGTTGGAGGTAGCCCAAACAGTATACTCAGACTTGGGAATGAATTAGCCATGTAACCGTGCCTTAGCGTTATTGTATTCTGAGGAAAATTGGCACAGATTTGTTAAGAATTGAGAATTCTGAATTGGTATCACGTATTGTATCCCTACACGGACCACTGAAAAATTTCACAAATGTAAACACTGACTAACGAATGACAAACAGGGCTTTCACGCTTATTGGTCCTCGAGTCCCTTTATAACTCAGTCGCCAATCAGAAGACGATGACAGAAGGCGAATTAGTTCTTTATTGTACCCAATTCGATGATGACTAAAAAACTGATGCAATAATGTGCTGCAAATGCCTGACTTTAACAAGCCGAAAAAGAAAGCAGATATTGAGCGCGGTCGTACCATAGGTGGTAAAGGACTGAGCAGAGAGTACATAATCAATTAGCAATAATTAAGGAATATTAAAATGTATAACAATAATTAATAGGTCCAATGGAAGCTTACAATAAAGAAGGTATAGAAATGTAACGATATAGTTATCTACAAAATACGATGAAGATGCGAATAATAATATTGAGAAAAATAGAGAAAGCCTCAATTTTCTCAATATTCGTCGTGTGTCTAATGGGTTTGACTTTCAGCAACTAGGTTACAAATTCAAATCCTGCTACACCTACTTCGGTTTGGAGAACTGAGCAGTGTCATTAACACCGTACCTACAGTGCGTCTCATATCCAAGCACTTGGTGAATAATTCAATTTACATTTAAGTACAATCATGAGGATCATATACTTCAAACATCTCTGATATTTGCCAAATACTAAGATGTTTACTAAAAATGAAATATCACGTTCATAGGCTAATTACAACACGAAATTCAATTTAGGGGCCTCACTTAACACATAAGCTACTAATTTTAATGCGAAGCTTTCTCAAACATCAACAGAAACTACTTAAATTATTTACTGTCAAACAAATCTACCTGACTTGTCCATTTGCTTTATTGGTTTATCTTTGCCATTTGAATAAGGAGTGCCTAATCGACGAATCCCACGTTTGGCAACAACGGTGAAAGCACTGAGGCTGATACTACCACTAGCTTGAATATTGGTGTTTGTCCCAACGGCCGCACCGACTGAGGTGGACGACCCTGTTGCGTTATTATCACCGACAGCAGGAGCAGGATCCTGTGATAAGGAATTACGGCGTCGACGAAAAAAACCTTCTCGGCGTTTTGCGGTTCCATTGCCAGAAATTGATATATTTGTTACCGACGGCACAACACCTACGGAAATACTAGTTACAGAGACCGCGTCTGATCTAACATCTGTTAGGCTGTTGAGACTTGATTCGCCATTATCTTTGGTACAAGAACCTACAACTAAGTGAAAAAACGTTCCAATTAAGGATAGCACAAAACCACATATTGTGAGAACACCATACACTCTAACATACAAAAAAAGTAGTCAATCATATAGTCATCGATGAGAAGGTTGGACCTGATAGGTTTAAATAAACTGAGCATTGAGTAGAATTTCCTTACGCCTGTAGCTCCCTCCCCGTGGAAGAGCATAGGTAGCGCACAAGCATTCCTTATCAATTTCTGTTCTGTGTAATCGGTCCCAACTGTTTCCAGTTGATATTCATCCTCTTCATGTCTGCTTTTAATTCCCGGGCAGCGTGTCCTTTAGTCTGCCTATTTACCGTTTTCTTTCAGGATTCCAAGTTAGTGCTTGCCTCGTGATGCAATCTGATGATTTCTGTAATGTATTTCCTATAAACTCCCACCATCTTTGCCTAGTTTCCTCTTCAACCGGAAGCTGGTTTATTCTCTGCCACAGTAGGCTATTGCTGATGGTATCCGGTCTACGGACATTCAGTATCTTGCGTAAACAATTGCTTAGAAATACTTGTACTGTTTACATGATGGTTGTGGTAGTTCTCCAAGTTTCCGCTCTGTACTACTAAACTGTCTTGATGTTCTTATTGAAAATCCAGATCTAGATGTTGGCTGGCATACAGTTATTTTGAGTTCCGTATAATCTGCAAATGTAGGAATTCAGCCCTTACTTTGCCAATCCTTGTCTCTATGTCTGCATCACATCCTTCATGTTCATCGATAATGCTGTCCAAGTACGTGAAACATTCCACCTGTTCCAGAGTATCTCCACTAAGTGTGATAGGGTTGGTTTTCTCCGTGCTGTATTTGAGGATGTTGCATTTTCCCTTGTGTATGTTGAGGCCTACTGCCACAGAGGCTGCTGCTACACTGGTTGTCTTTATCTGAATTTGTTGGTTTGTATGTGATAGGAGGGTCAGGTTATCTGTGAAGTCCAAATCGTCTAGTTGCATCTGAGCTGTTCGTTGTATCCTGTGCTTCCCCTCAGATGTGGAGGTCTTCATAATCCAGCCAACCATCAAAAGAAAGAGTTAGGGGGAGAGTAAGCAGCCTTATCTGACCCCGGTCCTAACTTGGAATGCGTCTGTCAACTGTCCATTGGGTAGAAAGTTAATAATGAATACATTTTTGCTATATCCCAATGGGTAGAAAAGTCGTATTTTTGACTTTTCGTGACTTAATGTAAGCGGCTTCTCCAGAGTAAATAAATAACCCAATGAACACAAACAACAGAAATTGGCTAAAAAACAGACTGTATTGAGTCAACAAATTCTACAAATTCAGATTAAAAAAGAGTATTAACTTTTATAATAGTGAAGTGAGATGGTGAGAACTAAACAAATAATAAAAATAAACGTCGCACAGTTTGGTTAGTCACAACTATTGAGGATGATTAGTACAAATAAACTGTTCATAGCAAAAACGATAACATTATTTAGGTATCTGTACTACATTGAGTCACTGCTGTATCTAAATAATTGAAATTCAAATAATAACTTATAGCTGATTATTTTTTATTTCCATTTTCATTCTAAATATTTGACTACTTTATACAGATCTGTTACACGTACGATTATTCAGAACATTTCTGTTTATCACAATTATAAATTGTGGGTAGTATTAACGGCAGGTTTCTATACCATTTAGTTTCAGTCCTTGGAAGTAATTTTCTGAAATATTTCAAACCAGAAGCGCAAACGTTTATAACAAAGATTTGATTTAATTTATCATACGTTTTGATTTGCAAAGCAAACAAATGAGTGGTGTCTAATAAACATATACACAAGTTTTTATCTAACCATAACATTAAAACTTTTTGAGCAGAATATTTTGATTTCTTAGACAAGCTTCATGCTGTAAATTACTTGCAAGTGCAGATGCAGCTCTGGCTTCGCGAGCGAAAAATGCCTCCAAAGCACGAACACCATTGGCTGTTATTCCGTTGGCACGTTCAGTTGCATTTGATGAAAACGCAGCAGCAACCTCTGCATCTTCGAACTGCACACCTTGTGGTTCCGAAGTCCCAGTGCCTCTTTCGGTTACAAGAATATTCAATAATCTGTCCGTAGTTAACTCAGTCAAATCACGATCAAACTGATTATGTAATTTTCCTAAAGCATCACCTGTGATGGACCAGACAGATGCATACCGATGTAGAAATTCTTTCATCTGTTCCAGATGTGCAACTTCGATTTCCTTTTACAAGACAAAAGTAAAGGAATGATAATGGGAATCGGAGTTGTTTGAGTAAAAGGTTAGGAAATAAACAGTGAACACAGTATAAAATATCATTTTAAAATCCAAAACAGAACGTCAGTCAAAATGCTACTTCTCTAACTATACCTCAGGCTATTATCGTTATATACTTAGTTATCTGCATAGTGCGCACACCAGAGTTACTTGACTTAAAATACTTAGGCTGATTAAAAAGTTATCCTTAAAATATCCAGGATACATTTTTCATAAACCGGTAATTCCTTTTAGTTAAAATAGCGTCATTATTGAACTAAAGGAGACTAAAGAAATGAGTTAAATAAAGGACATTCACATGAACCGCTAACTGATTTTATTCAGTCAGTTATTATTACTTAAATACTTATTTATGCAACCTCGATTACTGATTTTCTTTCAAGCGTAAGGTAAGTTTACAGACTGTAGTGTTCGGGATGACCAAAACAAACTTTAACCAGTGGTATTGATTAGTCGCAGGTGATACAATATAAGCTGTGAATGACATCACGCTAATTAGATTTCATGTAAAATGTTGGTTCCAACCCTTGAAAATATAGCACAACGCCATTTGTTCAGAAGCTACAAGTACACTTCCATTGGTATGTGCTTTGACATCGGTAGTAGTCCTTTTATTATTCTCGGAAAATATATGACATCAGGTCATTAGGTTGGCATGACTTACTGATAAGTTTGATATACATAAACGGTACCCGATAAACGATCTAGATTTTTGAAATAGATCAGACCAATTACAGATATATCTTAAATATTGTGAAACTAAGATGATAAAACATCTAAAAGACAAACCATATTGCAGATTGGACATTGTCACATAAAAGTCGCTAGTTGAATTTTTATTAATGGATGAGTGTAGATGGAATTAGCAGAGCAACAGATCAGGCTCAATATCGGAGAAAAAACAGATTCAGTTTAAGCTTCGTAATGACCAGTTGGAAGTGGTAAGATATCAGGAAGTTCAGAAAACATGTTTAATTTTAACTGAGTGTTTTGTGGCTAAACGTACTCGTGTTTAAGTCTTTAGTGCTACCAAAGCCAAACAAAGCAGTGAGTTATGCTTAGAATTAAATGAGCATATTATTTTTCCAAAGAAAATGCTTGTTATAAAATCTAAAAGAATTTGGTTCAATTCCATGTAATAACGTGGTTGTCCACTGCTATGAAGTTTTGGACTGAAATGAAATGACACATTCACCGCAACTGACTAATTACCATGGTCAACAAAAGCACCTGAAATGTTTCGACAATTAACAATAGTTAAAACCACAACTAGGGCCTAGTTTTCGGAAAAAAAACAAGGAAAACGCAATCGTACAGAATAATATTTACTGGAAGTCTAGATTACCTCAAACTGTGCACATGAAATGTGCATTTTGCTAACGAACTGGTTGCGTAGGTTATTGTACTTTTCGACCGAATATTTGTACTCATCTTGAGCTTTCTTAAGCTTGACCTCCAGTTTTTCCTGATCTCGATTGGAACCAGACTCCAAGCGCATAGCACGCTCGTATTCATTATAACGTGAATGATATGCCTCCTTCGCCTTCTGAAGTTGAACGGAAGTTACCTGGGTAGCGAAATTGTAATTAAATGAGAAAAAGTAGCCCCATATAAAAACCGTGTACTATTCATGAAACATTACTTTCATAGCTCCAAAGAACAACCAAAAATTATGAAGAGATAGTTATTCTACTTTTAGCTCAAGAAATAAGTTTTATAAGATTATAAACTAAAAAAACTGGTAAAATCTATCGTCTTGAAGATAATCCTTACATACATATAAATAGTTCACCAAAGCTTTTCCACCTGAATCTACGGACTATCAGGACTTATAGGATGCTGACTAATAAATTCATGGCGATGAATGATATTTCTTAAGAATAAACTTGAAGTGAGTTGGGTTTTTTTCGATGAAACGTTGAGAACATAACCTGAACTCATTTTTAAAAAACTATTTTAGACCTCGTCAAATCATAACTTTCAGCAGTTTAGAATTAAAAGCTACTCAGTGAGCGTCCCAGGGGGTATACAAACTGTCCCACTAGTATACGACTCAATGATGTAACATAATAAACCATGGAGTAAATGGTAACAACCATTACTGAAAATATAATGCACGGGAATAAAGAAATTTATATGTAATGGATCAATGTTACCAATCTGAGATAAGATATACATAGAACGAGGATGACTACCTGGAAAGCATGCACAACTTCCTGAGTGGAAGCTTCTGTATCTTTGATAAGCTTCTGTCTCTTGTGCTGCTCCTCTAGATACTTTTGCACATCTCTTGATAGATTCTGTCGTTCTTGTGCAATAGTTAAGTGGACCTGAGAGATTTGGTCAATAAACTGCTTGAGGAGAGACCAACATGGTTTGAAACTACTAGTGTTGTTGTATGATCCAGCTTGTTTAGATAGTTTAACTAGTGTTTTGTAGTAATTGTCCTCAGCTGTATAGCTTTCACGGAGAAATTCAGCGAATTCAGACGAAGTGCGATAACATAACTTGAAATTTTGATACATGGCATCAAAGCCTGAATGTTTTTCTCCCCAGAAGTGTTGAGAAAATAAACATGCACTCATCCTGTTGAAGCTATTTCGTTACAATATTTTGTAGCTGGCACATCATTTCAAATCCCATGGCGATGTCCAGCATATTTATTGTAAGGATGCGTCATAATGTATTTGAATTGGGCTTAATCACAGTACAGCAGCTATCTACAAGTTAATGTGGAACCTGACTGGAGCTAGGAAACAGTAGACGAAATTTGTAACAATACTTTTGAAACGGCCCTAAAAACCCTCATCCAATATCCAATATTTGAAAATGGTTCAAATGGTTGCGTTATGAGTTTGTATAGATCAATCGATGTCTTTGCATTCGCTTCTTATTGTTTTTTTACCGTTACAAGTATTTAGTTATGTTCAAAGTGTGACATCCTAGCCGCTCCTTTGCCATAATTTCAGTCACTGCTATAATCCTTTGAGTATTTGTACATCTTGTAATTGAGTAAGTGTGTTTGTCTCAGGGCTGTAAATTTTCTGAATACCAGAATCTATCACATTATTAGGCGGGATGTTGGTTTGTTGCAATGTAGAAATAATAAAGTGATAATTTAAGTGCTAATAGATGATTGATTCAAGAATAAATAAGTAATTTCAGTTATTGAAAATGTGTAGGAGGACGTTGCTGGAAAAATATCGTGGGAGCGGAGATGATAATATCCAAGGCATGAGGTAGTCAGTGATTATGTGGTAATGATAACCGTGGTAATTATGAGACATTCGTCAAGGGGCTGGTTCAAAGTGGGATGGTAATTCACGTGTGAGTATGTGTTTGTCAAGTATCCTCCTAAATCTATGCCAAGTGAGCTTTCCAAATGGGCGCATCTCGCGGTGGCAAAAGTGAGAGCGTTGCGTTTACATTGGCCGGATTCTCTATGTAGTTTGAGCTTGTGTCTAACTTCTCTGTGGTTGGAAGCCAGAGATCGCTGTCCGAGAAGATTATGTCACTGTTAGTATCTACTACGGATTACTCTTCCGCCGTATCCAGGTTCTATGGCTGCTTTGATGACCGTACATTACAAACGACATTATTGTGGGGATATTTTGGTAAGAGTTGGCACAAGGAACAGAGTGCGACCACCACCACATGGGCTAGTCCATGTCATGCAATTAGAACATACCCATTGGTTGTCATTAACCTTGGCAAGGATCGGTCAGCTGTTCAACATTCAGTGAACCGACTGTCGGATGATTTGGGAAGGGACGTGACATTTCATTGACCCTACAGAATTTACAGCAATATAGGAATGGGCAGTAGATTGTTGGTTGAAATTCAATCTGTTGGAATGTCATAAACATCATGTCTAATTTAACACAAAACACTTCTACTCATTTCCGATAATCTTCTGGTACAGCGATCTCTGGCTTCCAACCACAGAGAAGTTAGACACAAGCTCAAACTACATGGAGAATCCGGCCAATGTAAACGCAACGCTCTCACTTTTGCCACTGCGGATTGCGCCCATTTGGAAAGCTCACTTGGCCGAAGCTACTGTGGCCCCCTTGGGTGAGTCTTTTCCTTCTAGTTATTGTAAGGCTACACCACATATTTTTTATTTTAGTTTAAAGACTTGTCTGAACTTAATCGCTCTAATTATGACAAAAAATTCATACGTTACTTATTGTGGTTGTATTCGTGTAAAGTTCAGATCTAAACTGAGGAAGTTGTTATGACGACTCTTTTCAACATGACTATCCTGTTATTCTCAACATTCAATCAGTAATTAGCAATATTAAAACCTTTCACCAAACAAAAGAATTAGAAGCTAAACAGTGGTCCTCTAGCTTACAAAAGGAGAAGAGCTTTTCAATAGCTGCTCCGTTGAAGAAACATTGTATCCAATCTAATATTCCTACTGTCTTAAAAAGTTAATAATGAACTTTTAAGAGACCCAGCAGAACTACTTGAGCTGCTTAACAACACATTTGCATAGATATTCACTATACATAATCGGAATGAACGCCTAACCAGCAACTTCAATGCGTCTATATAGGCGGGCCTGGAATTCACGCCGAATATTGTGAGGAACTCAGTAAGCTTATTAAAACCTCTCAGAAGTGGTTGTGATGGAATACTTGTTAATTTAATTAAATATGTGAATTCTGATATTCCTATCCTGCTCACAAATATATTAATCTATACTTTGATCTTAATATTTCCACTTAGCATTGGAAGACTACGTACATTATACCTTACTTTAAAAAGGATCCTGATTGGACGTAGACAATAATCACCAAATTTACCACACTTTCATCTTATCTGGGATCATGGATAAAACCGCTAAGAAAGCAATTGGCTAACATCTAGGTGAGCGCTAAATTATTGTATTTTGGCAATGTGAATTCATTTCCAAAGAGTCATGCGTTACCTGCCGTTTTGAATAATTTGTTTATATACTAAGCAATAAGTATGAAGGGAGACTAGTAGTCACTCTATACTTTGATTTTACTAAAGCATTTGACAAATTATCAGACTCGTTTGTGCTGTTTAAGTCAAGGACATTCGAAAAAATGAATGGCTAGATCTTATTTTTCTTAAACGATTGATTCTATGAAATGAACATAAAGCAGATCTTCACCCACCCTAAGAACACTATTCGTGGTGTCCTCCAAGGCTCACTCAGTAGACTTCGATTGCTTTTATGTATGCTGACGACATATCCATACACTATGCGCTTGACAGAATTTTTTTTGTTGCTGCACGCCTTAAATTGATGTGTGAATTCTACTCACGTCTGAATATGAGTCGCATAATATAGAAAGATATGGATAAACATCAAGACTGGTGCAATTCATGGTCTTTTTCTATTAGTACTGAAAAAGCAGGGAACATCTATTTTCGTACGTTTAACCCACGGATAAGGTTGCATATGAATAAGTTAGAATTTGGCTAGATAAGTAGCATATGCGATTTAAGAGTGACAAAATCAGAATATACATAGTTTTAACGTAGGTGATAAAGTTGTCTTTCAGTCACACATTCGGAAAAACCGTGGGGAACCTGGAGTCATTGAAAAGGGAATAGGAAATGTTTTGTACAAAATGAGTGGGACTTTCGGAACATGGATTAGACAGATCAGTCAAATACATAGAGAAAAAAGAACGTCAAACAAGAAAGATAGTCGAATGAGTTTATAGTGGATGTCGAGTCGAAGACGGACTATGATCACCACTACAATTCGTTTACGCGCCCAAAAACGACTTGGTTCCTTTGTAAATCAGAAGGCTTTATTAGTCCAGATCAATTGTATTTATTGGCGATCTCGTGGTATCGAAATAATACCGAGACGTGCCAAAGAGTACAGGCGAACAGGCAGTGCGTGAGCAAGTTCGAACCAAACAAGGCGGAGAGCGAAAGCAGAAGTGAAACTGATACAGTTAAACAAATAAAGTAAAACAATCTCTGGTACAATTGGTTACAATAATAATAATTGTTTCCGTTATTCCAATCGTGTTCTTATCGAGACTGGCAGGTCACTACAGGAGCCCCCCTCTAGAAAGGGTTTACACTTTCGATACGTAGCGGTTTCGTTCGTGGGACTGATCGCGAAACGTGCAATTGTAGGACGAAAACGTTGGCAGAACAGGGAGTGATCGTTGATCCTCGAGTTGCCACCAAAAGTCTTTGACGTAGAACGGTACCAGAAGGAATGTACTGTATTGATTGCTTGGATTAGCATGCTACACCAGAGTGGTTTGTATCCAGAATCTGAAGGTTGCGTTTGTAGAGGTCCGGACCAAAAACGCTTCAGACGTAGGACGAAACCAGATTGAGCCAAGGAACCAGATGCGACCAGGATAACCATGTTCGGGACCAAATGTATACCATACGTATTTGGAGCCAGAGTGATCGACTGAGTGCGTTGACTAGAGCGTGGGTGATCAGGCCAGCTTTCGCCAAAGTTGACTGAAGTCGACGATACCGTAACAGCGATGGTCGGAGGCGTAGGCTAGGGGAAAACACAAAAAAAATGAGAGAAAAAGAGAAGAGTGTAGCATTCGTGTAGTATAGGGTTAAGTTCCTATACTGTATCCGCTGCTGGTTATGAGGTTAGTCGCGAAAGCGTACGGGTAAGCGTACTCGGCGACCGGAACGTGAGACGGTAGTCTCGTTCGAACCTCGTGAGCCTGCAATCTCATCCACAGTCAAGGGCGGTGTGGTCTGCTGGTCTAGACGTGAGACGGAAGTCTCGTCAGTTGACGGGGCAGATGATACGTGCTATTGACTGGGACGTGAGAATGAGGTCTCAGGTGCATCTAGCGTGGGATCCGAAGTAGATGTAGAGATCCCGCTAGAAGCTTTGGTGGGTTTAGCATTGGGTCTCGACTTATCAGGCAGGGCACTGTCATCGACGTGTGCTGGCATGAGACGATCAATGCTGACTACTTTGACACAGCCATGTCGATCAACCTTGAAGGTCTTTTCGTGAAGGGAAATCACGTGAAAAGGGCCTTCGTAAGGCTGTTTGCTCAGATTGACCGTAAGTTGTCGTGTACCATAGTTTGGAATGACTGAGTCATCCGCAGCGCGTAGTCGAAGCATCGTAGCTTGAGACTTACTGTTACTGATAGGTACGACAGAAACTTGGGCACCCGTATCCACAAGGTACCTAGCGTTAGTGCGATAATCGTGCACGTATAATAGACGGTCAAACGGAGGTGAAGGGCCGGTGAGTACGGCCGTATTTACTCACCGGCTCGGGAAGTTCCCGCCTTGTATGAGCAGGGAGCTCGACAATGACGGGCACCGGCCCCGAAGGCACGGTGGAACCAGCACCAACCTGGACTCGCTTCCGAAACCGCCTTCTGGCGTGGCTTGGAAGATGCCCGCTTGGGGCGAGTCGTTACGGCTGTTCGAGATCGTGACCTGGGTCGGGGGACGTAGGGGGCTGGCACATTTGCGCGGTCTCGGAAACTGAGACGAGTATGGATACATCTGTCCCTATCCCCATGAGCCGGAGGTCGTCTAGCATCGAGATCAATGTTAGAACGGGAAGTAGAGGCATAATATAGTTGTCTTCGGCGCTAACACGTGCTAGAATCTTGTCTGCTATGAGGGCCACCTTGTGCAGTGGGGTGTCCTCGAGCAGGGCCGTAAGGGTTGGCTGGATACTGACTGGTAAGGCTTCGAGCCACAACTCTTTGACTATCTCAGAGTCTGCTGTCGAGTTTCCTGCAAGGGACTGCAGGCGCGTGAGGTTGTGGCTCGGCTTAGCATCACCAATAGGGTGACGTGCTAAGAGAGTCCTCAATCGTTCCTCTCTTGATGGGAGGAAATGTCGAAGGATAGCATCCTTAAGAAGGTCGTAGACGTTCGGAACGTTCGGATTGAGGACAACCTCACGGACAGCGGTTAAGTGATCCCCGGGCAATGATTCCAAAGCGTAGGCGTACTTTTGCCTTTGGTTGGTTATGCGGCGGATCTCAAATTGAGATTCCAGTGCCGCGAACCAGACTTCTGGATCATGAGGGATGAAAGGAACCGGTCGAAAGTTGATAACCTGTACCTCGGAGTCTATTATATTTATACTACTCTTATCGTTATCCACCATGGTAAGTTGCCAAGATATTATCTATTGAAAAATATCAATACGAATATATGCAGCAGATGTGGATAGATAAATAGACTCACCGGATTGATCTGGCTTGGAGAATTGGGCAAGTTTGACTTGTGCTCGATGGATTGGGTTACCAGCTGTATTGCGTGTTCCAACAACGGCTCACCAGTTTATAGTGGATGTCGAGTCGAAGACGGACTATGATCACCACTACAATTCGTTTACGCGCCCAAAAACGACTTGGTTCCTTTGTAAATCAGAAGGCTTTATTAGTCCAGATCAATTGTATTTATTGGCGATCTTGTGGTATCGAAATAATACCGAGACGTGCCAAAGAGTACAGGCGAACAGGCAGTGCGTGAGCAAGTTCGAACCAAACAAGGCGGAGAGCGAAAGCAGAAGTGAAACTGATACAGTTAAACAAATAAAGTAAAACAATCTCTGGTACAATTGGTTACAATAATAATAATTGTTTCCGTTATTCCAATCGTGTTCTTATCGAGACTGGCAGGTCACTACAAGTTTTCCGATAGAGATAATGATAGATATTCCAATGGTAGGAACCCCAAGAGACACACGTAGATACTGGATACCAAGAAAGTCTAAACGTCTCAGAAAACCAGTTATCAAACTACAAGCAGACCCGAAGAAAAGGTCTTGTGTTTTGAAAGATATAGGATATTTGGGAGAACCATAAAACGCTGAGAAACATCTTATACAATCAGCATTCACTAGAAGTTTTGCCCGAAACATCTAGAAAGTGAAAAGTCACAAGCAGAGTTTCTGATTGAATGATTACGTATACTGCTACTATGTCTAGTAGCGTTCCAGAATTTTTCGAAAACCCAAGGCCATCTAAGGTGTTATAAAAATCCTAGATTTTCTTTACATAAACGAACCTTTAAAGGAAAGCGTTTCTTTCCATATTTCGCGCCTTTTCTCTCGTGCTCAAGTTGCTGTGTAGATCTAGTCCGGAGGTTACTAGAAGAGCTGAGGGACCAAATCTAGCGTTCAGTTAGAAGACTTATAATTTACTACAGTTCTATATTTTCTGTATCGATTCCGTCCCATAATTCAAAACTTCTGTAGGTAAGTTTTATTAAATGTACATTTTCCACATATTTATATGAGCTGTGATGTTTCTTGTCGTCTAATCAACTTCGTGTGTGCGGAGTTATGACGGTTTTTAGATGTTTTAGATGATACTCAGTTTATCTACCTATGATAATTAGAAGTATTTGAATTGTAGTATAAACTAGTAATCCCAGGAATAACGCAATTTAATCAAGAAGTATCAGATGAGCCCGAACGAATGTATTGTATTTGGAATTCAAAATTACAACAGTCATCCATACTAAGAAGTCATTGATTTATTTAAACATCACACTAACTTTGTCAAATTTAGTCAGATCAGCAAGACATGTATTAACATAAATACAAACACTAGTTTTTCTCTCGATTTTCCACACATTAAACAAGGATTTTGCTTCTGGTATTGTCTTCGAAGACAGTAGAAGCTCCATAATGAAGCTACTCCGCTTACAGGATATAATACCAACGAAATCCTCCTCAGGAGTTACGAATATTCTCTAAAATCTTGAAAAAGCATATGTATTCTAACATGGGGGCGATTATTTCCAAGTTCATTAAATATTGTTTTAATAGATTAAAGGATTTCTTGACTAAACGGTTTCATGATAATCATTACGGTTCAAATCCAAATAATTGTGTACATTTTTGCATGACACAGATCGTCCTTGACTGGATGAAAATATTAAAAATTACATTCCAGTATGAATATATATGTGATAAAATTAAATGTACATAGACACATTTATAAATTACATAAAATAAAATATACTTGATGTATTTTAACTCAATGATAAGCATATGTTTATGATAATACTATCAACGTGATTTATAGCTTATGCAAAAAGAAAAAGGTTTTAATAATTTGCAATGCTTTATGGTATAACGGCTCTAGATAAATTAAAAGGCTGTCTTCCTGGTTTAGATTGCGTATAGCAATTTAAACAATAATAAATGGAGTTTTTATTGTTCTAAAAAATACATCATTAGATTATTCTATTTTACATATAAACTGGTTCTTTAGATAATGGTAAACATTTCGAATAATTTAGACAGTAAAATATAAGCACGGAAAATAGTAGTTTCCATGTGGATAATTTTCATTTATTTGCTTGAAAAAAGATAATTCCATCAAATTCGACTTAAATTATATCACCAAAAATCTCGAAAACTTCATTTGGTTTGCAAACTCTAGTATTTGGACCTAACATATCATGTACCCATTCTTCCCATGGAACGATAATTTGTTTAGGAGGCACGAGTAAACGTGCTGTAGTTTGTGGTCTTTAGGATACCAAATTAATGATTGTGCGGCATTACAATGGGGTGGAAATGCTGCAGAGATGGGTAGTCTGTGAGGTTTGTCCGAATTTGTTGAAATAACCCCATTATGTTGGATATCATAAATTTTGCGTATACGACTGCCCAAAGGCATAAATGGATCAACTTTTATACATAAGTCATACTCCCAACGGATTTTTTTAAATACAGTGATCTCATCTTTACATGAAAACTTTTTTCCATATTTGATAACTACTAACCAAATTAGAAATTTTTGTCGTCTAATAATTTCAGTTAGTCGTACACCACCAGAAAAAGGTAATTCACAGACAACAGAAGGATGAAAATAATCTTTCACATGTAAATTTAGACCTGTTTTTTTCAAAAGACCTTTTTTAATATTATATAAACTTTGATGAACACTATAAAATGGATATTGTAGCCCATCACTATCATTGATTAATTGTCTCAGACCACTTTTTAATGGATGAAATTCCCAAAGTGATTGACCGATTCCTTCATAATCATTAGCTAAATACATATAATCACAAGCTTGAACAAGACCAATTGTCCAATCATGATCAGATATACATGTAGGAATATCTATTTCAACTTCACAATAAAATGTTTGAGTTTTATAATGAAGCATTGAATCCGTTTCTTCGATTTCTGTGCTTGTTGTATCGTCATAATAAGCTCGAATCCTTTTAACATGAAATTTATCTATGGTCAATTTGTTCATCTAATAACGAGAACATGGATTTTTTTCTTCTTAATGTTAGTTTGTAGAAAGTTAATAAGAATTAATATCCCAATTCTAAATAGATCCAATATATCCAAAGATTTTTTTAATGTTTCAGGAAACAGTCATTCAAAAAGTGGCTAAAGCCTAAGGGAGTTTTTAAAAAGCTCCAATTTAAGATATTATTTTCTGATCGTTGAAATTCAGTCTGATAATATTAAAATGATTGAAAATCGATTACACAACTGATACAAGCAATCGAGTATAAAATATGTGAAAACTAAGATGGTGTAAACTGATGAGATTTACTGAAACATAAGTTGGAGTTGAGGTGTACTACAATTTAAAATAATAAAACATTCTCGACCATACTTCGTATCGTATGACCGTTACTGAAAACGCTTGAGTCACAGTCCACACAAAAAGTGAATGGAGATTTTTTCCTGTAGACCAATTACATAAGAGTAGTCTTTTTAGTAGAAAACCAAAATATCACATAAAGTAAACGATTAAATGTAAAAGCAACGAGTTATTACACAAAATGTCTAGCATACAAATTAGTTTCTGTGGAACTATAGGATATGGTTAACTGTAGTTGTAAAAAGTTGAAAGAAATTTATCAATAATCTATTAGTCATTTGTTGAGATAATCATCCATTGGAAGATAACATCCGTAAATAGACAATTTCTGGGCATAATTTAACCCAAAAGTGGAGCACAAAGTACTACAACAATCAAAGTACTTAATTAATGCCACTTTCTTTATACATACATGAACAGAAGTTTGTTAACTACACATTCACTAAAACACATATAATCTTGACTGAAAATAGAAGAGAATGTTAGAAAAACAAACGATTCAACTGATCACATATTAAAACAATGCAAACTGAAAGGAGCATAGATGTTCATATCAGTTGTTAAACGATGATAGTCGCAGAAGACTAATGTGTGCATCACTTCAAACTGCCAAACCATATCAACCTACCAAGTTGAAATTACTAAGATATATCCCAGAGTAGTAGAAATAATAACGGTATTAGTGATAGTGGAAAAGGTTACGGAAGACATAAGAGCAAATATCCAACCAACCAAGATATTTAATCAAATGAGTTCACATTAACTATTGTGCGACATAAGAAAATATAAAGCAAAAAGTATGCGTTGGGTACAACAAAACTGAATAATAACCTAAACTAACCACAATTTGAATCTGAATACATAATTTGTAGAGAAGTGTACTCAAAACTACTAACACCTACCTTTTAACTACTTAAATCATGTAACTAAATCTCGCAGTTATAAAAATTGGGTGACAGTGCAATTCTGAGTAAATTATTCCACAGCTACTTTTCGTGGTTACCACGAACAGTAGTTTTAGTTTGGATACTTTTAGTCTCGAAGAGTGAAATGTGTATCGGTATATTTGGATAGTGATTTCAGGAACTCAGTTAATGTTAATAAGACTCGAAGGTCGTTGACGTTTTAGTAGGTCACTTCTAAAGTTCTCCTTCCTTCTTAGTTGGTTTACCGAAAGTTGTGGGGCTATTCTATAGAATATAATTGTAAATACCTATTTATAATTTGAATTACGGCATTTAGTCTGCCTATCAGCCCTTCTACAAGGTCTTCCAGAGAAGATACTTGAGAAGACCAAATGACACAGTAATCCATTTTGCACTATTTATTGACTTTATTCACAGAAAACTTAACAACGAGTATGAAGATCGTTAAACTTGGTTTCCGACTACAAAAACAGGAATCGAACATTTATTTATTGATTCAGTATAAATGCAGAGTGCCATATAATGAAATATAACTTTTTTAATTGAATCAAATTCCCTTAACATATGTAGGCGAAACAAAATGTTTTTATTCTAATTTGAAATGAATTTTATAACTGGCAAGATTTATATGAACAACAACTTTCATTTCAGTGAGAAGATACTAACATCATTGCATTGGAACAAAAACTAATTGAACAACAAACAGGTGAAAAAACATGTGCGTGTATAGTATGGAAGAATGAACATATACATTCAAACAGGTATGTATATGAGATAGCATTTAAGTATGGGTAATTATTTTTCTTCATTTTACATTACATAAAAACTCAACATTCAATTGACTAATGAACAAAAAGAAAGGGAAACTTGTTTAAAATAACAGCTTAACCAATATGAATAACAAACGAACACGCATATATTTTGAAATGGGCATTGGACATTAAAATAATCATGAAAAGTATCTTTTATAACGGAAAAAGTGTACATAAAGAGAAACATACAAAGTAATTATTACATGATGAAACCAAATGTATGTGCATGTGTGCATAGTGTTTTTAGAATGACACTAAGTAATTTTGGAGAAGCGGAGATCATTATCACAGTTATTCGCTTGCTTTTAAAGCTGCAATGAACTCTTCTAATTTCTCTTGAATATGTCTTGTCCGACCTGTCAAAAAGAAAAAATAGCAGTATGCATAATTAAAATAGGATGGTGTAGCGAGAGAAAAAAGAATTTACTGGTTTACTTTCACTGAAAAGTAAAAATTACTGTTACAATATAATACGAGTGGATCTTTTAGACCAAACGTGTCGAGTAGGGACTAATATAAACTTACGGCGAAAGAATATGCTATACAAAAGTCTGGTTGGTATTTTAGGATATCGAATTGATCAATACAGCATATTTATGACTTGGCCAACTTTTGGACTTGAGTGTGTACGCTTAAGTGTACCTTAATCAGTGACTATTTTAAGACAGTCCCACTCTCATATATTTTTTATCAATTAAACTACTAAACTAATTTGCCAGGATCCAAAGCAATATACACATCGACGACTTGAAACGACCTACAAATGTACAAGGTTGTCAGATGAAAGAGGGAAGAAACAACTTATTATTATTATTGTCTATATTTATTCAAGTAGGTTAAACCTATAAATGCGATACTTATACGAATAGGGAGATCCCATAGCAATTCATTGAAAGATATCTATCTGCTAAGTGAGCGATTTATCGATTTCTTGCCTAACTACAAAACAAGCGTCGTGATACTACTTCCAGGAATTTTAGTTTATTAAGATGCCATAATAATGAACATTTCAAGTATTGAAAACTAACATAACAGACTCCGTGACTCACTTAAATCTTCTGCTAATTGTACACGTTTCCCAGTGATAAGCTTCTTTACACGAATAGGATCATTAGATAATTCGTTTAAAGCTTGCTTGACATAGTGTTCCAAACGACGCGCTAGTTACAAATAAAGTGTAAGGGAAAGAATCACAAAAGATATATTTTCAATGACGGGTAGAGAAAGTTAAATCTGATTGATGATTACAACCGTTAAATTAATAGCATATAAAAACAAGTAAATTAAATTAAACAAATTCATACGAATCAACAAAGAGAAAAGGTATCAGAGATACAATGTTCACCAGTACCCAGGATTTTAATCAATTTTCCAAAGTTCTGGTAGGAGCCAGTCAAGTATGGATGGAATGAAGAAACTAGGTAGGAAGATATTAACTCATCAATAACATTCGATGAGAATTGTAGTGTTATAAATGGACTTAAGATGGATATACTCAATCAACAGGATTCGGTCTTGTTATTTAATGCGACCGAGAGACCTGAAGGTTTTCAGTTCATTCCTGTATGCAAACATGGGTTTTCATTGTCGAGGGATTCTGAACTGAAGTGAGATAGTATTCTAGGGTCACTTTTAGTGGTTTTTATGCTGATGAGAACAAACTTTCAAATTAACGGAAATTTTTAGAAAACCGTCTCGCTCAATATATGTAATAAAGCTGAAAAAATTAAGACAACATTGTTTTTATTACACTGAAAAGTGAGTTATATCGATCAACTAACTTGAATAAAGCTTTATAATAAGCTGAAATACTCAATTCTTAAGTATTGAAACAGTATAAAGTTAAAACGCTAAATCTATATTGACTAAGAAGCTACCACAATCTATCACAATGACTCTATACAACAGGTATACTTGACACAACGTCCTAAACGTGGGTGGAATATACTTGAGAAATTGTGTGAACCAGGACATCAAACACATGAAATGTTATTTAAAATATGCGGATATTACATAATGTCTTGAACAAAAACATCATAACAGGAAATCAGAAATTATCATTAGCAGTTTATATTTAAGTTGTTCTGAGACAGAACAAATGAAGACCCATAAATAAACAAACAATCTGAGACCTCTCAGTAGCTTAGAATTCAACATACACTTCATGGATATGTACATAACTTAAACATGAGCACAAATTCAACTTTTCATTAAAAAAATTTTAAAGAACGTTTTTCGGGCTTTAGAGAAGCATTTATTATTGCAATTTTGCACCCGAATTCTAATGAAACTTTCGTAAGTTTACCTATCGTCCAACAACTGTGACGTATATCTAAGGAGAAATTTAATTGCATACACAGTACGTGAAGAAACAAAGACTAGCTACAATCCTTTATTGAACTGTATTCCTAACATCTATACGCGATATAACAAACGTAGTTTATAGGACTGAAATCGTGCACATAGTTTTCATTATCGGAAGTAATTAGATTCAGTTACCAGATTATGATCATATAACTTACCTTCATCATTCATTATTTGTTGTCTAAGCGCATTACTAGTTGCATTCATCATACGATTCAGGCGAGAGAACAAGATCACTTCACGACAATCCGGGAAATCAGATGATAATGAATCTTTTCGTAAACGAGAATGTTCAGCTGCATTAGATATCTGTTCATTGGCATTAGAGGATTTATTAAATGATGTATTCAGAAAACCATGCTGATAATAGTAAAAGCCTTTTCGACACTCTTGACAAGCAAACAGAGAACGTTCAAGATAAAAACGTTGAACTAAAGGCTCCCAGGTTTCACGAACCTGACAGCAACGTAGCATTTGAAAGTAAACAAAATTAAAATCTTTTAGAAAAATTAAGCATTGCACGTCAAAAAGTAAACTATTGGCTAGCTAGTGCATTCGTAAATTATCTAAAATCTAAAAAAACATTTTCATTTTTCAGAATCTGATTGACTATTGTGATAAAATTAATAATAGTCTTCATTTTGTAATTTATAAAGTATCAGGATTACATGTAAATATAAATAAACTTTGTTTCCTATACACGAAACAACAGTGAAGTTAAAGGTGTTTTTTAAATTTAGTTTCGTCGACAATTTAAGTGCTGAGAATTTTGGGAATCTAGAAT